TTAAATCAACATTTTTTTCTAATTTTAATTTTTAATTTTTAATTTCTTCATAATTTTAGCGATTTATGCTCATTATTAGCAAATAAATAATATATATAATATACTTATTTCATTTTATTCAGATAGGTCTTTGGGATTGGGATACCTTGTCCAAATTCAGAGGAAGTTTGAGAGGTTGGGATGGGGTAGCCCATATTCAATTATCCCAAGTGTACTCCACAAATTTAAAATTATATTATATTATTGATGACATATCTAAATTTATAGATAAAAATTTCAATGTGTACACAATTTTTTTTGAGAAAATTCTTTTTTTTACTTATTTTCATTCATAAAAGCTCACGTGAACTTAATTAACAACTGAGACATTTCCTATGAAATCATTTAATGCCGTCAAAATAGACATGTCTAAGCTGTTTTGAGTGACTTTCGCTCGATGTCTGATGCAATATCAGACATCGAGCGAAAGTCTCTCATATTGGCAACACATCCATACGATCAATACTATAGCTACGAATTACAAGCCTGTTTGGGCAATTTTTGGCCGAGTTCTGATTTTTCATTAGATCTCGAGCGAAAGTCTCTCAAATTGGCAACACATCCATACGATCAATACTATAGCTACGAATTACAAGCCTGTTTGGGCAATTTTTGGCCGAGTTCTGATTTTTCATTAGATCTCGAGCGAAAGTCTCTCAAATTGGCTGCCAGTTCATAAGAGTGAAACTCTAGCTACAAATTAGAAGCTTGCTTGAGAGACTCTCGCTCGCGTTGGGATCTGCATCAGAACTCGAACGAAAGCCTCTCAAAGTGGTAAGACCTGCTCATTGTTGAGCAGGAGCTGCGTAATGTGTTCGAGTAGAGTGAGGCTCTTCTAAGATCTTCCTTGTGATTGGAAGAAATTAGAAGAGTCTCACTCTACTATTTTGTAATTGTATGCCCTGGCCTTTGAGTGACCAGGGCTGCGTAATGTGTTCGAGTAGAGTGAGGCTCTTCTAAGATCTTCCTTGTGATTGGAAGAAATTAGAAGAGTCTCACTCTACTATTTTGTAATTGTATGCCCTGGCCTTTGAGTGACCAGGGCTGCGTAATGTGTTCGAGTAGAGTGAGGCTCTTCTAAGATCTTCCTTGTGATTGGAAGAAATTAGAAGAGTCTCACTCTACTATTTTGTAATTGTATGCCCTGGCCTTTGAGTGACCAGGGCTGCGTAATGAATTCGAGTAGGATTGTACAATAGCTCGGCAAACGCCGAGCAAATTGATATAAACGTACATCCCACAAAAAATGGATTGTCAAAATTTATCCCAAATTTTACAAAACCGCAGCGGTTATGACATCCCAGGGCTAAAAAAATTCGGAAACTCGCATCTCTACAAACAATATATTGAAAGAGTTAAAAGAAAAGATACCTATAGGTAAGATGGAACGTATACCATTAGATAAGAAAAATATTGTGAGAGAGGTTTTGAAAAAAGCAGAATATATAGACTGGGATAGTATATCTGCTAGACTATTATATAGTGGTTCTATAAGAGTTCATGACATTGAAACACTTATGTCAAATGTTTTATATCTTAACTATACAAATGTTTTCAAAGAGGACATAGAAAAATATATTGAGGGTATAGAGTTTGTGAGATGTCATTGGACAGAGTTGTATGAAAAATATAAAGACAAGGAAAATGTTTTCTTTATAGTGGACCCGCCGTTCTATAACACATGGGATTTTCAATACCAAGTAGACTGGACTTTGAGAGACTCTTTAGAAACTTTAGACGTTTTACATAACTGTCCATGCTTTTACTTTACATCCGATAAAAGTGGTTTGGAAACCGTTATGAGATGGTTAGAGGACATACATGACTATGAGTTTAGATATGACAAGATAGAATATGAGAGAGGTCCTATAAACCGGAGAAAGTGTCATAACAAAGAAATTTTATTAGTAAGTAAATGTGGTTTGAAATAGGACTACTTGTTTTAGGTTTTTTCCATTGTGTCATTTATTTATTTGACGTGGCAGAAAAGTACAGAGAATATGAAGATGAACCAATGCCTGCAAATGTTCAGCATATGTACTCGTAAGAGATATTTTTATCTAATATTAAATGGACGCACAGAACTTAGCGAATGCACAGCAACCTGGACAACCAAACCCAGAGAATATTCCAAATGAAGTTAGAATACAAACTGCAATGGCAAACTATGGTCAAGTGCCAACAGATGTACAAATGCAAACTGCCATGTCAAATGACGCTGCGTTAGGTTTGCCACCATGGTATGCAAATATGAGATGGAAAGAGTTTTATACAAACCCTGAAGTGGGATATAAACAACTTTATGCAGATGACGCGAACACAGGAGTTGACCCAGAATATGTTTTCTACCAGAGGAGAAACAGAATGTATGAGCTCCAGTTAAAGAATGCTATGGAACTCAACAGGAAACGTAAGAGACTAGGCGGACATTAGATTTTTACATATAGTAAAATGGGTTTCTTCAGTAGTATTGGAAACTTCTTCAGAAGAGTCGGAAGAGGTATATGGAATGGAATAAAAACCGTAGGAAGAGGAATTTGGAACGGAGTCAAAAATATTGGTAAAAGAGTAGGTCAGTTCGTTGGTATTATACCTAAAGACCCTGAACCAGAAGAACAAGCTCCTGTTATACAACAGCCTGAACCTGCACCACAGTCAAGTTGGCAACCACAACCGGTATATTAAAAAATTATATTTTTACCGTTCGATAGTAGTTGTATATGAAACTAAGTTCTAAGTAAAACGCATGGTATAATGGAATTATTCTCTTTCTTCCATCTGTTGTAAACCATACTTGAAAGTCTGAAATACTTCCACTCGGCGGTTCATATAGCTTTGTAGGTTTTTCGTAAAAGTCATTTGCCAAGCATAAGAAAGAGTTTTGTGCACCAGAAAATGAAGCATGAACGATAATAGCATCTGAGTCGAAAACATTTTCATATGTTCCATTAGGGTTTTCGACTTCATAAAAGTCCGGGTGTACTGGATATGCTGCAGGCTGATTTAACATCCTCAGAAATCTATACCATGCCAAGTTGTTATATTTTGTAGAAATATAAACGTTTTCTCCAAGGTCTTCTATTCTATTGATTTTAACAGTTGCATTTTTCCTGTCATATATAATATCGAGATGGTACTCTCCCTCGTCAATGTTATACTGGTTTGCATATTCGATATAGATGTCGTTTATTTTTTCTTGAAAAGCTTGAAGAGTTGTTTCTAAGTTTACAAGCAAATTCACTTGTAAAAGTTTTCCCTGTTCAAATTTCTCATACATACGTTTTTCTTTGTTATAGTATCGAACTTCAAAACCGACTGTAAATGGGAAACCATGTATGGCTTCTGAAATGAACTTCATTCTACGAAAGCCAATAGCTTTTGTGACAGATGGGTCTCTTAACCATCTTAACGGGTAGTCAAAACGATAGCCTTCATGCTTTACGGTCTCTGTCTCAAACTTTTGACCGACATTCGTAAAAAGTTCATCTAATGGTTTAGTTGTAGCAACTCTTGAATTTTCTTTTTCTATTGAAAGCATATTTTATCTAGAATAAAAATGTCAAATGAAACAGCGTCTATGAGAGAAATACAACACAACCGACAACTCATTATACAAGCTCTAAATAAGAACACAACAAACTTTTCAAACTATTCTAAGATATCTGAGTCATTGAAAGAAGGAAACTTAAAACTGACATTAAACCCAATGACAGATGAGTTTCTGTTTCAAGACAATAAGAACCATACTGTTTGTATAAATCCAACAAAAGGAACTTTAAACGAGAAACCTATAAAAGAACTTCTTTTGAAAGCAGATGTTGACAACAAAGCTGACAAAACATATGTAGACGATGCAATAGCAAAAGAAGAAGAAAGAGCTGACAAAGCTTATGCAACAAAAGAACATACTCATCCTGAACTAGCAGACAAAACATATGTTGACAATAAAATGTCAAGTGAAGTGACAAGAGCTGAAAACGAATATTCTAAAAAGACTCATACACATACCATTGCAAATATTACAAACTTACAAGAAACCTTAAACAGGAAAAGTGCCGTTGGACATACACATTCTATATCTGAAATAACAGACTTAAAACGTTAGCCTTGAAAAGAAAGCAGATAAAACATATGTTAACGATGAGTTAGCATATGTGGCTAGTAAGTTAGAGAAGAAAGCAGATAAGGAATATGTGGATGAAAAAGATAACGAAATGAAAGAAAGGGTTGACTGGTACCATGAATGGACATCGAAGATTTTAAAAAGTAAAGCCGATACAGGATGGGTTTCAGGATGTTTAGACCTTAAAGCAGATAAAACATATGTTAACGATGAGTTAGAGAAGAAAGCAAATAAGACTCATACACATACAAGTTTTACAACTTTTACAGCAGATGATATTACACTAAACACAACCTTGCCAAGTAAAGCTCCAACAATACCACCGGCAACAAGTCTTGTAGATACTTGATATCTAATGACAATAGTATTATACATCTAAGACAGGAACTCAATGTGCTTAAACAAATTTTGCCGAATCTTATTTACCCGGTTGGCTCTATTTATACGTCAATGAACTCTACCAGACCAGAAGTAGTACTTGGTTTTGGAACTTGGACTCAAATAGTCGACAGGTTTTTGTATTGTGCAAACTTTCAAAGGAAACAGGTGGAAGTAAAACGATTTCAGGTGCAAATTTACCTGCGCACAGTCACTACGTAAGTTTAACTACATCTCGAGAAGGTGGGCATAGGCATAAATATTGGGATTGGACAGGAATGACAAAAGGTAAAGGATATGATGTTAAAGACAACGTTCAGTTTGCTATAAATTGTTACTTGGATAACACTGAGGTAGGAGGAGACCATACACATTTCGTTTCAGGGTATACGCAAACAACGGGACAAAGTAAAGACTACATGCCACCTTACATGACAGTTTACGCATGGTATAGAAATGCTTAGTCGTCATTTTCAACTTCTTTAGCATATTCGTCAGGAGTTGTCTTATATTTGTTAGGAACTGTCTTTGAAAGTATACCACCTTGAACTTTGACAAGTTTGAAACGAGGTCTGACAATAGTAGTTTTATCTTCTGCTTGCAGTCTGTACATTTTGCCATGTTTGCCTAAAACTTCATAATATTCTCTTGTATACTTTCTTCTATTTTTACGAACACGAATGTGAGTACCTGTCGGGTTCCCATTGTTGTCATAGTCAATAGTATTTTCATATGGGTCGCGTTTAGGTATTTCTATTTTTACTTTGTCACCTTTCTGAAGTTTGAAGCCCGGCATTCTTGCTTGTTTGTCTCTTTTGACTAAATTATTAAATATATAGTCTTTCTCTAAGTCAGGGTTGTTTTTCATTTCTTCGGGGGAGTGGTTTCCCAAACCTTTTTGTTTACGGTTATTGTAAATATTTAAAACTTGTCTCATCTTTGCCATGGAGAAGTGTCTATATTTGTCGTCATATGACATTTCATTTGCTTCACCACCTTGTGGTTGGTTTAAGTCTCTTAACATTTTTATACAACCGTCAATGACACCAAGAGCAGAATGGTTTTGGTCGACAATGAAATATTGGTTTACATTTTTTGAACGCAGATAGTTTTTAATATCATCTGATTTGAAAGAACTTTCACAGTCAGATGTCAGTTTTGTTGGATGGTATTTGTCAACGAATATTGTCAAAGCTGCTAAGATATCTAAAATATTTTTGGACTGTAATGGTATGGCTTCACAGTATCTTGTGTTTTGACCAACAAATATTAACCAGTATGGTGGTCCATCTGTTCTAACTCTCGGAATGTTTTCCAAGATATCCATAAACCAAGCATTTGGTGTTGAACTAAAGATTTTTACCATGAGTGCTTTCTTTGTCGCCTTAGAAACATAGGGGTCCTTGTTTGGATTCGTCATTTTTTAACCCATAAGAAATGGGTTTATTTGGCGCGTTAGCAGGAGTTGCATCCAGATTTTTACCCGCAGTGGGAACAATAGCCAGAGGTGTATTTGGAGTTGGAAGGAAGATTTTGAGTACATTAGGTATACTTAAAGAGAAAGCACAACCTATTATACAAACTGTACAGAAAGGTTGGGATGTAGCACGAGATGCAACAAATCTTATTCCAAATCCTGAAACAAGAGGAAAAGTTCAAGGATGGATGGACAATGTAGGAAGACAAGCAGGAAACTATTATAACAAAGCAAATGACTACTATAACCAAGCAGGACACTATATGGACCAAGGTGAAAGATTCTTTAACAGAGGATATAACCATGCACAACAGTGGGTAAACAATAACCAACCTCAACCACCTCAAACTTGGGGAATGTAAAATTTTTTACTGAGATGAAATGAACAATACAGCATTGAGACAAATGGGTTCAAGATGGATTTGTCGACTTCCAGCAGTTACACAACGTGTTTGTCAAGTTCTTCCTATACCTCAGGAAGTTTTAGACCGACTTAAAAAACAACAACAACCAGTTGAAAACAAACCAAACTAAAATTTTTACTGAGATGAAATGACCGAAGAAGTTGAAACGGTAGATTTGACACCACAAACAAAAAGTTCAGAACCATTGTCAAAACCTGTCAAAGAACTTACAGATGAAGAGAAAAATTCAATAATAGAAAGTGCCAGGTCTGGAAATACAAACCCTAACTACAAAGTCACTTTTCATAAAAATGGAACGGCAAGTATCTCAAAAAAGAAACAGACTCTCACAAATAAAATATTGAAGTCTGAAGGAGCTTTCGAGACAACAGATGGAAAAGTTTACTTCACTGACCAACAGTTCATTATAGAACATCTCATTGACTTAGAGTCGAAATATTCTAAACTTTACAACAAACACAAAAAGTTGAAAGGAAAACAAAAACAAATGGCATATGATATTTATGAAGATGTTGACGACACAACTGTTCCTGCAAGTGAGGTAAAGTCAAAGGAACCGAAAAGTGACGAAAAACCGATAGAAGAAGAGAAACCAAAAACTGAAGATAAACCAAAACCAAAGTTTAGTTTCCAAACTAAACCAAGTCAACCTTCACTAGCTGGTATGGGTTGGCGTCAAAGACTTATGGCAGCAGGCGGTTATGTAAAGTAAAGAAAAAAATATTTTTTTATTTTATTTGAAATGTACGCTGAGTTTGTTGGAGAAGACCGTTGGGAAACTTGTTTGTTAGATGAGAAATATGAAATTCACTGTTGTGAGTCATTTGAAGTCAGAAACAAAAAGACAAAAAGAGTTTTAAGCGAATGGGAGCGAAATAACGGATATGCTATTGTGAAGATGGGTGGGAAACACTATCTTAAACATGTTGTCATTGCAACTCATTTTATACTGAATCCTAACAATTTACCTTTTGTAGACCATATAAACCATATAAGAAACGACAATAGACTTGAAAACTTACGTTGGGTCACTCGTTCTGAAAACAATAAGAACAAAGGCAAATTTGGAGATATTGTATTCGAATTTGTCGACGAACTAGAAGATGAAACAATTGAAATTACAGACTATGGCGAGCATACGTTTGAGTTTTACTACTATAGCGAAGAACAAGACTCTTTCTACTTTTATACCGGCGTAAACTATAGGAAATTACAAGTATATTTTACTAAGGAAGGCTATGCTTATGTAAACACTAGAGATACAGATGGAAAATACGTTAAAATACTTCTTAACAAATTCAAGAAGCTATATGGCATACCATTTTAAAACCATATATTTTTACATATATTAAATGCTTCAGGTTGAAAAACAAAGAACAAAAGTAGCAGATACAAAACCGTTAGACTATATCTTTACAAATGCTGGTAGGAATATTTCAGATGAAGAAATTTCATCCCGAGCATACAGGTTTGACTATCCAATTCGTTGGCTTCAAAGTCCTTCAGATGCAAAGGCAATAGGATTTAGAAGAGTTTTGTTTTCAAATAGAACTAACGCATTTATGTTCGCAGTATATTTTCATGGGCAGTATAAAGGTTCTGATGGTCTAATAGACAAATTTGACGAAATGAGGATCTTTACAGTTCGTTCAGGCGAAAGTCTTGAGAAAACTCTAAATGACTTTCAAACTCAAATAAACAAATATTATTGGGAATTTCAAGAAAAATACGACTCTTTACTAAATGGAACATACTATCTGAAACTAGAATATGACAAGATGAACTCCACCGTTTCATTTCAAAAGATTGAAATTAACCCTCCAAGAGATACAGAGTTTTTATTTTGGGGAGTAGACAAACGTTCTTGGGCACAATTTCTTCGGTTACTAAACCAGAACGAACCATTACCACCAGATGGTCCATTTAAATTTATACTTCCACCAGCAGATTTGACAGTTTATAGAAATGTGTTCGACCCTCAAAATGTTATGTGCCATGCAAGTTTCAGTTCAAGCAACAATAGTTTTCTATGTATCGGTAAGGACTTTTATGACTTTGCTTCTAAATTCTACGAACCACCTAGTAACAGTTTCTCTGACTTTCAAGTTTGGTTCACAACAAATGGTGTGCAGCATATTATACCATTGTACTATGACTTTTATCTCGAATTGTCTTTCATATACAACTACGGAAAAGTGCTGAAAAAGTATTGAAAAATATATTTTAGGTGGAACCAGGTCCCTCGGTCCCTCGGTCATTTTAACTTCTCTGAAAAAGTGTGACAACATGACATTTAGACAACAGTCCAGGAAATAAACTTCATCGTACATGTTTTGTCATGATTTCATCGTAAATGTTTTGTCAAACATGTACGTAAATGTTTTGTCATGACTTCTTCATCGTATTCTTTCACCCGTTGAATTTTGTATAAAAAGCAACCCGCGGAATTCCGGCGGTTGGTATATTCTTCACAAAATGCTTGTTTTGAGGTCGAGCCACTTTTGGTTCACCGTATTTTTCAACCAAAACTCATTTTTTTCGGCAAAAATATATTTTAGGTTAGATGGTGAGATCTCAGAACTAGTCTTATACTGTTTCAAGACAATGTCCGACGGTTAAGCCACAAACGAATGTCCGACGGTTAAGCCACAAACGAATGTCCGACGTACCACCCAAAAATATTTTTTATTTTTATTGTAAGAACTGAAATGACAGTCGAAGCAAAAACGTTCACGAACAAATCTAATGGCGAAACATTCACAAAAGGCACTTACAACGGTATTGAAGTCTTACGTAGAGACAAGGATGGTTATATAAATGCAACAAATATGTGTCAGCAGTTTAGGAAAGACTTTAGAAGGTTGTTGGAAAATAAGTCCTGGGAAGAGTATTTTAAGGCATTTTGTGAAGAATATAGCAACCGCCGGAATTCCGGCGGTTGGTTTTTATACAAAATTCATGCAGGAATTCCTGATGAAATCAAACAGGTTAGAGGAACGTATGTAGACCCAAGACTTGTAAACTATATAGCAATGTGGGCTTCTCCAAAATATTGTATAGCAGTTGGAAAAATTATGGACTCCATAGACAAGAAAGTTCATGAGAAATTAGATGAAGAAGAACTCGAAGATACAGTAGAGAATGCTAAACCTTTGTTCGAACAAGAAGTTAGAAAAATGCATGAAAAACAAATAGAACATGAACATGAGATGTGTTATGGTTATAAAGATTCTCCATACGAACTAGACCAATGGGAACAAGAAGATTTAAAGAGAGAATTTAGAGAATATGAACTCGCTAAGATAGCATTAGAAGCTGCAGAAAAGAAGTTAAAAGTTTGGGGTCGTTTTGTAAAAAAATATTGTGAGTAAATGAACCATTTATTTTTATTGAATTCAGCAAAAATACAATTTAGGGTAGATGGTTTTTAGGTGTCACCAGGTCCCTCGGTCCCTCGGTTAAACGAACTTCTCTGAAAAAGTGTGACAACATGACATTTTGACAACAACACAGGAAATAAACTTCTTCGTATATGTTTTGTCAAGACTTCTTCGTAAATGTTTTGTCACCCGTTGAATTTTGTATAAAAAGCAACCCGCGGAATTCCGGCGGTTGGTATATTCTTCACAAAAATGCTTGTTTTGAGGTCGAGCCACTTTTGGTTCACCGTATTTTTCAACCAAAACTCATGAATTTTGTGCTGAAATAAATAAAGTTAGTTTTTTTAAAAAAATATTTTTTATTTTTATTGTAAGAACATGTTAGCAACAACAGCACCAAACTCGTTAGTCATGAACCCAACTTCAATGTTAGTAGAGATGAAAAGCTTCATTCCTTCTTCATATACTTTCGAAACAGAAATCCAGAAGATAAAGCAGGAACTTCTCCAAGGAGATTTAGATTGCACTGCGAAAGATGAAACAAATGAACAGTATCTTTATGAAATGCAGGATATTATTGACCATCTACCTAAACTTCCTGAAATACAACAACAAAAGCTTACTATTCCTGAATTCGATGAAATAGAAGTCAAAGCAACTGACTCAGTTGAAATAAAGAAGTTCATACGTAAGGTAAACTATGAGTTTCTTGGATTTCATTGCAACCACAAAGACTGCGATATGGTATATTTCATTGACATATATAAATCTGGGGAGTTTAAGACCTACGACAACTTTGTTTCGTTAGTTGCAAAATGTGTATGGCAGATAAGAGATAAAGATAGAAGAGGTAAAGTATGGAACGGACAAATAAAACCCGCAACTTTTGAGTTAAAGAAAACCATTTACGCCTTAGTTGTTTTAGCAGGTAAGGTTTCAATGTACAATGCTAAAATGAACCCACAATGTTCAAAATGTAAAGCAGCAATGAAGAAATATAACTACTCCGTCAAAGAGATAGAACGTATGAGAAACGACTATGCTGACTTAAAGAAAGAAGTAGAGAAACCAGCAGAAGATAAAATGGACATGTTGACATTTCTGAACAAAAACTATCCAACAGCTGACGATTTCCTTCTATCTGATGTCAAGAAGAAATATAAAGAAACTTTCGGCATTGTTAAAACATTCGATGTACTAAAAGAAGAAATAGAAGCCACAAAACTGTTTAAAGTCATGAACCATCACAACATATACCATGTAAAACGCTTGTGAAACTTTATGGTAGAAATATATTTTTGTCTGATTTACGCTCATTGACGAAGAAGTTTTGACAAAACATATACGAAGAAGTTTATTTCCTGTGTTGTTGTCAAAATGTCATGTTGTCACCATTTTCAAAAAGATGTTAGTTGACCGAGGGACCGAGGGACCGAGGGACCTGGTGACCCTCATGAAAAAAAGAGGTGAAAAAACATATACGATGAAGAAGTCTTGACAAAACATATACGATGATGAAGTTTTGACAAAACATATACGAAGAAGTTTATTTCCTGTGTTGTTGTCAAAATGTCATGTTGTCACCATTTTCAAAAAGATGTTAGTTGACCGAGGGACCGAGGGACCGAGGGACCTGGTGACACCTAAAATATATTTTTGCTGAAAAAATGACTAAATTTCATTATATAACTGTTATTTTTTGACGAAGAGAACTTTAACACTTCGTAAAAAAAATCCCTGAAATCATATCTTTTATACATGAAAATCGTAAAAAATTGCGAGTAGGGAAAAAAACCTGGTCGCCTAAAACTCATGAAAATCGTAAAAAAATGACCAAATTTCATTATATAACTGTTATTTTTTTACGAAGAGAACTTTAACACTTCGTAAAAAAATCCCTGAAATCATATCTTTTATACATGAAAATCGTAAAAAATTGCGATTTAGACTTTTTTCGGTCTTGCATAAAACTCTATGAAAACCATCTACCCTAAAATATATTTTTGCTGAAAAAATGACTAAATTTCATTATATAACTGTTATTTTTTTACGAAGAGAACTTTAACACTTCGTAAAAAAATCCCTGAAATCATATCTTTTATACATGAAAATCGTGAATTTCCTTAAGATACAAGATAGAAAAAATAAAGTTAGTTTTTTAAAAAAAATTTTTTTTATTTTGTATGTAAGAAACAGAAAATGACAAACACTGAGTTTGAAACAGTTAGAAAGATAGACAATGACACCAAAGTGGTTAGAATTGGTGATTTAAACGTAAGATACTCAAAGAAATACAAGAAATATTCTTTGTCAGACATTATATCTCCATCTGGAAAGAGAGCAATCGACTGGGTTAGAATTGCTTCTAGTCAGAAAATTTTGACAAGAAATCCTGAGCTTATGATATCAGTAGCATTTCATGGAACAAGAGCATATCTCATCGACAAAAGTCTTATACCAATAGTTTTGTTATGGATTGACCCAGTTGTTGGATATAACTTCATAACATATGGTTCATTCGATACGGAACGTTGCAGTGAAGGCTTACTTTACATCGTTCAGAAACCGAAGGACTTCAATACAAAGAGATATAAGATAGGAAGAACATATAATATAACTAAAAGATATGACAGTATAGTCAATAGAGTTAAGGTTGTGTTCGTTAACGATATGAGAGCTGCTGAAACAGAACTACTTGAAAAGTTTGAGAAAATGTATGGTGCTCCCACGAAAGGTAAAGAAACGTTTGAAGTAGATGAGATAGGTAAAGCTATAAAATTATTTGACGAAGTTGCTGAAAAATACATGTAAAGCGTTTATTTTTGGTCTTTTGTGAAAGTCAGAAAATAAAGTTAGTTTTTAAAAAAATATTTTTTTTATCCGGAATATAAGGACAGATATGTCAACATCAGAGAACACAACAACTGCTATCGTTCATGAAGCTATAAATGAAGAATACGAGTACATACAGTTTAACAAACAACTCCGTCTCATTCGTTCGGTCAAAGACGATATGTACCAAATGCAAAGTATTTTGAATGCTCTTCGTTCTACAAAGCAAGCATATCATTGGTTTGAAAACCAACAGACAAAAGAACTTTTAGAAGAATTTCCTCATATGTTTGCGACCCTCGGAAAACCGAGGGTCGAGATTCCGTACGAAAATCGTGAAAAATTGCCAAACGGTTTGAGAGGATATTATGTACATAGACTTCTTGTAAATGCTGTTGCAATGTGGGCTTCACCTCGTTACGCTTGTTATATTTTCATGATGTTAGATGAAATTCATAGACAAGAACGTGAAGAGATGGAAAAGAAACTTCATGCAAAAGATGAAGTCATTGAAGCAAAAGACAAAAACATTCAGAAAAGAATACCACGTTCGGTACCAAAAGGAAAGGAAAAGAACTATAAGTATATGATTTATACTGAAGAGATGGAAAATGAAGAAGACAGAGATATGGTTATGTTGCATTTAGTCAGAAGAAACAACAAAAGCTTTTACGACCTTGCTAAGATTTACAAATCTGACAGAAATTGGTTCTATCGCGAAAACTTACCGATTTCAATGACACCGAATGAAGATGTGAAACAAATAGTTCAAGATACGTTACCTCAAACACACTATGATATTAAAGGTTGTACAATACTTACCTTCAAAGAAGACTTACCGCTACTGAAAGAAAAAATAACAGAGTATTTTGACAACTTCAAACAAGCAGAGTAGATGAACCATTTATTTTTACGCTTGACTTCAGATGGCTCAGGTAGCTCTATAAGGTAAATTGTCTTGTCAAATCCTTCTGGCATTCCGAGTCCTTCCATCCGACATTCCAAGTTCTTCCATCCGACATTCCAAGTTCTTCCTTCCAACAGGGAAAAAATTTCCTTCAGACAGGAAAAAAATTTCCTTCAGACAGGAAAAAAATTTCCTGTTGTTCGTCCGTAAACCATTCAAATTTTCGAAAATTGAGAACTTTTTGGTCGAACGACAGAAAAAATTTTTCCTTCCGACAGAAAAAGTTTTTCCTTCCGACAGAAAAAAATTTCCCGACAACTGGAAAAGTTCTTCCATCCGACAGAAAAAAATTTCCCGACAACTGGAAAAGTTCTTCCTTCCGACAGGACACAAACGAATGTCCGACGTACCACCAACCGAGTCCATTCCAAAGCCAGAAGAACCGACAGCCCCAGCACCACAACAGACTAAGACCAAACACTTACATTTTTACGCTTGACTTTTTACAATTTGAACTTTGTTTGCGTAGATATGAATTCTGAAAGAAGTATGAGGGTCTTGTATGACTTTGTACCTCTCCCATAGTTCATGTCTGTCAAACTTACCTGCCATGGACTCTTTCATAAGTTCCATGAAATCGTCTTCGGACAATCCGGGGAAAAGTACAATGTCAGTAAGTATTCTCTTTACATCCTTACTTAAACTCTTGGCTGTCTGTACACAAATGACAACTGAGATGTTAAAGTGTCTGAGCTTCTTAAGAATTCGACACATATCTTGTTCTCTGTTCTTAACAAAGGATGAGAGGCGAAATCATCTAAGATAAGAAGACATCTGTGAGGGTACGTTTTCCAATCGTAAGATTGCAATTTCTTCGAAATGTATTCTATCTCTTTCTGTTTGTTTCTGAAGTGTTTCTTCTCTAATATTCTCTGCATTTCCTCATTTGGGTCTTTAAACTTAGAATTTATATACTCATTTATAGCATTGTACTTCAAAACTCTTCTTTGGTACTTCTTTATCCAATCTAACAACTCAGAGTCTTTTATACATACTAACTTAGACTTCTTTATAATATCTTTGAACGAATTGACGGTTTGGTCAAATTGACCAGAAGTACTACAAATGACTACTAACTCATAGAATGGGTTCTTCTCATCTAGTTCTTGTTGTTGTGCAGCCATTTTAAGATAAGTGAAAGTCTTACCCGACCCAGGTGGTGCAATTAGACCTGTTATACCATTCTGAGCAAATAAGAACTTGTCATGTATGGGTTTTATCTGAGCATTTTCCAACTTCCTCTTGTTCTTATTTAAAACATTCTCAAATTTTTTGTCAATGTCAGCAAACTTTTTTTCTAACATATTTTTAGAAAAATTAAAATTTTTATCTTTTTGAAAATGTCTAGCGATTTCGCCATCTATATTCGAGACAAGCTTTTCGACAGCAAAACATCTGTCGACCATAAAATCTTACATAGTGTAAACAAGAAAGGTGAATTTGTTCTAAAGTTCTGTTTCTGGGAATATGACAAGAACCATAAAACATTAAGCAGAGAAGTCTTAAAATTTGTCAATGACAGACTTGTTGACAGAGATGACGCCTCTTGGAGAGATGAAGTCCAACAAAACTTCTTAGAATGCAAAGAAGACACATGCACTGTTCTTGAAGATGAAATAGAAAACAGAATAGAAGAGCTATTAAAGGACAAAGAACTTTTACAAAAATATGGTTCTGAGAAATTTGACATAACTCCACCAGAAAAGAAGAAGAGAGAAAAGAAAGAAAAGAAAGTAGAAGAAGAGAAGAAAGAACCAGAGCCAGTTCCAGAGAAGGGGAGATATGACATGTAAAAATAAAATTTTATTTTTAGAACATTTCTGGGTCAATGTCAATGTTCTCTTCCTCTTTAGGAGCAAACACTGGCTTAGACTCTAAAATCTTTTTACCCAATTTACCTTGAACTTCTACAACTTTAGACTCATAATATTCATAGTCGTCTGCTTTCTTTGGTTCATAAGGTATAACAAGTTTGTATGCTTTACCTTCTTCGAGTTTTGAGAACCTTCTGTCAAAACTTTCTTTGACTGCTAACAAACCTTCTATGTCTAAGTCTTCAAATTTCGCACCATTTTTAGTCACAATAGCAAACTTAACTGGTTCGATGTTCCAAACTTTGCTGAATGAAGACTTTTCAAAATGGTAGAAGTAAACATTCAAATATGTGAATGGGTCTAGTTCTTCTTTAAGTCCTGACATGTACTTGTTTACTGAGATGAATTTTGTCATCTTTTCTATCGGATAAAAAAAATATTTTTTTTTAAATTTACTCAGAAAAATTTTTCTTTGTATATACACCATTCTGTACGTCTAAAAGACTTTTGACATTTGCCAAGAATGTTCGTTTAGACGCTGTCATATAACCATATTCTTGACAATATTGTTTATACGAATCGTACAATGACCTTTCATCTAAACACTCAAAGTCAGTTTCATCTATGAACAGTTCATATACACTCTTGTTTGCTTCTAACAATGTTTGTCTCTCTTCGGTATGTGGAATTTGTCTTGGATTGAACTTAGAAATATCTAATGTCATGAAATATGAGAACAAGTGGTTGTAAAAGTCAGATGTCAAAGTTTCTGCTAAGTCGTCAAAATATTCTGTATCTTGCATATGAGAATCTGACGTTCTGACAACTACATATCTTCTGTCAGAACTTTCTAACTTCATCGGAACAGCATTGTTTGAAACCATAACGAAGTTTGCAACATTTTCACAAACTCTTTGGTCTTTATATTTTCTTTCAACAACTCCAACTTTGTCTGTTATAAGACTCTTCAAAGCATCTGAGTTCAAAACTTTTGTTGTATCTATACTTTGAAGTTCGTTACATACTATAAGTTTCATATTCTCTATTGAAGAGTTAAATTTACCGCAGATGTTTTCTAAGTTTGTCATATTCGGATTCGAATAACCTTCTAACAGTTTGCACAAAATATCTGTAAAGAATGTGTTCTTACCTGTTCCTTGTTTTCCAATTATAATGAGAGCAGTTTCATTCTTAGCACTTGGATGTTGTAAGATGTTTGCAAACCAACATAAGATATACTCATAGACTCTTTCGTTTCCATTGCATATAATTTCTTTGACATGGTCTAACCAAGCTTCTATAATATTTTCTTTCCATTCTACTTGTTCGTATTTATATCCAGTGAAGATAGAATAGAAGTTTGGAGAAGGTGTATAGAACTTTATACCTCGAACTGAAAAATCTTCAAGTTTTGACAATAAGATATCCCAAGCATCTAACATCTTCATGCCAACTTGTACGACTTTTATTTTCTTAAGTTTCTGTTTACATTCTTGTTCTGAAACTATTGTTGCTCTTGGTTTGTTAAAGACTACATCCCATTCTTTCATAACATAACATTCTGGGGCAGAGTCGACATAAATGACTAAACGTTTCAAATTCTCGACTGCTTTGTTATAGTCTCGAAATGGACACATATTTCTGAACGCTTGGAAGTCATAAAAATCTGAAACATCTATTCTGTACATTTTTATAAAAATAAAAAAAATATTTTTTTTTATTCTTGACTTTGTTGTTGCATTTGTTGCATTTTTTGTTCTTGAGCTATTTGTTGCATTTGTTGTTCTTGAGCTATTTGTTGTTGAAGTTGTTCTTGTAATACAATACTTTCACCAGTTGCATCTTCCAATTCGAAACTTTCTGCCGTCATTGACAAATACATAGGACATAAAAGTTTTACAGGAACAAAGTTTGCGTCAACTAAGGTTAAGTTTATGTTTGCTAAAGTGTTTGAGTTTACTAAAGCTGAAAACTCTGCATTCGAATGAACAATAGGTAGTGATGCGAAAAATTCCCAAACATATGGGGTTTCTCATATCCCGTCCCCTATCGTTTCCCCAATTCAATTTTTTTTTGGAATTTTATTTTTTTCCCGCCCATTTGAATTAAAAATGGGCGATTTTCGTTAATGTGATTGAAATATCATAAAATTAATACGTATTTTAGCTAATAATTCTATTTTTATACAATATTCTCTCATTAAATCAACATTTTTTTAATTTTAATTTTTAATTTTTAATTTCTTCATAATTTTAGCGATTTATGCTCATTATTAGCAAATAAATAATATATATAATATACTTATTTCATTTTATTCAGATAGGTCTTTGGGATTGGGATACCTTGTCCAAATTCAGAGGAAGTTTGAGAGGTTGGGATGGGGTAGCCCATATTCAATTATCCCAAGTGTACTCCACGAATTTAAAATTATATTATATTATTGATGACATATCTAAATTTATAGATAAAAATTTCAATGTGTACACAATTTTTTTTGAGAAAATTCTTTTTTTTTACTTATTTTCATTCATAAAAGCTCACGTGAACTTAATTAACAACTGAGACATTTCCTATGAAATCATTTAATGCCGTCAAAATAGACATGTCTAAGCTGTTTTGAGTGACTTTCGCTCGATGTCTGATGCAATATCAGACATCGAGCGAAAGTCTCTCATATTGGCAACACATCCATACGATCAATACTATAGCTACGAATTACAACCTGTTTGGGCAATTTTTGGCCGAGTTCTGATTTTTCATTAGATCTCGAGCGAAAGTCTCTCAAATTGGCTGCCAGTTCATAAGAGTGAAACTCTAGCTACGAATTAGAAGCTTGCTTGAGAGACTCTCGCTCGCGTTGGGATCTGCATCAGAACTCGAACGAAAGCCTCTCAAAGTGGTAAGACCTGCTCATTGTTGAGCAGGAGCTGCGTAATGTGTTCGAGTAGAGTGAGGCTCTTCTAAGATCTTCCTTGTGATTGGAAGAAATTAGAAGAGTCTCACTCTACTATTTTGTAATTGTATGCCCTGGCCTTTGAGTGACCAGGGCTGCGTAATGTGTTCGAGTAGAGTGAGGCTCTTCTAAGATCTTCCTTGTGATTGGAAGAAATTAGAAGAGTCTCACTCTACTATTTTGTAATTGTATGCCCTGGCCTTTGAGTGACCAGGGCTGCGTAATGTGTTCGAGTAGAGTGAGGCTCTTCTAAGATCTTCCTTGTGATTGGAAGAAATTAGAAGAGTCTCACTCTACTATTTTGTAATTGTATGCCCTGGCCTTTGAGTGACCAGGGCTGCGTAATGAATTCGAGTAGGATTGTACAATAGCTCGGCAAACGCCGAGCAAATTGATATAAACGTACATCCCACAAAAAATGGATTGTCAAAATTTATCCCAAATTTTACAAAACCGCAGCGGTTATGACATCCCAGGGCTAAAAAAATTCGGAAACTCGCATCTCTACAATAGGCAAACCAGCAGAGAAAGTGTTGTTTATACGCATAAGTATCTTTTGGTCATAGTAGTTTCTGTCGACATTCGAATAACACTTTGAACCTAAGTTTGAAACAATATATAAAATAGGTGTACTTAAAGTCAATGGAACAGACATTCCTTGTATGACACCTTTTCCTGTTATAGGAAACTGTTGGTAGTAAAAACCAGATATAAGTTTTGTATTATAGCTCATATTGTTTATAGTAAACTCAGTCGGACATCCAAACATAATGAAACCTGCTCTAGTTGCAGCACATGTTACACTCGTCCTTAAAGTATTAAATAAGTCAACAAAACCTGTTGGTGGTATATCTGAGTAAGTATCTTCAAAGGAGTATTTTTTACCATTCACAACAATAAAATCTTCTGGTGTCAAAAGAGCAAAACAAGCTTTAGTCGTCATTGTGTTTAAAGTTAGTTTACAATATCGTCCTTGAGGACTTTGTAAGTTTGTTGTTATAGAATTATATGACTCAGGGTTTTTAGTCGTAATAGTATAAACCATTGTGTCTTCTGCCATTTACTTAGCAAATAAATTTTAATGAAATGTTGTGGTCGTCAAATATTTTTATAACGTCTGGGAAACTATACTTTAAGTTCAACGTTTCACCTCCTTTCATAACGTATATCTTGTCAATGACATTATATGAAACACCACAGCAACTAATGTCGGGTTCTATTTCTTTGATGTTTATATCGTCTGCCTCTGTCAAAAGTTTCAATAGTTCTTTCAAAACTTCATGAGGTGCAATGACATATGAGTTCACTTTTACAGGGTTGTGTTCGACCAAGTTTAACATTATACCTAAAGCTTGACAAATCTTCTCCTGAGTTTGAAGTTTGTTTTTCAGTTGTTGGTAGTCATTTCGAATATCTGCAACAGAACTTAAGTCTCTGCTAACTTCAGGGTATGTTGGTTCTTTTACAGGAACTATTGTTATACCATCTTGGTCTTCGTATGGTTTCCCCACTTCAACATCTCTTTCTTTGACATTGACAATAACACTTTGACTGTTTGTTTGAGTTGGTGAATTTAACTTCACATCTGCTACCGCCATTAAACCTTTTGAAACACTTACGCTTCTATTTTTCGGAAATGACATTTTACTTAGAATAAAAAGATGGACGTATTTGAGTATCTCTTCGAATTGAAGCAAAACAAAGTTTACACACACAAACAATACAAATACATTGACAGAATAGTTCTTTATACAAACAATGGTAAATGTTATAGAATAGCAGTCTTTGCTGAACCAAAATATTTTCATAAAGCAAAGAAAGTTGGTATAACTGAAATGGTGAAAGTTCTTGAAGCAGACAAAAATATAACAACAAAACTTACAGATATTTCTAAAGGAAAGTTTATAATACAATATTATGTCAAAACTGGCGTACTGTCAATATTTGACGGAGAGAAGTCAGTTCAAGAACAACTTACTGACCTGCTGCCAAAATCTGCTCGATGGAAGCTGTCGTTATGCCAATCTGAGGAGCCCCAGCAGGTTTCATCGAACGAATCTTCAAAAAGCATCTTCCGTGAAAAGTGCTATTGGTTTTGTAAACTTCTTTGCTTTCAATTCATCTGGACCGTCTCTGTCACCAGTATATTGTATTTGTACAGTACCAACAGTTGAAATACCACCCATAAAGTCTTCTGAGTCAGCAAATGGAATGCCAAGCCAAAAGTTTGAACGGTCTCCATTTGTATATTGAGTTTTTTGACTTCCTGTATGAGTCCATACTTTCACATATGGCATAATAGAACTTTGCATTTCAGGGTTAATGGTTGTTGTGAAGTTGTTGTTAAAGTTCATAGCATCTAATGTCAAGTTGTATGACCTCATATCTTCAACTGTAGAATATTCTTCTCTTGGATAATATTTGCCATCTATGTTTATATGATATTTAATACCGGGGTTGTAGAAACAAGAATAGTCATTTATAGTTCGTCTGAACAGTACAAACATAGTATCTGCATGTTTCATTGCAGTTGTTAAAGCAATATCTGTTCTTGCACCTGGGTCAGCACTTTGGTTTCCAACTTCACCTGCAAAGTCTTTGACAGATATTTGGTGTATAGGGAACATAAGTGGAACTGCAATATATTTGGCAGCTAAAGCATTTGAAATATCTGGGTCCAACATATAGACTGCAAGTCTGCTTTCTATTCTCTTGCATTCAAATTTTTCGCATGTGAACTTAACTGGGTCCCAAGCAGTTCCAGCAGCATTGAAATAATAGTTTACTTCAGTGTTGAAGTTTGAGAAACCAAAGTCTAAGTCAACTTTGTCTTTGCAAAAGTCACAGAACTTGGCTCCACCAGTTCCAGCTACGTCTGTAATAGTGAATGGGTCTTGTGTTGGTGCAATGACTAAGTTATTTTTGCTTGGAGTAAGTTCGATAGAAATTTTTCCTGCCCAGTTTGGCAAGTATCTTAAAAACCTGAAGATGAGGAAAGATGACAAAGGAACTCTAAGTTTCAGTTTTACTTTGGTTACTGCTGCTGCAGTTTGTCCAGAAAGGTTAACATAAACTCCTGGAACGTTAGGGTCAAGTCTTCTTATTTTCTCAATAGTTGCATATTGGTCTGTTTGTTCTCTAGCTTGTGGTTGTACTGAGTTTCTCAAAGCGAACCATTCATAGTTTGCCCATGTTACTGTTTGAACTAAGTCAGAGTTAGAATATATCTTATATCCCATGAAAACTTCTGGAGCATATTGGTATCCGACATAGAAAATTCCATTGCAACCTTTCTTGTCAGACAACTTGGCAGAAGGTTTTATTTCAATGTCTTGTTCCACGTATAAGAATGAGTTGTCAATAGAAATTATATGAAACCTGTCGCAAGCAATATCTACTGTTGTTGAAGAACCTTCTCCAAACTCACCTACGTTTCCATAAGAAACAGCAGTTGTATATTCGTAAGTTCCAGGAACTATTTCTGACCTTCTAATGGCATTGTCGCATTCGTTATACCATTCGGAAACATTTCCGTTCATGGCATCCAAAACTGTTGGCGTTATATTCTGAGCGGCGTACATTTCATATGGGTAAAAATATAGAATAGTTGGATTTATGTGTCATAATAGAACCCACTCGGACCAAGCTTTACTTTCTTCCTGACTGAGTTTTTAACTCTTCTTTTTCCTTCATTGCCACTACTTTCACTAGATGAAGTTACTTCTTCACTACTTTCACTTTGTTCTACTCTTCTTCTTTGGTGTCGCTTTTGGTAACTTGCCCTCTGCTTCAAGTTGTTGCATCTTTGCCTCATGTTCACCTAGTATGTTGTAAATTTCCCATGTCCTTTTTGCCTTTGGGCTCTGGTCGCCCATCTCAGGTAACCTATATCCTAGAAAGATTTTGTCATAGTTTGTATTTGAGTCTTCGCTTATTGTTTGCATGACTCTTTCCTGAGTTTCCGGTTCAAGCTCTTCAAACAGAGCTTGTCCATATGGAATAAGCTCGTTTCCAAATATATGTTTTTGTAGCCATTCTGGTTTTCTTTCCATGTTACCAATAATATCTTTTGTGAATGGGAAAGCTTTTACCCAACGTTTCAGGCTTGCGTCATTTATTTCTGTAGTTGGTTTTATTTTGTCAAGGAACATGTTTTTCAATACTAACATTTCATTTGGTACTGTCCATTTGAGTTTACTTAAATATTCATCCCTTCTCGGTTCATTGTCTGCAAAGTAAGTTTTTATGACATTTTGTAAACTTTCGTTTGCAAGGTCATGTACAATAGGTTCTCTTCCTTCTCTCTCCCTAACTTTCTTTCTAAACTCTTCACCAAATATACCATCTTTATGGTTCTGTGTAGTTCTTTGAGATAAATGTTCTAGAACGTCAGGTGTTATATTTCCATCAGCCATGTTCATTTCATACTGGTCCAAATATCTGCATCTTTCATATCTTTCAATGGCATTAAAGCCGCGCTGAAAATACCAGCTATATCTGGTTCACCATTGACTTCCATTGCGTCTACAACTTCTTGGAATTGTGGTTGTAAGTTTATGAACCACCTATCCGGGTTAGCTTTATGACCCCATCTCATTGTAGTTCCATAGTCTGCAGAAACAAAAGTAGGTTTGTTTCCATATTGGTTAGGTTCTGAATGAACTTTAAACAATGTTTCATTTCTATATGTTTTGTTGAAATTTAACCTTTTATTTTCACCGAGTTCAGCCAAAGATTGAACGTTATATGGTCGTAAGTAAAAAGGGTTATTGTATTTGCGTACATTTTCTTTCAGTACTTCCATTCTATGCTGAATATTTTCATCTGGTGTTGGAGTCTTTTGTATGTCGGCAAACATTTTTCGATATTCTTCTACTATGTCAGCCGAATTTTTCTTAGACTCTTGGAAAGATTCCATATTCACCTCATACTCTTGTTGAGGGTCAAGATTTTTCGGCTGTTCCAAATCTTCATCTAGTTCTGTGAAGTTAGTTTCCAAAGGAGGGACTTGTTCGTTTCCTTCAGGCTCTTCTAGCTGTTGTTGCTGAACTATTTCTTCCATGTCTGGTTGTATCTGAACTTCTTCCTGTGGAGTTTCTTGTACCTCATCTGCTGGCATTTCATATATTCCGAGACCGTTTTTAACAAGTTCCCTATTTAAGTCATCCGCATTCATAACCCTTTCTTCTTTCGTTCCGTCTCTATTTTTTACGCTTTTCATGAAGATAGTTGAATTGTCATTTAGCTCTGACACCAAATATCTCGGAGTAAATTCAGTCATGTCATTTGGATGATATGCTATTAAATCATATTCCTTAGCGAGTTTGTATTTTCCAGGTTTGAAATTATATCCCATTTGGTGCTGAGCCATAAAGCTAAATAGGTTCGGGTCAGTATTTCCTTCCTTGAACTTTCTAATAGCTTCTTTATATCTGTCACTAAAGTCAAGAGTAGCTGGGTAACCATAATCTTCCTTTAGCATTTTTAAGAATTCTTGGTTTCCTTGTTCTCTACTTCTTTTATGTCCTTGCTCTGTTTGTGGTTGTTGTTGTGCAGGGTTTTGAACTGTTGGTTGCTGTGCTGGTTGTGGAGGTGGTTGTTGTGCTGTTTGTTGTTGCTGTGCTGGATTTTGAACTGTTGGTTGTTGTGTTGGTTGTTGTTGTTGTGCTGGATTTTGAACTGTTGGTTGTTGTGTTGGTTTTGGTGCATGCCTGTGTCTGTGTCCATGTGACGATGTAAATGTTTTAGGTAGTCCTGGTGCAGGTGCTTCTCTTGGAGGGTTTGGTGGTATATAAGTTCCACTAGCTAGTATATAAGTTCCACCAGCTGGTATATAAGTTCCACCAGCTGGCACATATGTTCCATCTGCAGCATAATGTCCTACCTGACTTTTCGTTTTTAAGAAAGCATTTACTAGGTCTGTTTTGGTCTGTTGTAACTCTTTTTCTTGACTTTCCACAACAGTTGCTCTAACGGCGTCATAGGCACTTTGAACTGCCTGTCTCGTTGCTGCATCTGTTATTTTCGTCATATTTTGTGCTACTTCTTTAACTCTTTGTCGAAACCTTCAGACTTCAGTTTCTTTCCAGATGAGAAGTCGTTCACTAGTTTCACCTTACTATGAAGAGCTTCGAAGGCGTTCTTAAAGTCAGCATTCGTTAAAGCTTCATTTGAACTGTCTTCATCCGCTTGTATTTTTGTCCTTATTGACCCTATAAGCTGGGCTGCTTTAGCGTTGGCTTGGGCATCTAACCAGTCATTGTTAGCTTTTATATATTCTGCGCTTTTCATTGCCTTTTGCATGGCTGCGTCGTTATTTTTACTTTCTTGTGCTAAGTTTTCATACTGTACGGTTTGGTTTTGCAACTGTAAAAGTTTTTCTGCCTTTACATTTGCTTCAACTTCTTTTTTATACTCATCGCTATCCATATATGTCTTCAGGGCTTTTTGTTTTATCTCTTCATCTTTCAGTACTTTATATTGAGTAGTATGGTTTTTCAAATTTATAACATCTTGTTCCATTTTTGCTACTTCTGCTGCTTTTTCTGACACTTTTTTCGCATATTCCTCTGTACTTAGTTCTTTCAGTTGTTCTTCTTTCTTCTTTTTCTCTACGTTTAACTCATTGAGTTTCTTTGTGTGTCTGTCATATTCTAGTTTCTTTTCGTTTTCACTTATTTGTTTCTGTATGTCTATGTTTGACTTTTTGACATCTGATATTTGATTTTTGAGTGAACTCAAATTCATTTGACTTTGAGGGTTATAGGCTGTTCCGTCTGCAGCTCCACCATAGCCTGCCATTTTCGCTAAAAGTGCCGCTCTTAAACCTCCACTCTGTGCACCAAGAACTCGGTTTAAAAGCATAGGATTGCTTGACATTTGTTGCAACATAGTGGGGTCATTCAGCATTTGTTGTTGCAACTGTTGTTGTGGTGTCAGTTTTACTATTGGATGTTTCAATGCTCTCTTCCTCTTACGTATATTCTTACGTAGCTTACGTGGCATTTTAAGTGAAGTTAAAAAGCGGTTTTTGACAGATGTTTATATGACACTTTCTCCGGTTTATAGGACCTCTCTCATATTCTATCTTGTCAAGACTTCTTCGTACATGTTTTGTCAAGACTTCTTCGTACATGTTTTGTCAAGACTTCTTCGTACATGTTTTGTCAAGACTTCTTCGTAAATGTTTTGTCAAGACTTCTTCGTACATGTTTTGTCATGATTTCATCGTACATGTTTTGTCATGATTTCATCGTAAATGTTTTGTCAAAACTTCTTCGTAAATGTTTTTGTCAAGACTTCTTCGTAAATGTTTTGTCAAGACTTCTTCGTAAATGTTTTGTCATGACTTCTTCGTAAATGTTTTGTCATGACTTCTTCGTAAATGTTTTGTCAAGACTTCTTCGTAAATGTTTTGTCAAGACTTCTTCGTACATGTTTTGTCAAGACTTCATCGTACATGTTTTGTCATGATTTCATCGTACATGTTTTGTCATATCTAAACTCATAGTCATGTATGTCCTCTAACCATCTCATAACGGTTTCCAAACCACTTTTATCGGATGTAAAGTAAAAGCATGGATGGTTATGTAAAACGTCTAAAGTTTCTAAAGAGTCTCTCAAAGTATACTTCCTTGGAACGCCCGTAACTTTTCCTGTAGCGACGATAGACCCTTACTTGTCCGGACAAAGTTGTACTATTTTGAGTGCTCTACAAAAAAAGTCAACAGCAACGACTTTCAAAAAATTTTATGGGCTAGAAGGGGCTGCGCCCCTGGGAAGCCCCCTATACTCAAAAAAACTTCATTTTATACTTCATTTATACTAAACATCTTCAGGGCTAGAGGGCACGAAGTGCCTGGAGGCCCCACTACCCTTTTTTTTTTTTTTTTTTTTTTTTAATATTGTTCATTCTTTAAGAATAATATAAAATATGAAAATACTGATGGTTTATTTCCAAAAGATGCTAGAATTGCACTATTTTTTTATCAAATGAGAATATTGACTTAAAACTACTATTATACATATCATTACATTATAAGTCTAAAACTAAATAGAAAAGCTCATGCTAGAAAAATCAATGTCTCTAGAAAGACAGACATAATATATAACTTTCTATTAAATTCAATGAATTTTGATTCATGCATTTATTTCAAATCCTGTTATCATGAATATGTTCAATCAAAACTCATCAATATAGAATTTTAAACTAATACAATATTGTAAAATAGCTTTAAATAATAAATTGTATTCAAAAGATATAATCTTATATAAAAACAAACATCTTTCATCTGTTTGGATTTAATATCCTTAAGATATACTCTGATTAAATACATACACAGATTTTGACAAAGACAAATATTTAGCTTTCCCAATGATCTATCGTCATGAGTAAAGATTTTTTTTAAATAAAAACCAAGTATTTATTGAATTACATAGATGAAAAAAAATATTTAATTATGCAATACTCATTTGAGATTCATTTCTCTCTTCTACATCGTTTGAGCCATCTGATTTCTTCTTCTTAACAATGAATATAACTCCGACAACAATTGCAGCAATAACAACAATTGCACATACTGTAATTACTGCTGGAATCCATTTCTTTGATTTTTCTGATTTATTTAAATCAGTATGGTTTGCAGACTTTATTCTGTTAAGACTTTGTTCTGGCCATGATTTCACTGAATCTTGTGTTGGCGGTTTTTCAACAATAAAAGAAAATTCGCTTAGGTGAATATAATCACAGCAATCCGGTTTGTTTGTTACAACAAATTCCACACGATGATTAACCATTGTTGCTTTTGGTACTACAATGACTTTGTATTCGTTATCACCGAAATCTTTTGGAGGCATATACCATCCATCATAGTTGGAATCGTAAGGATGACTGTAGCCATAAACAGCATATTGAAAATCAGTTAATTTTGGATTAACACATTTCACTGTAAAATTGGCTCTGTAAACTCCTTCCTTAAAGAAGTAGTACGGATATACATTTTGTGGATTGAAATAAATTGTTGGCCAAATTGTATGACCAAGTCGGACACTTAGTCCTGTAGAAGACAAAGGATCTGCAACACTTACGCGTTCGGCACCGTAATTTTCATATTTCATCATAAAGTCTGGAAATACAAATTTATCTCCTTTAGCAAGTCCATATTTGATTTTAGGGTCATGTGTAGTGTAGTCAAATGATTTAGTGAATGATGGTGCTTTAATGTTTTTCTCAATTGGATGAATTTCGAAGTGGTGGTCAACAGAATAACCTTGTGGTGGAGTAACATATGGACCAACAAATGAAAGACGAATCTTCTGTGATGTCCTGTTAATGTGGATAACAACTGATTCGAAATAATCTGGAACTTTGATATCGACACCTTTTCGACTTGTTGGATCAATAACACTGACTTGGCCAACACCATCTAATGTACCACCACAATGATCGAATTCCATGTTGTTCATCAATTGTTTCGATTTCCATTCTTTATTACCAATCTTGTAACCAACAAATGTGCCATCGTTGATATTCAATGTAACCATCATAACTGGACGCATATTTGAGCCTGCAACATTCCTTGTGTAGTGAACGTCAAAATTAACTCCTTCTGTTGTTGCTGTGTATTTCTTTGTTGTACTATAGCTTTTATCGGATGAAGTTACGGTATATGTAACTGTTGAATCTGTTTTTCCTTTCAACCGATAATCATATGAATATTGTGTAAAAATTCCTGCTGTGTTTGTGAAGTAGCCAAAATAAATTCCTTCTTCACTGTGTAAAAATTCTGTATTTCCTTTCTTCAGTGAAATGATTTTGCCATCAATAACTGATTTAGGTGCAGAAATTGCTGTAAAATCTCCACTCTTAATAATATCTACTGCTACACCTTCTGAATACTGTTTAATTAATGTTCTAAGTGGTGCATCAGCGGCAGTGTTATATGTGAATGCGCATGCTCCTTTTGATGTTTCATTGATAACAAATGGTCCTGGACATCTTTCCATCATAGTTTTAGCTGCATATGTAAGCTTTTCGTTGCCTCCAATATAAACTTTTCCATCTTTGATATATGGTTTGACTGTTTGATCTTTATAGATCATGAATTGTGTGTAAAGTGATGAAAGTTGACCCATCTTTGTGTTGTAAACGTATCGAGGATCAATCTTTCTATCTAATTCACTTGCCTTGATTGCTAAATCCCAAAGATTTTTGATGTGATCAATGAATTCTTGTGGAATAAACCATAGACGAGCATCATGATGTGTTAATGTAACAAATGATTTGTAATCATTGAACATAAGATCCTTTGTATCATCAAGAATTTGTTTAACATATGGAGCTGCACTTGGACCGTAAAAACCATTTAAGAAATCATTGACAAGATAATCAGCATCTTGATCTGGATCCCACAACAGCTTCAATGTAAGATATGCCTTGTATTCTTGCATATCACTATGGAATCTTGGAATAAATCTGCCAGTTGAATCAACAAAGACAAAATTAGCATCTTGCGAACCTACACCTTCGAAGCCGTATCTTGCATACATTTTCATGTTTGCCGCAATTGTGTGATAGTTTGGATGGAAACTCATAATATGTATGAAGTTTGTTGAATACTCCCAAACATAGAAATGATTTGCAACCTGCTTCCATTTATCAAGTTCTTTCATAAGATGTCTATTTTCATCAGTGAAGTTTCCATCAAATGGATGTCCGTAATCATTCATAATTGGAGTTATTCTGATGATTACATTCTTATGAGCCTTGATGTTCGCTGGTGCATCAAGCGTAAATCCCCATGCAAACGTTCTAACTAATACATTTGGAAATTCACTTTCTAATGCCGTTGCAATTTTGTTTATGAACCATAAATTAACACCGGAATAACGATCACCGTACTGATGATACTTAGCCATACATCTTTCGCATAAACAATGTTCGCCTGTATCTGATTGGCTGACATCAACTAAGTAAACTTCCCTTTTGCGCAAATCTGTTAAAATCTTATCCATGAATATTTCAAATGTTAAGTCATCTGATAAGCATGGTACCCAGGTTGATCTTTGTCCATTACCAAGATCGGCAAATCTTGTAGGATATTGACTTAGTGGATATTTATCTGATTTCATTAAATAAGCAAATGATTCGCAATCGTAGTAATTTGGCAACCATACATTTGCTCTTGATTTTTCATTAAAATCTGTGTAGGTGAAATCTGATGACCAAAATTCACGATAAAGAAACGGTGATTTCGAAATTATGTTAACATCGTCTGGAACTTTAAAAGAATCGGCTGGTGGATAAACATACATCCAACTTGCGTAGTAACGAACACCACCATACTTTTCTAGTATTTCAAAGCATCCGTATAAGAAACCATACCAATTACCTAAGATAGCAAGATTTCCATTGTGAAACCGAATCTCAAAAAAGTCTGTTCCTCTTACAGTGGGTGTATATTGATTTTTGGGTGATAATTTTGTAGGTCCAACTAAAATAAGGTTTTGCATTTCATTACTTGCATCAGTGATGATATCCATCTTCGACCCGGTGATCTTACGTATACCTTTCGCAATCTCATCACATCCGTGGAAATATCTCCAAACATCTGGGTTTTTATCTGATTGTGCTGGATACATGCACTTAAAATAACTCTTTTCTTTATCAGCTATGATTATATCTTTAGAAACTGAAATACTTAGAAGAAAAAAAGCAAGCATTTTTTGATGTAAAATAAATTGAATGCAACGTTTTTTTATAAATGTTTGGGAATTCCCGAAATAAGGACAAAGTTAGATTTTCATAAAAAGTTCAGATCCAGTCTTTCAATTTTGTCAACTTTTTTATTTCAATTTTGAAAAAAAAATTGGAATGTAAAGTAGACAAACCAACAAAGGATGGGACGAACTTTAAATTGAATGTTCAATTTAAAGCAAGTATTCAATTTTTTTGGTCAATTTAAAGCAATCATATATGTAGTCTGTTTTAAAGGCTTGTTCAATAGCAGATGATCAGAACTCGTTGAGTATGTTATGATGTTAAGAGATAATGGATAGTACACTTTAATATTGAGATTGAATTTGGATTATTATGCAATATTCCATAATCTATATAATGATGATCATAAGAATGTGTTGGTAACAATAATATCCAATCCAATGAAATATCTTTGGAAGTGAAATTTCTTCTAATGATATGAATTAGCAAAAGCTCTAATCAAGAACTTTGAATATTCTTTTATGAAAATCATGGTAAAAATAAGCATTTCCTTGTTGATATTATTAACAAGCTATATCGTTTTTGCAAACCTGGATGAGCTCTTTCTAAGCTTCATTTATCATTTGTAGAGCTTCTAATCGTTTTGAAAAAGTAATGAAAGCTTTTTAGCCTTGAAAATGTTTAACGCCTTTTATGTAACTTCAGATAAGAACCAGATAAAATATGATTATAAGTGTCTGTAATAATATTAATCTTACACTCATTCTTAAAAATCGGAACAACATCGCCGAATTTTTTACCTTTATAAAGATTTGTTACATATACTTTAATATTTGGTTTAAATCCGAAAATAAGCTGAATCCCAATTTCCGCAATAGAGTAAATATTTCATTCTAGTGTCACACAAAGAAAATCTTCCTAAAGAAAGAACAGAATTTGGTAGATAAACAATTTCTGAAAGGGCACAACTTCTAAATGCAGAATGTCCAATTGTTACCATGCCATCTGGTATCTTTGTGATTCTATCACAATGCTCAAATCCATAATCTCCAACCCTTGTTACATTTTTAATTAATTCATTACCAATAATTCTGCAAAAATGAAAACCAAAACTCATAACTACTGTAAATGATGGCCCAACAATCTGAGTTAAATTAGATGCATATGAAAACATTCCTTCATTTATCACCATTGTATCCAATTGAGATATAAACTTAGTTAAACTAGTGCAGTTTCTAAATGTGAAATTGCCGAATTCCTGACAATTATAGCAATTTATCTCTTTCAAACTAATACAGTTTTCAAAACAGCGAGATTCAATTAAACTTATATTCTTAGGTATTTTTATGTATTCCAATGAACTACAATCAGCGAAAGATCTGAAACTAAGCTTCGTAATATTTTCATGTAAATTAATCGATTTTAATTTCGTGCAATGAAGAAATGTAAAAATCGGAATTGTTCCTGTGATGGATGTTAGAAAAATAAATGATTCTAAACTAGAACAGTTCATGAAACAATAATTCATATTTTTTTTTTACAGATCTAGGAATAAAAATGTTACGCATTGTACAATAAGGAAAAATGTTAGGATTTAAAACTTCTATTTGAGAATCAATAGCAAATTCAATGGTAATTACTCTAAATGTGTCAAAACTACTTGTTTGTATGGATTCTATATTTGATGGTATTATAAGAGTCGAAAGAAAATTGCAGCCATGAAATGCATGAGTATGTAATGCTTTAACTGTTTCGGGAATAACATAAGATTTAAGATTTCGATTAACATAATAAAGATTTTCCTTATCATTTGAAAGTAAACAGCCGTAATCATCAAGGACGAAGTAAGGATTAGACTCATCTAGTGTCAAATTTTCGAAATATGAACAAGATCTAAGTGCACTTCCTATAAATGTGGATATTGTGCTGGAAAGATGTAATGATTTTAGTCTAAGAAATAATAGGAAAGAATTTTCCCCAATCCCGGTCACACCTTGGGTTGTGATAACTTGTTTTACTAAAGCAGAATTAACCTTTTTCATAATTTCTTGGGTAATTTGTCCACTCCCTGTGGCCGTAACAACTCCATCTGATATTGAAAGTTCAATTTCTAATATCAATGTTAGAAAAAACATTCATCCACTTATTCCCTTGGCAAAAGTTGCCAAACAAAAGAAATAAAGAGTTGGGTATGATAATTTAATTTTGATGAATATATCATATCTATTCTGATTCTTCACAAATCTTTGATTCTTCTTCACAAAAAAATTGAGAAGAGCATTGGGGCGGCGACAAATTTGCCCAGCCAGTAAAGTATTCAATTTTTTTTGCATTTTTTTAAAGCTTCTTAACTTAAATCATGGAATGTCTCAAAGACAAAAGTAGCATACAGCATGTAAAGCTAAAGAAAGATAATCATAATTAAGGAATTGAGAAATGCTGAGAATGAAGTAGAGGGTTTAATGAATATCCCAGCTTCAGAATCAGAAGTTCAAAAATCACATGAGGAAAGATATAAAAATTACTTTTTGGAATCTACTAAAAATTTATTAGATGGTGATATTGACGAAACACTTTCAGAAGAAGGCACAAAATTTATTCATAAACATAAGTTACAATTTATTGACGATGGAGATTATCCATGTATATTACTTTCACCTCCTCTTGATTCTGAAAAATTCAAAAAAGCACTGAAAAATGTAACATATGCAACAAATACGATTAAGAAAGAAGACCATGATATTTACACAAATTATTATTTAAATAAATGTACAGGTGTTGATAAAGTTTTTGATTTGTTAGATAAAATATCAAAAGAAACAATTGGTACATATAAAATTTTATGCGATTGTGGTTTCATTATTGAAGATACCAATAATGTTTCATATGAAAGAACAGCACCGAAGGAAGACGAAGTTGAAAGGTCTATACCATTCGTTATTAAGAATATAAAGATATGAAAACGTATAAGCATTATATTTATTCATTTATTTCAGAAAAAATGGAAGCAACCCATAAAACATCATCTCATCATTTTATAGCTATTCATACATTCCTTTTCAAAGTTGTGAAATTAAATAAGACAGGAATTAGATTTAATGTATCAGGGTACGCATTCTTGAGTAAATTAAAATGTATTCGTCACGTCGCAGATGATAAAAATTTATGTGTTCTTAATTCATTTTATGGACTTTAGCCCTGGACTCTCTGAGTCTCGGACTTTAAAAAAATAAACTTTATTTTTATTTATTTTTTAATTTTTATTCTTACATAAATGAATAAAAATGGAACAGCTAAAATGAATGATAATCAAATAAGAGCCGAAGGTAGAAGGTTATTTAAACGCTTCTATAACATTCCTGATGGTGTTAATCCTAAAACTCGTAGAAGTTATTTAAATGAAGCATAGATGCATATGAAGGATTTGACATTTCATCAGAAAGTGAGAGGTTAGCAAGAATGTTAAACGTTAATATTGATTTTTATTATTGTGACCCTCAACCAGAAGACGTAGACATTAACAAGGTAGACTTTCCATTAGTGGAATCAATAATGATAGATCCAGAATTTGAAACAGTAAATATTTTATTAACACAGAGTCCATGTGGAAAACTTCACGCTGACAGAATTACAGACGTTGAAGCACTCACAGGATATAAAGTTTGCCCCTTTTGCAAAGAAGAAGTATATTCTATCCGTGATGATCCAGAAAGGAAAAACCAAAGAAGATTTTTAAAACATTGTGAGAAATGTAAAGAAAATAATGGAAGATTAATTCAAGACGTTCAATTGCAAAACACACAACAACCATATGCACCACATATCACGAAACAGAAGATATATCAATGGCTATTAGCACATAATTTGCAGGAATATTATAAACCAACAAGATATTATATTACTTTTGACTTCGAAACATTAGAGACTAAAGAAGAACTTCAACTTTCTGAATGTGCAACTTTGAACGCTTACTTAAAACCATTTATGGTATCATCAACTGTCAAAATAAAGCCGCAAAGCGGCGAGGTCGTAGACCGTGATAAAACATTTACGAGGAATTTTTGCTTAACATCAAGTGATTCGTTCATCTCTGATTGGATTGAATTTTTATTTTCAACCTGTTCATTAGTTGCTAAATCAAATATTGAACAATATGAAGAATTAATGAATACATTAAATGAGAAACAAAAGGAAGCAATGAAAGAGCTTTTAGATGAAGAATTTAATAAAGTGAATATCATTGGTTTTAATTCAGGAAAGTTTGATTTAAATTTAATTCTTCGTGATTTAAATACTGCAAAATGGAAGATAAAATCAATGCTGGGTTCTTCTTCTCAATTTAAGCAAGTCATAGTAAAGAAAACAAACTGTCCATATGAATTAAGATTTATTGACATCAGAAATTATATAGCGGGTGGAACATTAGACCAATTCACTCAAGATTTCGGAAACAATAAATCACGTGTTAAATCCTTTTTCCCTTATCAATTCATCACATGGGAGAATTACGAAGATGAATTATATAAAAGGAACCATTCACTCAAGATTCATTTTATTCAGCATTAACACAAGAAACAATATCCGATTCAGATTATCAAATATATCTCAATGATGCTAAAAATTTTGAGAATAGATTAGAATATTTTATTCATTATTGCAATAAAGACGTTGAAATTATGATTGACCCAATTGATAAAATTATCGAAGAAACATTTGTTTATAAAATTGACATGCTTCATAATCTTTCTTTATCATCGAATGCATCAATGATTCGTTACGCGTTAGCATATAAGAACTTCAATCCTAACGAAACATATCCAGAAGAAGAAAATGTGGAATCAAGTTTTGAATTAACAAAAAAGTATTGGAAATATAAAATTGATTCATATAAGAAACAAGATGAAAAGGCGAAAAGAGATACCAAAAACAATGTTTCAATGGATGACTATCAATACTATCACGATTTAATCCTTTCATCTAAATGCAAAATGTGTGGTAAAGCGTTTACATATGTAAATAAACCAACATTGGATAGAATCGATAATGAAAAACCACATACCAAAGAAAATTGTCAGTTAATGTGTTGTTATTGCAATGTCGTAAAATCAAATAAAGATGAAGATGTTCAACGTTTAAGAATCAATTTAAGAAATTATGCATTAAAAAATAATTTACCAATGACTTTAGATTCAGTTGAAGCTTATCACATTCTCCGTAATGGAATTACTGGTGGTCTATCAAATGTTCAACATCGTGTTAATCTTAAAGGAATCACGCACATTAATAAACTTTCATATAATCCAGAAACTAAAACTGTATCAAATGAGGACACCACCAACATTATGACTCATTTCGTTGGAGTTGATTTTAATTCATTATATCCTTCATCATTTTCATCTAATCCTCATGATTTCATTCAATATACTGACCATAAAATGTATATGCCGGGAAGATTGAATGGTGTTATCATTTGTGATACAGCAACAAAGAAAGCAAAAGCACTGGGAATAATTAAGAAGAAAAATACTTTATTCGTGGCTGAAGTAAAGGGTCACATTGATGAAAAATACATTAATGATTACATAAACTTTTTACCGATAATAAGAAACTTAGATATTATCACAGATGAAAAAACAATTGGCAGTTTTATGTATAATTACATGAAATCAAACAATCTACCAGTTGACCAGAAACAGAGAAATTAACTCAGTTAGCATCAACACACAACCAATATCAACCATTTTCTTCTTATTATCTTTGGTATCTAATAGACAGTTTAATTTTATCATTGATGACATTCAATCAATTTTAACATTTACTAAAAACACTTGCTTTAATGAATTTGCGAACGAATTTATGAACGAAAGACAAAAGGCTGAATTAGAAGGAAATAAAGGAAAAAGTTTATTTTGCAAGATTTCGCTTAATGGATCATATGGTTACGATGCAATGAATACACAAAATTACGCAAAGACTAAAATAATGAATGCACAGAAGTCACGCGTTGCATGTATGTCAAATAAGTTTAAAAACATAAGAGAAATAGGAGAGGATACGTATCAAGTGATGCTCAAAGATAGATTTTATAGATGTGATACATGTTTACAAGAGGCATTCTTCACTTTAGATAATGCTAAATACTGGTATTTGGTTTTCATTTATGATTTTATGTATAAATGCATGGATGTTAATCGTTTTCATTTCATTGAAGGTGATACTGATTCATCTTATTGGGCAATCGCTGGCGACCCAAATCTTCCTAACACTCAAGCATTTCAAGCAATTGTTACGAAAACAATTTTATGATAAAAACATTTTCAAATTCGCACCATTTGATTTCTTCTGTTTTGATGAGAAATTTAAACCTAAATTAAAGAATAAAGCTGAAGAAAAAGCACATGAGAAGAAGTTATTGGGTTTAGCAATTGAGAAACAAGGTGATAACATGGTTGCTTTATGTCCTAAGTGTTATACATCATTCAACGGTTCAATTGATGGAAGTGATTTTAAAAAGATTGCACAAAAAATGAAAGGTGTTAGTTTACGACAAAATAAACAATTAACACCTAAAAATTATTTGGATATAATAAATGATAAATTGATATTTGATGGTCAGAATATTAATTTACAACTTAAAAATGGGTCAATGACTCGCTTAACAATCGGTAAGACTGCATTAACAGGAGCACACACTAAGGCTGTATGTTGTGAAAATGGATGTTGTATGCCATTTATTTAATGAAATGTCACAGAAGAGACAAAAGGAACCACAACGAATTTTTTAAATCCCATCACAGCATCAACAGCAACAACAACCGCCACCATTTGATACCGTTTTAGAAGAAGGAACCGTTAATGATGGTTTTGATACTATGATTCAAAGAGGTGGGCACCCTTAAACATTTATTTTATTTTTATATAAATGAATAACACAGATTTAAAAAATTTAATTGGTGATTTAGTATTTAATCAAAATTTTCTTAATTATTATGATTTAAAAGCATATCTCCAAAAATATAATAATAATATAACGGGTGATGATATGGAATATTATTATCCATATTATAAAAATGAAATTTTGAAATATCATAATAAAATAATTTCTGAAATTAAAGACAAAATTAAAAATAATGAATATTCAAAGGGAAAAACTAAATCACAGCTTAAACAGTTGAAAGATTTCAAAAATAAAGTATTAACAGAAGAAGATATTGATGAATTATATAAATTATATAATCCTGAGCCGCAAAAACAAAAGGAACAAAACACCCAGGTCCTTCAGACCATAAATGATGCACAAGCTTTAATTTATGATTCATTAGTTAAACCATATTCAGCCGACTTTTAAATGAAGATCAACTTTTGGAATTCATCCTTCAACATAAACTCGAAGCAGGAAAGTATATCAAACCTTTATATACAGCATATTTAAAACAAATGAATAGAATACATCCAGAATTAATGAAGGAAGGAATGAAATCCAAAATCAAAGCAGATAAAATTAAACCACTTGCAACACCAAAACCTCTAACGACAGTACCTCCTCCTCCTTCAGTTAATCCTTCATCATTCACTTTATTATATCCATTTCAAACATTTAAGAAGCAAAAAGATTTTAAAAAGGATTTCAAGATATTAAATAAACCAATTGACCCAAAAATTCAACCGTTAAAGGAAAAATTTAGTCGACCTTCATTTGCTCCATATCCATATTCATACGAAATCGATCATCTGGAATATTCAAAAGGAAACGTTACTTATTTATTTGCCATTAACATTAACACCAGATATTTATATTGCATTCCGGTGAAAGGGAAAACAGAACAGGAAACAAGAAGAGCTATACAATACTTACTAGATCATGAAAGAGTAGATAATATCAGGGGTGATGGTGATAAAGGATTTCAGGCAACTATGATTCATTATTTCCCACAAATTAATTTTTACTTCTCATCTTCTCCATATACGTTTCATAATAAAATAGTTGATGCGGTAATGAGAACTCTTAGAGATGCGTTAGGGGTTAACGGTCAGATATACTGGGATGGAAATCATGACTCCATCATACAACAGTTAGTATATTATTACAATAATACATGGCATAGAACTATAAACATGAAACCAGTGGAAATGAAAAATGATATTTCAAAAGAATGGGAATATATTAGAAAGCAAATGGAAAGGTTAAATGATGTTAAACGTGAACAAATTAATTCGGGGCTCATGAATTTTAAACAAGGAAATAAAGTTTTAATTCATCTCGATTATGGAAAAACTGATAAATCAATGACAAAAAGAAGACGAAGATTTGACACAATAGCTGAATTTGTTAGATATATTAACGGCAATGCATTAGTTGAAGTTGACAATAAATTAATAGAAATTCCGATTTATTTTATTACTCCATTATATTTAAATTATTTTTTTTTTATTTCGTAAGAAATGAGTGACAACAAAGCAGTCAAGAGTCCAGACGATGAATATAAAAAGAAACTAAACAGAATTAAATCAAAAAATGCTATTACAAAAAAGCCGCAATGCGGTGGGGTTGAAAACGATAAAGAAATAATCGAAAAATTAGAAACTTACCGTTCAATCCTTAAACTGAGTGAAGCAAAAATAAAGAGAATTTAATAGAATAAATAAATTGATTGGAAGAGATGAATTTAATAAAGATGAATTTTTAAACTCAATCCAAATTTAATTTTTATTCCTCTTTGACAACATCTCTCTTTCCATCATTACTGCATAACCGCATTTTCTCAGTTTTAGTGATTTGTTATTTTTAGCAAGTTCTCGCATCATTTTTATCATTTCCTCCCTTGTTATGATTCGTGGTAAATTTTGAGCTTGTGGGGTATCCATTTATGATAAAAATAAAAATTTAAATTATGCCGTTCTAAAGTTTGTGACAACATGACATTTTGACAACAGTCCCGGAAATGATTTGTCATGACTTCATCGTAATGAGTGTAAATGACCCAAAAATAATGTTTTCATTAATGGTTTCAGGTTATTCAATAATGAATTATTTTTGAAGAACTGAAGGTGTCACTACGTCACCATGTGTCACTCGGTTATTTAACTTCTCTGAAAAAATGAGACAACATGACATTTAGACAACATCACAGGATTAATGAGGAAGGCATTTATGAATTATTTTTGAAGAACTGAAGGTGTCACTACGTCACCATGTGTCACTCGGTTATTTAACTTCTCTGAAAAAATGAGACAACATGACATTTAGACAACATCACAGGATTAATGAGGAAGGCAAAAATAAATTCCAATCATACTTTATAAAGCTTCATTTACAGGTATTTCATCGTCAGTAAATGAATCCTCATTATCGTTTGGTTCAACCTGTTTATATAATCCTTTCATTTCTTCTTTCAAAACATAACACCATGTTTGTTTACCATCTATTCTTACCTGTTTCTTATCACATTTATCCTTAATGCTCATTTGGAAATTCTTGTCTTTCATGTCTGATGGTTTGCAGAATAGAGCTTTTTTACATGTCATACCTGCACTCAATTCATCATAATGTGTATTTATCCATACATCTAAAGGATTTGTTGATAACTCGATTAAATCTTGTTTGGCTTCAGTCATCGGAATGATTCGTACATTAAATGATGAAAGGTCATATTGCATAAAATATGTTAAAAGGTTATCATAAAATTCCTTAGTGCATGAATCCATTAAATTCTTGAAGTAATCAAATTGACCCTTGAATTTACCATTAACCCTTAAAACTACGTATCTTCTGTCTCCAACTTCAATTTTGACAGGGTAGACGTTGTTAGTTACGAAAATGAAGTTTGCAACGTTCTGTGCTGTTCTTCTGGGTTGATTCTTTTCATTAATTCTAATCTCATTATCCGTTATAATTGATTTCAAAGCGTTGAAGTTTGCGAGTCTGTCTTCACCTACATTCTTGAGTTCATTAAGTACAAGAAACATTTTATTTTCAACTACTGAGTTGAAATTACCCGTTAGCTCACTTATTTCAGTAATGTTTTTACATGAATAACCAGCGAGAAGTTCAGAAATAATATCTGTAAATCTGTTTTTACCTGTTCCCTGAAGTCCTTTCAAAATAATTGCTGTTTCATTCTTGATTCCAGGATGTTGAATCATTGATGCAATCCAGCCGAGAAGGTATTTATACACTTCATCGTTATTATCACAAATGGCTTCTTTAATGAAATTCATAAACATCTCAATTTTTGAGTAATCTGGTTTTCAAGAATGTTGTATTTATAACCCTGAAACGTTGAGAAAACATCTGGAGAATCAGATTTAAAGCAAACACCCTTAACGGTTAATGAGGATAATTGATTTAGTAGTACATCCCATGCTGTTATTGTTTTACCTTCTTCTTTAAATAATTTAATCATTTTAAGTGACTCTTTCATGTTTGACTGAAGAACAAATGATATTTGATTCATTTTGTCGTGGATATTATAGTCCTTTTGAATGAAATATTTATTTCCACAATCTACAAAACGGATTACACGTGATAAATCCTCAATTACTTCAGAACTGTTTTTATACTGATGATTTTCAGCCTTGCGTCTAATATCTGTTATCAAAAACGAGTCATCAAGTTTGATATCAAATGTTATTTTTGGCTTACGTAATAAAGGTAAAACATATTCATCATAATATTCCTTTTGATAAAGTTTTAGAATCTTCACCAAAACAAATGGAGAAGTCATTAAATGTGCATATCTACTACGTGCTTTTTCAAAATTACTTTTTGCATTTTCTGTTAAACTGCAGAAATTATAAACGTTATCGTATGCTTCATTAATTAAATGATCCGGTAACGAATTAATTGCTTGAAACAGTGTGAATAATGTAACTTCTTTTTCTAAATTCATGTTTCCACCATCATTATGTACTTCAAAATCACAGATGCTATCAACTATGCTCTGGGCAAGTTTATCGTCAATGTTTACATCTTTGTTTTCATTCATGATATTCTTTATTTCTTCGTTCTTCTGTTCAACTCTTACCTTAATATTCAAATCATTTAATATATCATTCACTGTTCTGGTTAATGTTGAATCATAACTTCCACGAATGAATGAGTATGTATTGATTGGTTCTGATGCATTCTTGCGAACTCTTGAATCAGCCATAACTACTAATGAACGCTTTGAATCATCAATAGAAGTCATTATGTCAATATCATAATCATTGCAGGAATAACATTTAATCATTCTGTTCGAAACTGCATAGAAGAAATTAGTGTTGCAATAAATGTGAAGACCTCCTGAAGCGGTTTTAAGATAACATCTTTATCCGAAAGTTTTGATAAAATGTCTTTTCTAACTGTTTCTTTAAGTTCATCATTGTACGATTTATTGATATCAACATCTATAATCGTTAAATTTGAAATTTTATTTACTAATAAAGCTGTACCAGTTTTCCTTCCTCTTCCTCCATCATGTTTGAGGTAGTTATGTAAATCAATCTTGTTTTCACCAATTCTTTCGTTGAGGGTTTTAGTTTCTGCCACAACTAATTCCTCAGCTAATGAATCAATAACTTTTTCATCAGAAACGATATAGTTGTTGTTGTTGTTGTTTGTTGCTGTCATTTATATAGGAATAAAAAAATAAAAATAATTTTAAAACTAACTTTATTTTTGGACTGCATCAAATTTTCGTAAATGTTGTCAAAATGTCATGTTGTCTCATTTTTTCAGAGAAGTTAATTAACCGAGTGACACATGGTGACATAGTGACACCTTCAGTTCTTCAAAAATAATTAATTATTGAATGACCTGTGTTGTTGTCTAAATGTCATGTTGTCTCATTTTTTCAGAGAAGTTAAATAACCGAGTGACACATGGTGACATAGTGACACCTTCAGTTCTTCAAAAATAATTAATTATTGAATGACCTGTGTTGTTGTCTAAATGTCATGAGTTAAATAACCGAGTGACATAGTGACACCTTCAGTTCTTCAAAAATAATTCATAACTACCTTCCTCCTGTGTTGTTGTCAAAATGTCATGTTGTCTCATTTTTTCAGAGAAGTTAAATAACCGAGTGACACATGGTGACATAGTGACACCTTCAGTTCTTCAAAAATAATTAATTATTGAATGACCTGAAAACATTAACATAAACATTAACATAAACATTAACGTAAACATTAACGTAAACATTTATTTCTGTAGTTCATCCATTACTTCATTACCTAATTAATTACAGACATAAAATATATTTAGTTCATTCAATAAACACGGTACCATGCGAATACAGTCACAAATGGTGGCATGTAATCTTTACCCGAGCCTGTTGGATTTGTTGTGAAAGTGTGTGAATGATTTCCTGTGGTTCCACAGAAAATACCTGCGCTTGAATCTACTGGGTCGCTTGAAATATCATATCTATCCATTCCCTGTCTATCCGAACCTGCTGCAAGATTTCTATAACCTCTTTTTGTTATTGAATGTGAATGATTACCTGTTGTGTTTGTAGTTCCTGTATGAGTGTGCGGGGGTAAGTTTGCTTCTTTAATTTTCTTCGAACCTCCTGTTTGCTTTGAAGAGTTCGCACAATAGAGGAATTTATCTACAATCTGCTTCCACGTACCGAAACCCAGAACTGTTGCTGGATTTGTTGAATTCATTGATGTATATATTGAACCAATGGGGTAAATCATCTCAAGAATTGTATTTAATCCATTATGAATATTGAATTTATTATATAATATTGAAACTGGGTGAGTATTTAAAACTGGTCTTGTCATCAATATTAACGTATTATTTTTGAAAATTGCTTTTCTAACATCTTGAAATTTTGTGATTTCAGACCAATTTCTTCCATCACTACTGATATTTACTAAATCACCACATCCTAAAGCAATGAAATACCCATCAATATAAAATAAATTTGTAAATCTATAATTTTGAGTAAGTTTTGGAGTGAATGAATAAACCAATTCCCAATTTGATAAATCCTGTGATAAATAAATATGTCTGTTATAACTTACAGGATATGAATAGACCATTTCACCTGAAACGAGAACATAAACATTTGATCCATAACATAAAGCTTCAATGTCTCCATCAGCTTGAAAAATTTGTTCAAATTGACCTTGTGATATTGAAGATGATCTATAAATTTTATCATTTTGTAGGATAAAATACATGTTGTTAATGTAATACCACTTACTTGTATAATCAATTTTCAAATCTGATGACATCATACTAAACATATAATAATTTATCCCATCCTCACTAATGAAAATTTGATTGACTTCATAAATTAGTACCCATTTATTATTAACACATCTAATAGGATTATTTGGATATTTAAATTTAGCATCTTGATTTAAATTACATTTGAACCATTGGATACAATCGAATGAATAACAAGGGCAAAAATCATCTTCAACCGTTATCATTCCCATAAATTTACCGTTATTATATTCAACATATAAAATTCTTGGATTAATGATTGGCTTTCGTGTATCAGGATTCAAAACAGATGGAGTAAATGATTCATAGTTTTGAAAATCATTTGTTTTAAAATAATAAAGCACTCCAGCTGTATAAAATAAATACATGGTCACTCCATCGAAACATATCCATTCAAAAGAATCTATATCAAAGGTTTTATCTGATGATTTCATAAAATTTAAAAATGGTGGAGTAAAATAGACCTCTGATTGTTTTATTTCTTCATTAACAAATGATATATTAGCTTTCTTATTTAACTCACTATCCACATATTCCTTATCTGCTTTCTTATTTAACTCATCGTTAACATATTCCTTATCCGCTTTAAGGTCTAAACATCCTGAAACCCATCCTGTATCGGCTTTAGTTTTTAAAATCTTTGATGTCCATTCATGATACCATTCAACCCTTTCTTTAATTTCATTATCTTTTTCATCAACATAAACCAAATTTGCCTTCTTCATTAACTCACTATCCACGTATTCCTTATCTGCTTTCTTCATTATGTCATTTAGGAAACCTTTTATGAATTCCTCATTTAAATTAAATCTTCCAATCTTCAAAACTTTAGGAAATGCATTTAATGCGTAATATCTCTGTTCTTCTGGTGGAATTGATGTTATATCATCCGTTATACCTTTAATTTTTGAATTCATAAATAAAATTTCTTTTATATTTGATATCACTGCACCACCTTGCAAACGAATTCGAAATGGTCATTTTTCAATACTATCTCCAAATCTCCATATTTCAACCTTTGCGTTTGTTCTGCCGTCTTTGAATTATATGCATATATGGCGTATGTAATGGTCTGAGGACCTGGGTGCTTTGTGCCTTAAGTTGCTGTGGTTGCTGTTGTTTAATCATTTATTATGATTTAAAAATAAATATTTAATCTGTTATCTCATCAGCTATTTTTTCTATTTGAAATTGCCATAATATTTCATTCATGAATTCTAAATCACAATCAAATAGGTCAGTTATCTAAATTTAATATTTGATAAATCTTTTGAATGAAGAATAAATGAATTCCCGGATAATTGAAACGGATATGATAAAGAAAATGTGTTTAAGTTGATGGATAAAATGTTTTGTATTGATGGGTAAGAGTTAGGGTCTAATGTTTGATGTGAAAATCTCATTGGGGTATTAACTTTATCACATTTGATTAAAATGAAATTGGAACCAGTGTCAGAATACAAAACATCCCCAACATCTTTTTCAAAATTTAATATCCCCAACAATGAACGAAGATGAGGAGTACAAAATTTAATTTTCAGCGGAAATTTAATAAGGTTATTTATTTCATCAAGTTCAAAAAGTTTATCAGGTTTTGATTTAAAATTTTCTTCATACCATACGATAAATGATTCATTTAAATAACTTAAAATCATGTTAATATCCCATTTCGCTATCACATTATTTATATACATATCATACGTTTTTTCATGGTCATCTTTAATAAATGATATATAATCTGAAGGGTCTAAAAGAATGGGATTAAATTTACCACTCACAGAAACGAGAGTAACATTATAAATTCCGCTAACTGTTAAATTTAATTCACAGTATTATTCGAAATAATATTGATAATTGACATTTTTATTACGATTAAAAATATGGTAAAGCGTTATTTTCCAGTGATAAATAAAACTAGAATAAGATTACCTCAAGAATTCATAAATTCAACGAATAAGAAATTCATTCATGTTATAAATTTTAGTGTTTTCAGAAAATATGAGTCAATGTCATATTCATCAACAGGTTATATTTCACTTCATTCAAATTTAGTTCAATCAAACCCATATAATGACCATTTCATAAGATTTTCAGATGGTATTAAAAATGTAATTGATAGATTAAAATATGAACAGATTGACAATATCGAATTTTTGGAATTTTGGTTTAAATATCCCGATGGAAAAAAGATTGAAGTTAAAGATAAAGCTGATACTATAACAAAAACAATTACAATGACCGATCCAGATAGTGGGGAACAAAAAGAAATAAAACAAACGATAGAAACTGGTGAAAGGTCAATTATTATTGATTATGATTCAAAGGATTATTATTCAATAATGTTAATGCTTGAATATTAAATGCCTTAACAAAGAATTTTTCAAGTGATATTTTATATTCATCAACTATTTTATTATAAATATCATTATATGTTAAATGAAGTTCAGTTGTTGTTCCGTTCTTTGATATCTTAATTGTGCTAATATCCTTTATAGGATTTATTTTTGCAACTGTTCCGCAGCATGAAACCTCATCATCTATGAAAAATTGAATCTTAACGTCTGAATCTTGAACATCACAAAGAATGGCGATAATGTGAATTAATGATTCATAAGGTAAAATAATTAAACCGATTGGTCAATTAAATTTATTATTGAATCATAATTATTAATTATTATATCACGGTAAATTTTCATTAATTCAGAATTAATGTCTATTTTATATGGCGCATTGCGACTGGAATCGTAGATTCCTGGGTTCTCGATGTTTGATGAAAGAGGTGGGGGGTATGTTGGATAAGTGGGAATTTCAACAGGTTCTTTACCGGTTCAGATAAAATGATTGGGTCTCCATCTTCTTTATTTTGCTCCTCCTCTTTTTCGGTAAGTCACGAGTTAATAAATTTGGTTGAGTTGCTGACCTTGTTAATTCAGGGCTAACATTAACTTTAACATTTTGAATAATTCGTGATTTATCATCATTTACGTTATAACCAACCGTAATCTCTGCTTTTGCGTTTGTGTTCTTTTGACTTGTGAAACGTCTTCTCATTTATAATTGAATAAAAAAAAGAAAAATATATTTAAAGTTTTATTTAGTTGTTACGGTAATATCCCAAGGTTCATCCTTGTTTGCTTATACTTTCTTTGTAACTGCACCAATTATGTTATTGATATTGCTTTGAGTTTCTTCCAGTCTTATTTTATCATTTACAATATCTTTAATCATTTCATTACATGCATTCTTAAAACCATCTGATTTTTCTAATTTACGTCTATCACTTTCTTTAATTAAATCAAAGTTATAACCTTGTTGAGAATAAAGTGGTTTCTTTATCAATTCCTTGAACGCTTCTGAAAGTGAAGATGAAGAAATTCTTGCCACTTGAATTGGTTTAAATTCTGCTTTCATTGCTTCTTTCTGTTCATTGAACACTGGATCGAATAAAGCAACTTTAAAGAATTTCTTAGCTGGAATTTCAGGTCTCAATATTTGCATATTGACCATCAAACTGATTAACATATCGTGGTAATCCATCCGGTCCCTCTTCAACAGCATTTAATTCTTCATTGAAATAAGAATATGGATTATAACGGTATGAATTAATTGGACCATTTTCACCTTCTCCAATGTATTGTTTAACAGCTTTTCCATTTTCATCAAATTGCATAGGATAACGTTCATTATATGCTTTACGTTTAGGATAATCCGTCATTGTTAATTTATACCATTTATGACTTTAATATTACCTTGACCATCAGTAACGAAAACTTCATTTATACCATCAGGTTTTCCATTTGGACCCGTAATGTCTGCTTCATGTGCTTCCCAATTTGGTCATGACGTTTGGCATATGCTTGAGCTTCTGGTAATGTTAAAACGTTTCTCATTTGTTTAACATCCTTTTGAAGACCGGCAACAATGTGGACTAATTCTTTCATTCCGTCTGGAACTTTCATAGTTCTATTATATGCACCCTTTTTGTTTGTCCCTTGTTTTAATGGAACCTGTAGAAGATTTGCTATTTCTGTCATGTTTAATTATAAATAAAAAATAAAAATTAATTATAAAAAGTTAATCAAATTTAACACTTCCTTTATTTAAATCAACTATTATTTTTCCATGTTCTCCTAATTGTTGATATTGTGTGTAAAGTTCATTAATGCTCATTGGTAAATTCACTTGATAAAGCATAACGTTCAACTGTTGACGACTAAAACCACTGAAAATGAAAAGGTTGATAGATTTGATTTAATGTTTGTGCTTAATGCTTTGAAGTATTGAACAGCCATAAAGAATGAACACTGAATGTGTCGACATTGAGTTAATAACTGATTAAAATATGATTTCTCATTTGTTATTAGTTTTGATTTCACGGCATCATCTAGAAAAATTAGTGAATGCAAAAATTCTTTATCAAAATTTGAAATAGAAAGTGTTTCAAATAATTCATCCCGTTGTTTATCAATAATTTTATCCTCTAATCCTTGCTTCTTGATTGTATTATATAATTCTTTATACATTAAAAAGTTTTTTAAATAATCTTCTGCTTCTTCTTGTGATAAATAAATAATTGGAATTTTGATTAAATGCTTTAAAGATTCAAATGTATCATCTGAAGGTGAACCTGAACGGTTGATATAAATTAACACATGTGAATGGGGGAAGTGTTAGCAATAATGATAATTTGTTTTAATATCGTTAATGTTTTACCTTTATTTTGTTTACCAATTGCTGCAGTGATTGAATTTAAGTAACATTCAGAATATGGAATTTTCATTAATTTTTCCTTAGATAGAGCATTTCTATTATCACTCAATGCTTCATTAATCATATCATCTATGTATGTATTATATACTCTGTAATTCTTCAGAATTGAAATCCATTTAATCAAAAATAAATTTATAATTTTAAACATTTCTATTCATCAATATTTCATCATATGAACTTCTATACTGTGGTGGTGTACCTGTTGGATGATATTTCAAACCTTCATCCGGTGTCCATGTCCAATACGTAGTCCTAGTAAACCAAACCTGAGGAGGATTTGTCACCTTTGAACAGTAAGTGTCATTTTCACCCTGAATGATTGGATAAGCTTTCACTTGTACTGTAACTTGTGAGTTGAAAGTTTCTAATCCATCAAAGAATATACCCGCTCCATCACGTTGAACTGGAATAGTGCATAAGAATGAAGTTTGGTCTTTCCATGTTCTAGCTAATGGTGCCATTATCATCATTCAGTGGTCTAGTTAATGAGTCCTCGTATTCTTCTGTGCATTCATTCACTCCATCTAAATCAGAAGCTTGAAGCATACGTGTAAAGAATATGTCACCCACTGTGGTCATCGCTTGATCGGGGAAGTTTCTGGAATCTATAGTGACCTGAAGACCTCGAAGCATTGGATTTCTAAAACTGTTCTTTGCATTGCATTCTTCGGAAATGTTAACACAACATCTGTAACATTATGAAGAGCGTATGAGAAATCTGAGCTGATACCTTCAGGAGTGATGCAACCTCCATTTAGTGAACGAACGTCAATATGTTGAGCTGGAATCATGAATGGATCTTCCTTACTGAATAAACGTGGTATTGCTTTAACTGATTCTTCAATTAAACCGTATCCTGGTGTAATGCATTTATCCTCTAAAACTTCCATCTTTGTGCATGAAATAATAACGTTATCAACTGTTGCGTCAGCAGATGTAGCGGCTAAGCTTGTAATTAATTTGGTAGGAAGTCCGATTTGTTGGAATTTGCGATCATATTTATAAACATGATTCATAATCTTTTCATAATTTTCATCAGTTATCTTTTCATAAACGTAATTTTGTAAATCAGCAACTCTTAACGGGTCAACCTGACAAAATACTAAAGTATCCCTGAAAACATAATATTTAAGAATGATATCACCAAATGATTTAGGATAATCATCGAACGCCTGAAATGCTAACAAATCATTTACCGGAATAATCATATCAAAAGTGACATCAACTTCTTCATTTGCTTTCTTGAAAACTTCTGAAGGGTCAATATATTTACCACATACTGAGTTATCATATTTTTGAACATTATTATATAACGAATGAACAAACTTTTTAACTTTCCTTTCTGATTTTGGTTTATATGTTGCAAATGCGAAAATTCACGGGCACAATCCATCTGAAGATAACCAGCATCACCTCTTTCGGTTTCTACTTCTAATTGTTTAAAGCTTTGATTTGATGATTTGTAACCAACGAATAAACGCATGCATTTAAAAGCGGCATCACATGTGAAAGCTTTATTTGAAACTAGAGTTGCTTTAACTTTGCGTTTAATATATGTGTCACCTAATTGGTTCACATCATGAGCTGGATTTGTAATTCTTAATGAGTTTGTTTATCATCAAAATATGGAGTATCAGAGTCATAGCATGAACTTTCAAGTTCTCTATAATATCTTCTACCATCATTCTTCGCGAATATTTCATTTATCTTTTCGAATGAATGAAACACATTTCCATTAATCGGTTTAGTGTTTGGCACCAAATAGTTAGTCGTCATTTATTATTAAATAAAAAATCAAAATTAAAAGATGAAAATGAATTTTTAATTTTAATGAAATAATCAACTATGGCTGCAGGTATATTTAAGAAACTGTGGGATAAAGTAAAAAGAGGAGCGCATAAAGTTTGGGAAACATTGAAGAAGGGAGCAAATTGGATATTTAAGAATAAAGAAGCAATTAGTGACGTTGCTGAATCAATAACACCAAAAGCCGCCCCAATAAGAGAAATATTAAATAAAGGAGAAAAAGTTTATCAAAGACTTCAACCGATACTAAGATAAAAATAATATTTATTTATTTTTCCACTATCTACCTCCTATTTTATTAAGTATTCCTTCAGCTATTCCACCAATTGCGTTACCTGCTTGTGCTCCCATTGCCGGATTACCTGCTTTTGTACCTAATACTCCACCTATGATAGTTCCTGCCGTTTTCGCTACTGGTGCCAAAAAGTTTGCAATGGGTTTAATAATCTTTTGATGAACCCAACCCGCAGCTTTCTTAATTCCATCCCATAATTTTTTAAAGAATCCTGCAGCCATAGTTGATTTAATATTAATTAAAAAATATATTTCATCACTTATATTCTAATTTTTATTTAATGATAAATGAAACCAATTTTAAAAATAAATGAAACAGAGGAGGAAGAAATAAATGAAAGTGAAAATGTTCAACAAAAAATAAACGTTGTTAAACCAATTACTGAAACAAAAATTTTTTCATCTGTTGAAGAATTTAATGACTATTATGCTAATAATAAAAAATTATTTGAAGAATTGACAACATGTAAATTGAATAAAATGTTTAAAGTTGATGGATTCAAAATTTCAAAAATAAAAGGAGTGGTTAGTTTGAAATCTATTCCTCAATCAAGAATCACCTCATTAATGAAAATAGATGATTTAACAAAAAGAATAGAAATTATTGAAGAAAGAATGAATCAAATAATTGATTTCATAAATCATGACTCGTTGAGCCCGGGTCCTTAAAGCCCATCACTGAGTTCAAGGTTATATTCATCAAATATTTCATTATTAAATGCAACTTCTGCTAGTTTATTTATTTTTTCAATACGATCATTTGAAAGTCTATCGTTTAATTTTTTCTGAAGTTTTTCATTTTCTAGTTCTGAAACTTTATTTGGATGATATTTAAACCCGTTAAATTCTTTTTCCTCAGTTTTGATCATTAATTTACAAAGAACTTTTGTGGTTGGAATTCGTTTAAACCATTTATCATTAATATTTGTTATAAATTCAATATTCGGAATTAATTCCCAAATTTTTGCATTTTCAATTAATTTATTATCAAATGCAAAAGCAATAGGTTTAATATTAAACTTACCTTTATAATATAAACTTTCTACATAATCATCGAAATAAACATCTACTTGTTTAACATTTTCAAGAATTGGTGAAAGAGCATCCATTAATTGATTGACGGTTACGAATCTTGATCCACTCATTTTCTTACGAATTAAAAAAATAAAAAAAATAAATTTAACTTAGTTTTAATTTTACGTAAGAAGTCAATTTTTTAAATCTTGATTTATTCAAAAACGTAAGAATAAAAACCGTAAGAATCATACATTTTTTACTTCATATGTTAAAAAAAATGATACAAAATCGTTCAATATTGTATGAATTCTTACGTTTACAAAAAAAGTCACACAACCCGCATCATATACTACTAATCACTTCCAAAACGTAGGCCTTTCAAAAATTGAGAGATTGTCTTTGAAAAACAAAATTATTCCGGAATATAAAAGTAATGCTGATTTCCAAACTTTTTTCAAATTGAATAGATATTGAAAAATTAAGGTAGCCGATTTCGGGGATCCGAATTCTTCTAAATTGGAGATAGAAGCAACTCATCGTATGTACACTATAAACGAACTATTTTTATGGTTTCTTTAATTCGAAATTTTTTACAAAAAACAATGATTTCTTTTTTACTTGCTCTTAAGGCCGAGGATCTTTTTCTAGAAGAAGTGTTCCGTGACCCAATTATATTTCCTGTAAAGTATTCTATTTATGATGTAGTAAAAAGGAAATGCGAAGTAAATTTAGATGATCAAACAATAAGTTGCCCTCAAGGAATTAATAACACAAACTCTGCATATGTATCTACGATTCTAAACAATATGCCTCCAGGATACTTTGGAATCTTGAATTTTACAGGTAATTCGTTAAAAAACAACCCTAATCAAATTATTCAAATCGAAGTAAAAGCAAATAATATGTCACCAAGTTACTTTTTCAAACCTGATGGAATAGAACATACAACTACAGTTATTCCAATTGTGAATGGCACATTCGTACGAGCTTTCTTTCTTTCCAAAGATGGTGAGAGCGTTTTTAAGATACCAGAGCTTAAATTCATTTGCACAAGTATTGAAAGAAAAGTTTACGGAAAACCAAAATTAGAAAAAATTGAAAAAATGTTTATCGCGCTTCAGTTGAAGTTACAACGACAGACAAGTTATATATTCAATCTTTATTTATTCCGAACAGTTTTGGTTTGCCAAGTACAATGTATCGATATAATTATCCAATTGCAGATTCCAAAACTGACATAATGGTAATTCCTGTGTTGGCTAATGAATCGATTATCATTGGTTATGATATTTATGAAGATAAGTTTCTTTATGCATGGCATACAAGATCAGAGCCGCAAGGATCATATATGGAACTTTGCATTAGACCAAAAACTAAATTTACTTTGACATATTTAGTTGTTGAAAAAGAGTCTGTAAACTTAAGAGATTCTATAGAGAAATGGCATTTATCATTTCCAGATATTTACGACAATCATTCTATGGGCCCCGGTGCATGGATTGGTGCTCCTCATCAAAATCAATTCAAAGAAGAATATATTAAACCATTTATGGGAAAATATGTTACGTCAATGGAACTTTCTAATGACCAAACATTTGGTTTACCAACATTTTACTATTTTGAAGCTTCTCTTCTTCATACAGAGCAGTTTGAATGCAATGAGTCATATGAAACCAACATAAATAAATGTGCTGAAGATGGTGGCCAAACATGTAAAATTATAAAAGAATTTGGCACTAGAACTATTGATGGTAAACTTAGATGCCAAGTTAATTATAATAATATAGGATCACAAATTGCTTATTTATACATTGGTGCTGCAAGAGATTTCAAATCAAGACCTTTATTTAATGATTTGAATAAACGCAATTATAGTGGAGTTACACTAGATACAATGTCACATCTTTATGCATATTATAACACAAACATGCCATTAGATTTATCTCCATTTAACTTATTAGATGACAAGAATTATGATTGTGAATTTCAAATTGCAGCATATTTTAATGTTTTGCGAAATCTATCAAAGTATGCTCCAAATGGTTTCATGCTTAATTCAATGATTGTTTTTCCACAATATGCAAAATGGATTGCAACAGCTGGATATGAAGTCGATATAAAAACTAATTATAAAATGCCAGTTTATGAATCTCAGCATTTTTGGCAAAATAGATTTGCGACTGGATCTCGTCCAAACTCTCATTTAGAGAGATGTTCAGCATGGGATAAATTTGAAGAATACTTTAGTTTTTGTTCAATTGTTGGCTGCACGCCAAGCAGTGAATCTGGAAGATTCTGGAACAGCGATGAAAATATGAAGAAAGTTAGACCGATCTATGATAGATGGAGAGATCCATTAATGGAAATGCTAAATGGAACTACTTATTTAGCAAATGGAGGTGGAAGAGTGCAATTTGTTAATGATGAATGGGGTGTATTCTGTCATAAGGATGGATCTTGTTATGCTGCATTTTATCTCAGGAATGAATCCACAACTTACCAAGCAAAAAAATAATTATATATTATAACAATTCAACGATGAATGATATATGGATATAGGAAAGTAAGCAAATTATGAGAATGTCATAAAATGTATTATATTTGTTCATCATAAATCTTCACTTTGGTCTGAAAGGGAGTTAAATGCGTTCTTTTTCATAATATTATTAAGTATACCGTAATTTAACTGAAATTGCTTCCATAAATATCCAAGATTTAACTGGAATTGTGAAATAATGTCAATTTTTAAAATAAAAGGCATGTATGCAGTTTTTTCAACATTATCAATTATAATTTCCAAATGGTCACTAGATGTATCAGCAAGAATAAATGGAGGAATGAATTTACTCATGTTTTTTGAAATTGTATACAAATTAATGACTTCTCTGCTAACAAAATTTAACTTGCTAATCATATTTCCCGATATTAATTTAAAATTAATCATCTTTAGATTTTTCGAATATTTCTGTTGTGAATTTCTTAAATGAATAATCGGAATGGAATAGTTAACAATAAAGCATGGATCATCACCAAATGGATATGAATTGTGGAAATTGCATCTTTCTGGAGAGATAACAACTGTGAAGTATAAAGGTTCATGTTTCAAAATGACTGGTTTGAAGATAGAAACATTAAAATTCTTATGAACAAATGGTTTTATATATGAATTAGAATAAGATATGTTGGATATAATATCAATGACTTCAAATATGGGTACTTCCGAACCATCTGTATTGTGTTCTGGTGTTATCATTAATTTTAAACCGAGATTTTCATTTTCATTCCAAGAATTATGTAATTTTTTGAGAAATGTGGGGAAATTGGAGTAATACTTTATTAAATGAAAAATATACGGAAATGAATAAGCAAATAATAAGACATTAAGCTGTAAAAATAAAACTAAGAAAAAATATCTGAGTTTCATTATGAAAAATGAATTCTTCACAAGCTCAATTAAATTTATTCTAGTAAACATTAATTCACTTACATATGATTTACCACAATCTCTTTGCTTTCAAAGCATAATCTTATTTCTAATAATAATAGCGCTCAATCTTTACTCTTGAGTTTTAATTTTAGGACTCTAAAGTATGGTTCAAAGCTAATTCGAGAAATCTGAAATATTTAAAAAAAAATCATAAGGATTGTGTAATAAAAGTAAACTCTCACGATATAGATATGGTTCAGCCACAATAATAAATAGGTAAGTTCATGATTAGAAAATTTCAATATAGAAAGGAAAAAAATAAAATAATTTCTCAATAAATAAAGATACACTTGAAAATAATTACAGTACCTTTTCTGAATCCAGCTTTTAAGTATATGAGTTGTGTCTAATGATTCCAAAATTATCAAATAATGTAACAGTGTAATAGAGAAAAATACTTGTCACTTTTGTGCTAAACTACCAGTAACGGTTATCATTATAGCATGGAAATAAAGAAGCATTATGAATATTATTTAAAGAAAATGTACTTCCACAAGATATGTGAGTTCATTGCAAAAAGAGCACCGCAAGAAATTCGGAATAACAGAAGTGTTCCAAAAATTCCAGATAAACGTGCTTACGAACTAGCCGCAAGATTTGTTGCACAGTTCTTAGAAAAGCATAATATGACAAATTCAAGATTTATTGCAGGATTTGAAACAGCAGGATTCATTCCAAAACGCGAAATCATCTCCCCATATCCAATTTTACAAATAAAAGAGAACAGAAGTATTGTCCCACAACTTCTAAATTGCAGGAAGTTAAGAATTGCAAGAGTTGCCAAAGAAAGATCTTTAATTATCAATAAAGGCAGTGAAATGTCAGAAACACCACGTCGTCCTGCTTCTAAAGGCTTGTTAGAAATGCTTGAAAAAGAAGATAGAGAGCAAAGACACAGACGTAAATCAGAATCCACAACCGAAGGAAAGCATCACAGACATCATCATCACGATCGAAAGAAGATTTCCCCTGATGATGTTTCAATTAACTCCGCTAATTTACCATACTTTGCTCCAGAAGAATATCGCCAATTTGGAATTGATCCAAATGACCCACAAGCTTCATATAAACTACTTTTCCAATTCAAGTTGTTCTTAAATGCAAAGAAACATCAAAAAGAAAACCCTCCAACTCCAAAAGAACCAGTTTATATTATGCCACCGCCTCCACAAGAAGTTCAACAACCTTTGCCACCACCATTACCAGTTCCACCTAAAGAACCATCTGTTGTTTATTCAGAATCAAGCAGATCTTCAAAGTATTCGATCAAATCTTCATCTGCTGCTCCAGTTTCTTCTACTTACTCATCCTTAGCTCCAACATCTAATTATACAAAGTCAATTGGTCCTAAATCATCAGGAGCTCTTAAATCTGGTTCATTTTCAAACACTGAAGAAGAAGAGGAGGAAGAGGAAGAAGACTTTGGCGAGGAAGAGGAGGAAGAAGAGGACTTCGGTGAGGAGGAAGAAATGTGAAAATTTTAATTTGTTGTTAAGGAAATATGATATTATTAATTTGTCAAATAAACTTTTGCGTTATATGAATAGATATGTATCTCTAAACTGAAATCGGGTCTTATTTACATTTCTATGTAAAACTCAGAAAAATTATCAAAAATTTATAAAATATGTTTTAATGGTATAACTAACTGAAGGAAATTCAAAAACTATTAAAATATGAGATTGGCACAAAGTCACCAATATAGCAATCAATAAAGCAAAATGGATAAATGTTGTAAAACTCTTAACCTTAAAAAATTTTGGACCCCCTGGAGGAATCCTGATCGAGCAAGTTTGGAGTCTCCCTCCAGGTGAGGAACATGCAAACGAGAGAAGTGTTTAACACTTCATAAAGTATCTTGTGGATATGGTTAGATATATAGTTCTACTTAATGGAAAGAATTAAATTGCGTTAAAGTAAAAAATGGAGTTATGAACTCATTTCGATATAAGATGCTTCATTATAATATATAGTAAATGTTTTTATTCAAATTAAGCTTAGTTAGATTTTAATTAAAAATTGGCAATTCCGATTCGCTTTTATTTTGGAGGGTATATGCGCATCGTGAAGCTGGGAAAGTGGTTCGATAGGTTTGCAAATCTGTCTGTACAATTTTTCAAAACGATTTGTAATTTCCGTTTGAATAGATAACTAGTATAGCTTGTAATGTCAGTAAAGTCAGTTTACCTTAGTAAATGAAAATAAAGTTGATTCAAGTTGATTAATCTTGATTTCGGTGTTAATTGAATCAGGAATTAACAGATTCAGTAATTGTTTTGAATTTTGGAAGATAGGCGCACTAAATTATGGTTTTTAAAAACATTATACTATGTTTTTCTAAAGAAGAAAGCTTTGTTGATAGCAATTTGTAAAATGAGGAAAAAGTACGTTAAACTTTACATGGCAAATTTTGAAAAACTTGGGAAATAAAAATAGCCAATATTGAGTAAATTAATATCTAATATATAAATAAAGAATATTAAAGTAAGAGAATTCCAAAATTATATAATTCCTATTAAAATCGAATAATTTAGAGTCGATTTACAGGAGCACTCATAAATATGAGCGTGACTAAGAAATTAAAAGTTAAATTTAGTCTGAAATTTTGTATATATTACACAATTAATACAAGATAATAAGTAATTGGCTCATTTATAAGATTAAGTCAAACAGTTTAATGTCATATGTATTTTTATTTTTAAATTTGAGTGGTTAATAAGCTATATTTTTTAATGCTAGCATAAGTATATCCCTACGTTCCCAACTTCTGGAAAACGGTTTTTCACCCTTATGATCAGTTTCAGACACTTTGGGAATCTCCCAAACTTTGATATTTTGCATTATGATAGAGAAACGTGTCTAGTTTAACGCACAGTTGTTTTAAAGGCAAATGATGATATCACATGAAATTATCAAATTATCAAATTTTGAAGTACCAGTCCAAAGGGTTAATTAGATCCTACACAGATGTGCGATAGTGAAACATATGTGTTCTTGATTTGAGAAGTCCTACTGATAGAGGTATGAATCTCACAGCTTTGTGTGAGTGTGTCTGACACTTGTATAGAGTGGAATATGCGCCGACATATATTATATAATAACATGTAGTTGATAATTATGAAAAAATAGAATTTGATGCGAATGATATTGAAAGTTGTTTTGTAATTTGATATTTTTCTTATATGTGTTAATTAGTAAATGGCTTGTTTGTTGTGATCGTACTGTGAAAAATGAAAGGTATTTTAAATTAAAAAAATGAGATTTTGAGATATCTCTAGAATTAAGAATTTATTATGTATTTGACTTTTATATAACTATGTGTAAAGGATCTCGATGTCTATATGCTTTAAATAAAATTAAATAAAATGAGATAAAAAATTAAAATGGACAAGAAGATATATGGAAATGTAATTTGTATTGTATTGGTTGTTGGCAAAATGATTTTAATACAGATTTAAGGATTTGGAATGGATTTGAAATTAAATGATTTTTATTCAAGGAATAATAAGATTTTGAACTGGTTTTTATTTTGAGAATGTAAATTCCTTCCATAGGATATGTATTAGAAAGATCAATTTTAAACTTTTTGAAAGAATTTTTTTTTGTTGAGTGATTTTCTCTCATTTGATAATATATTTAAGTTGGCGTATCTTACGCCCTTCCAAAAATATGTATTAGAAAGATCAATGTCAAACTTTTTGAAAGAATTGTTTTTTTGTTGAGTGATTTTCTCTCATTTGATAATATATTTAAGTTGGCGTATCTTACGCCCTTCCAAATATTTCTTAAAAATTTAAATTTGTCTCATCTCCTACTCTTAATTTAAAAAAATTTCAAAATCCATAATAGTAAACATTTCTTATTTTTATTTAAATCTGAAAAAAATAAATTTAAACAATTTCTCTACACACGACGGTTTCGGCGGTTTTCAGAATGGTTGACAACTGAATTCATCAGGATAATGTCGGTTGGGGTGCCCTTCTTGGCCTCCTGAGTACTCACCAAGATACCCCCAGCTCCCGCAAAACACCTCCCATAGGTGAGCATTAACTGATGAAGTTATTGACAACTTTATCTGATTTTTTTCTTTGTTTTTTTGTTAAGATTTCTTAACCAAAGACTCGAAAACAAAACTTCGCTTCAAGTTGCTGTCTTCCCAGTTACTCTGTCGCAATCTTTTGTCTGATTGCGTGCAAAGTTCTGCTCCTTTGAGACTTTGCCCGACAGATGCATCTGGGAGACAGCACCCAAGCAGCTTATCGCTTCAAGTTGCTGTCTTCCCAGTTACTCTGTCGCAATCTTTTGTCTGATTGCGTGCAAAGTTCTGCTCCATGAATTATCAAATATGTGCCATTTCAGGAGAGATAACAAGCTCATGCCTCCTGGAATGGCGGATTGTTCAACAATCTTCTTCTGATTGCAGAACTTTCAACCGACAAGAGTGCACAATACACTCTTGTCGGTCAAAGTTCCGCATTCAAGTTATGAATGGGGAACTTGATATCATTCTGGGAGACATGCAGTGACAATGTCTCCCGGAATGAGACACTGTGACCGACAAGAGTGCACAATACACTTAATGTTTTCAAATTTTCAGATTTAAATTTAATCTTTATTTTCATCATCATTTATAGTCTTGTTCCTTTATACAGTTATAATAAATTATCGTCAGATTCTAATATTTAAGATTCTTACTACTCAATTCAATATAATTATGTTAGTCACTCATATTCAGGAGAATAATTTAAAAATCTATAGCTCATATTTTGATAGTTATATATTTAGATGATATATATTGCAATTCCGGTTTCAACACGATCAAATGCCAAACCAAGACAAAATATATATGAATTTTCAAAATATCGATTTACATTAGAATCTATATCTAATTTTATCAATACACAAGTAGTGAATGTTCAATACATCTTTGAGCAACGTGAATAGCACAATTTTATAGGATTATTAGTTGATTATATAAAATATAAGCCAAATCGAATCTGCTGTATAGTACTTTAGTTTATCATTGAATGTTAAATGTGTTCATATAAATATTTGAGTCAGATATCGCATTTTCTAATTTCAAAATTTATCTCATGAAGTTAGAATTTATTTGATCATACAACATCATGTTAGTCAAACCAGAGTTCAATGGCGATTCTAAAATGGAACAAATGCTTGTTTTATCAAAATGTTAAAATATTAATCTAAAAAACTTAATATCTAACCAAACCATTCTAGAATTATTATATACAGGTATAGGCAATCTAAATGCACACGGAATTCGGAAAATTAAAAAGAATATTTATGAGATTATTAAATCTTATGTAATTCAATGAAAAGTAGATAATATGAATATCCATAGGCTATATATCAACATATGAGTTTTTGGTTTGACCAATACTATACTAATGTGATCAAATTAATCTGATTTCTTAGATTTTCATTTGAAGCATTTGCAGTAGTAGGGGTACCTTTATATATTAACATATTAAAAAATTGCGCTCCGATTCGCAGTTTCTTCATGATTTTGAGATTGCATTAGATTTCGCGATGCAGAAAAAAATCACTTTAGATTCCCGTCAAACTCTAAGTATAAGCATATCTCTATATGTAGAAACTGTCTGCGCTATTTATTTCCCGGCTCAAAAAACCACGGTGTCTGTGTGAGGAAAATACCCATTTTAGGACCCTGGGCAGGGGGTCATGAAAATTTTCCAAGAGTTGGAAATATAGGGTGGTTTCTAATTTAATAATAATGAATATCTTGCTTTAAATGAAAAATTAATTTCTAATATATCAATCCCATTGCTTCCAATCTTAATTCAGATTACGGAATTCTGATTATTCTGTTGATGAAGATAAATTTACTGCTTCAACAAATGAAGTTTTATAAACATTATTAATAATACATTTGATATCTTCAAGATCTAATTCATCTTCTTCATATTTTTATATGATTTACTTTTATTTAATTCTAATTTTTTAGCAGAACAAAAATATGTTGAATAATGAGATATATGGAAATCAAATGGTTGAATTGATTCAAAAGTACCTGCATAATTATTTCTTACAGTTCGAGTGAAATTGTTTTCATCAAAGTAACAATTATCAATAATTGGTTTTTCATAAAATAAATAGTTTCCTTTGTTTCCTATGAATGAACAATTTGAATATCTAATTGAAGTAGAACAAAAAATTATTGCCCAATTACTTGCTCTAAATTCATTGTTTAAATAATTGCATTTTGTAATTTTAAAATTACCTGTATTGGAAATTACAGCATATTTTGTAGATGATGAATTCGAAGCTGTTGTGAAATTCATAATTCCTGTTCCTGTTGGTGAAGAAATTAAATATCCAGCATAAGAAGTAATTTTGTGATAAGATGTATTCATGTTACTTACTTGGATATCTCCTAGGAAATGATGAAGAGAATGACTTTTTCCGTAGCATTCTGAAACTGAACATTCAAATGCATAATTTTTTTTTGTTACTACCATATTTTGATTCAATGCAATATGCACTTACAGAACTAGTAGATGATGAAAGTAATAAACAAATATGAACTAAGGCGCAGTCAGATTCCTTGATACAGAATGATCCACCATCTCCTGTGGAGCTGTTATTGTAAAATGTGCATGTTTCGAGAAACGCTTTGCTGTTGGATTCAAGGTAAATTGCTCGTTTTTGATAATGGAATGAAAATATCGCATGATTAATGTAGTAATTGCCATTACTTCCTGATATAGTTTCGTTTTCAGTTTTAATAGTAGGATCATCAGCATCGTAATAATCTGAAAAACTTCGTTGAAGTTCCAAAGAGAGTTTCTAAGTGTTTGAGTTTGTTCAATACGCATTTCTTAGTGTTGATTCATGTGAATAATGTTGAAATTATCGTTTAATATAATTTAGATTTAGTCGGGAAATCAAATTAATTTCCCATGAAAAACGATTTTTTTTGTGTGTGTCCGCTAAAAAAATCTAAGGAGTTATATATCGGTCTTGAACTTTATTCGTGCATAACCATTGAAAAATATATCAATGTAAGGTCTTATAGCACAGCCAAGATCAATCATCATTTATTTCAGGCAGAATTGTAAGATCTGTTTCTCTCATCTTTGAAATTTGCATAGTTTTTCTCCTAAGTCTCAAGTTAAGCTTCTTATGACATATTCTATCTATATCTTAAATATGAGTCCTTTTCTTAGTCTAGAAATGGTGATACCAAACATAAAAGTTTTTCAAAATTTTTTTGATTGAAAGACGTTTAAAAATTAATGTCGACCCTTCAAGAGTGCTTATATCAATCATTTTCTAATAGTAAAGACAATCAAATATCAAATAATCCAACAAAAGTAAAACCATATGTATATAATGCAATGCAGATTTTGGATTCAAACATGAAATTAAAGTTAGATAACCAACAAAAGCTTAATAAAATCTACGAAATTTGCGATAAATACAAAAGCATAGGAAATAAGAGAAAATTACCATCTAAATTACCCAATTGTTCAACAAATAATAATGTTAACGAAGATTTATCGCAACATGAAGTAGTATATAATGAAATAATGGAAAGGATTCAGCAGTCAATCTTAATGGGAGTTGATGAATTAGGATTAACAATGAAATTATCTTCAGAATTACAAAAAGAATCCATTAATTTGGAAGAACAAGAAATTCAAGATGAACACGCTCTTTCTAGTGATGATGAAGATCCAACACCTCGTAATGCAGCTAAAATTGCATCAATGATAAAAAATGATGCGAATAATGAAGAAGAAGATCACGAAAATTATTCCCCTAAAGTTAAATTACCGTCTCCTATGCAATATGATACTAATAAAAATGAAGAAGATAAAGATGAAGATTCTTATGACGAAGAAGAGTCTGATGATGATGTATTTGTTGAAGAAACAACCCCAACTAATATTGTTCATAGGAAATAAATCTGTTAATATAAATGATTTGAGAAAAATTAATTATTTTACAACTATTTGAATTTAATTGAAGTATTTATTTCATGATATGTAAGGGTTTCGTTTTGCGAAAAAAACGTACAATACGCAATTTCGCTAAAAAAACATTTAGCTAGCAATTTCGACCTTTGACTCCACTCAAGACGTCACTTTTTTAATTTTGCGGTATCATATTTTTGGAAAATCTTTATGAATATTATATAAAAAGTCTCTTTAATATCTATATTTCATATTTTTATCGATTTTTAAAGTTTTTGCGAAAAGTATTCAATTATTTTTGCTATTTGGTCGGGTAAATGTCAGATTTGCGACATTTTCTGATATGATATTCAGATTCTACGTTGATAATAATGCTTATAGAACCCTCTTGCTATTGTGTCAAAATTGCGAAACCGATAGCAAAAATATCTCGCAATATCAAAATTGAGATATTGAGTGAATTATGCATTATAGAGATTAAAAATATGATTTGTGAAAACATCTCATCAGTTTCTAGCTAATTCAAAAATTTTTACTATCTTATTCGATTAAAATGAAAAGGGAATAGTTTCATTATGCTTTAAATGACAGCCTTATAATATAATCATAGTTTTCGCTCAATATGCAGCATTTTTTTTTCGAAATCTATGGTCAATGTCCTAAATACTGATTGCTTTGCATTCATATCTCTTACATTTTCTATACCCACATCACTATTCATTGCTATTCCTATCTTTTTCATTTTTGTTTGTTTCTCATAATTTCTCAAAAAACACGATAACTTGATATTTGTAAATATCATACTTTATAACGTAAATAAGAACTTGACCTATTAAGAAAAGCAGTAATGAGTAGGTGACAAAAGTGCATACTCTTAAACAACCGTCGGATTTCCGGGTGAAATCGTGACACACTTTCGTCTTTCGTAGGCAGTGGTGGTTGTTACAAAAGGTAACTTCGAATGTAGCGTGAAATCTGCAAAAAAAAATTCTGAAATTTGAATGGAGAACACAAAAATTGAATAGTTTACGTCAATACAAAAGAGAAAAATGAAGCCAATGTGTCTCGAACCTAGGACTTAGAGCATCAATCCCACTGTTTATCCCATTACACTACATGCATCTCTCACCTTAGTGAATGAGATCAACTATATGATAACTTTTTCCCCATTATATTCTTGTGGAAAAGTGACAAATAGCAACTTTGACCCTCTCTCAAGCAGTAATGAAAAGAAAATCTGAAATTCATAAAAATTACAAGTTTCTGATGACAATTAGCTTAATTAAACCAGGTACAAGATTATATAATTGTATTTTCTATCCAATTATCCATATAATATCTTATCCAGAAAAAATAACTTGATCAATACCAAATGATTTTTTAACTAGTAAATAAAGTATTTTCTTTACACACACATTGTATATCATAGTTTTTTTTTTTGGTTTCGCAAAACATCCAAAAACAAATATGCTATAAAAGTGACAATTTTAGCAAAACGAAACCCTTATGATATGTTTCTAATTGAATTCCTATATAGTAGGTATTATAAAATGTGGGGACCAAGTTATTTGCAATGCAAATGTCAATTTTTGATATAAATAAATGTTAGTAGAAGAAGCTACAAACCAAGATACGTTTGTTTCAATCATGGAGTCTAATTTATTAGGAAAACTACAATTTTTTTTTCCTCTATTCGTAAATATTTGAGGAAAAATATTCTTAATTAATGAATTTATTTATTAATCCGCTACTATAGAGTCTAAACATACATTAACTGCTTAAGTTTAAATGATATAAAGATATGTAAAAATATCTTTAAAATAATATGGACATCCAGTCCTTCATTTTATTATAATCAGTTTTATAACATGAAAGTAATATATTTATATTAATAAAAAGTTGTGAATTTATAAAATAACAAAACAATTTTATTAATTCATATTAAAGTAAGTAAATTCTGAGGAATTACAGGCACTTTCTTAAGGTATTCTATCTCCTGTTCCTTACCAGGTGTTATAAAATAGTCAGTATCATTCAGTTCTACGAAAACAGGCTTACTTTCGATAGAAGATTCAAGTAATTCTAATTTTTGTCGAAAATAAACTTGTGCTTTAGTAACATCCATTGCTTTTTTATATAACTGCATTGCATCACCTTTCTCTGGCTTCAGCTCGAATATTGTACCTATATTTGCCCATGCTTCTATCAAATTCGGTTTAAATAAAATTGATTTCTGAAAAGCATGAAGAGCTTCATCATATTGGGCACCAAATGTATAAATAAGTCCTAAAGTGAACCAAACTTCAGCGTATTGTGGTCGTTTATGCAACAACATTTTGATACATTGCAATGCATCAATTAATCTATTGGCTTTGCACAAAAGACGTATAAGAACGTATTGTAATGATGATGAAAGAGAAGTAAATGATGAAGAAAAGCCAATCTGAATTGCTTTTTCGCATATTTCTATATTATCTGACAAAAGCATGATATAACACTGTTCTGTAATCAAATCTGCGCTTAAATCATTATCAAATTGCGATAAATAGTTGACTGCTTCTTCGTATTCTCCTAATAATAAGTATGATTCTGCAACTTCGATTGCTAACGTAATTTTGGAGGCACCTGATGATATAGATGCAAGTTTTAGAAATAATTCTAGCGATGATTTGTATCTTTTGACATTTCTGAGGCAAATAGAAGTTCTAAAAAGAGCATCGAATTGTATTTCGGCTGGCAATTACTGCAAATTATTTTCTATCAGTTCTAGTGCTGTTTCAAACATGTTGTAGTGAGTTAGGCAAATAAATATTAAATATTTCTGGAAATTTGACAATTCTGCTGAATACTGTAAACAACTACTATATGCTAATAATGCTTGAAAGAAATCTCCTGTAAAAGACTTAAATTTCCGTATTTTAAATGGTCTTGTAATGAAATTATTCCTTTTTTTAATAATTCGTTCCTTTCTGAAATGAATTTGTTCGTGGAATCATCTTGTGCGTATTTTCTTACTTCTAGATAGTTTGAAATCGCAAAAGTTGTATAGATTGATTCATAACTTTGGCAAAATTCATTTATTTGAGACCAAGCATCAAAAACTGTTGAGTTAACAGTATCAACAATCTTATTTGCTCCTGAATGCAAGAAATGATTTAACCTGCTTGTGGTCAAATCAATTTCTGACATAAATGACAAATTTTGAGCTCAAAATCAATATCAGGCTACAGTATTCGATAACAAAACTATCTGGAAAAGAATGATTAGTGCAAGAAGATAGTAGTATTTCAATTCTTCACTGATTCATTCCATATTCGAATGATATTTTTTCACAATATTTCTCATTAGAGTGTATGTTTTGTGTGGTTGTCTTTATCATTACAACTTGCTTGGTTTTTGTGGGAACTTCAGTGATGAAATTTGAAGTCTCAAATATTTTATCAAACTCTTTATATATTGAAATGCGAGATCCAAATACGATTATATATTTGTAGTCATGGCAAGTTATCCTATTTGCATGATATCATATCGATTTGTGATATGATTCTTATAATTATCGGGTAAGTAATTTGTGTTGAGTAGCATATATAGAGCTATTGATTATAGTTTAAATTTGCCTCATGGACTCAAAATAGAAAGCTACGATTTTTAGCTTAGAAGTCTTTATTAAAAAATTAAACAAGTTTAAAGAACATTTCTTTATTCTAAACTTGTAAATTTGATAATCAAAAAGGAATGAAAGTGGGTATTAGAATATTTTATTTGATTATAAAATTAATAGATAAATGCTGTATTAAGTTGTACAATGCATGCTTAAGGGCACTGTTCAACTTCAATAGCACTTTTTCTCATTAATGCAGCAAATTTTGCATCTTTCATGCACCAAGTTCCTCCACCACGTTCCTTTTGTTTATCCTGGCGATTTATTCCTCCGATGCAGATATAATCGCCTGCAACGGCCCATTTGGAGTGATCGTTCATTCTTGTCCATTGAACGCCGTTTATACTGACTGTAAGGATGTTGTTTGAGTGGTATCTCGAACTGCAGTCGGATGTCATTGTTCCTGGTCCTCTTGCCCATGTTTCTGAAATTACATTTGTTTGGAAGGTTGGTGCAACGAGATCGTGGTACAAGTCTTGTCCCCAGAACCTGCATTTGGAGAATAGCTTGATAGAACGTGTCTTTAAATTGATATCTGTAACTTTCGTTTGAACTTGGCTTTCAATCCATTTTCCATCGATAACTTGTTGTAGATTTGGTATCTTAAGATCAGTAAAAGAAGGTGCATTGTAGGAAACTACGTATCCACGCTCAATTAACATTCCATAGGCCCAATCGTTGATTTGTTGATGAGTTAAAGATGTGCAAAGCATTGCTTGGCCAAAGTTAGTGCCAGTGTCAGGATATGAGTACTCAGTTGTAACTTTTGGATCATTTGGATAGCGTGGAACTGAATGTTCAAGGTAAAGACCATTATCTTTATCGAAAATAAGGACGCCCTTTTTGTGTGCATATGTGTCAGAGGGATTAGATGTTCTGTGTGGTGGTTGGTCCGAAATAATCATGTAGCCGACTTCAGGATTGTTAGAATACATCGGGGCAAGCGTGTTATACAAAGGGTTATTCTTCATAGAGCCGACATCAGATGGCGCCTCGGACAAACTGGTTGATGGATCTGTGTAAAAGAAGGCCATTCCAGTTGCATGGTTCGGGTTTCGATCTTTTAACGTTGGCATTTTAAATAACGCATACCAGTCTACATCATTGCCCTTGTTGTTCTTGCACTGTAAAGAAGAATATGAAGTGGTGAGTAGGAAATGTAGCATTTTAAAAAATGATAAAAATATCCAAAAGTGACAATACGGTATCTGAAATTGATGTGTTTTAAAATTAAAAAATATTAAAATAATATATGTGATAAAGAAAAAGTATATTTTCAATTGGCGGTTAAATACCCGCACTTTTCAAAAAACCTCTCATATAATTAAATATTGTTCCAAATTTTAATGAATTTTTCATGAAAAATATTTGAATTACATTGAAAATTAATAGCTTGTGATTTTAGATTCAATGAAGAATGACATGTAAATCTAACAAATATCTATCAAAACAAAACTCTAAAATATGTTTAGACAATAAAAATATACAATATATAAATTGAAAGGTTTAACTTTATTTGTCAAAAATTAATAAGACGTGAAAATCTATGAGCTTATACTTTCCTACGAAAATTGCACGATATAAAGTTCTTTGAAACGATCGCAAGCGATGATTACAAATGGAATATTAATGACACTATTTTCAATATATTTGGAGATCGAAATACAACAAAATATATTATAGATGCAATTAACTTTTTACATAACTTTCCTTCAGATGGTATTGATAAGGCAATGTATTTGATTCCAGAAAATATAGATCCAAGCAAGTATTTAATTTATTGCGTATTTAAAGGAAATATTAAGATTGTGCAGTTTTTTCTTGACTCCCTAAAAGAAAACATAGAATTTGATGATTTATATAGTATTTTCTTTTTGCAAATCAATATGAAGAAGAAATTTTCCAAACATTTGTTGATATTAATGAATTATTGATTATTATGGAAGTATAGAAAGTATGTTATTTTCTTTCATGAAATTTATGAAAGAGGACAAACTATCATATTGGATGAAATCAAATATATATAATTTAATTAAAGATGTAAACATGAAAAGAGGATCAAAAACATTGTTAATATATGCATGTGAGAATAATTGTACTAATTTGGCAAGAGTATTGCTTGGAATGCATGCGGACTACAACATGAAAGATGATAAAGGAAATACATCAATTTTTTATTGCATCAAGAATGCAAACATTGAATTAGTTCATCATCATTTTCAATACTCTATTAATTTACTAGAAGAAAACAACGATGGAACATTTCCACTTGATATTGCACTCAAATCAAGTAACATTGAACTTAAAGAACTCGTTTGTAAATACTATTTCAAATTCAAAGCAAATTTCCTTGATGACAGAGTCAAAATGAGATTGAACACATATTTTTTAAGAGAAAGCGATACAATCAAAGCTGAAATTATAAGAATGTCATTGAAATATGAATCTCACCAGTTTGCAAAATACTTTTTAGAAATGGTCGAAGATAAATTTATTGATAAATACAATTTAATGGCAATTGCCTATTCAGAAATTGTTACTCCAAATGTTTTTTCTCCATGTAAATATAGTTTGATGCTAAATATGGTGTATAAGAGATCCATTGATAAATCAAAATTAGTTGAATTGGTAATTAAAAGGAAAGACGTTGAATTTTTCGAATTAATTGCATCACAGCAACTCGGATGAAGTATGAATTTTCCATTGAGCGATGGAAGAACACCAAAAGAAGTCTTAATTGAACTTGCGCCCACAGACAAACGCTATCAAGAAATGCTTGATTATATAACAAAAATTTATAAAGTTAGAATACCAAATTGGGGATTATTAGCTCCTAATGTTCAGAACATGTATTCGAAGCATTAGATTTACCATAAAAAGCGATATTGTATAATAATAGGAGCAATCTGATGCAAAGAATAGCTTAAACTCAACAATTAATTTTCCCAAAATTGTGGGGAAATCATCATATACCTAAAATATTTTGAAAAACTCTGTCTCCAGATAGCTTAATGGATATTGCATGATAAATATAATAAAAAGTACGTAGTTCGAATAATTATATCTTTGTTTTTTTCTTTTTTTCAATTAAATTTGAATATGTTTTATTTTTCAAGAGAAATGAGAGAATTCTTGTCTATTAACGCTGGAGAAGACTCTGCTTCTAATGAGTGCTATAATACATAATGTTGTAGTATGATACTTTCTCACCAGCAATGCAAAATTCTATATTTCATTTAAATTATTTTTAATTATTTCAGTTAATTCGATTTTTGCAAAGGTACTTATTAATATCATGATAAATTTGTCCATTTCATATAACAAATATGAACAAGATAAGCATTTTAACACTTGCCAATATTTTTTTCATGTTTTGATAACTCAATATGCAATGCCTGTTAATATCTTAAATATTAAGTTCATTTTTTCTTAGAATGAATGTTATCCTGGCAAATTAAGCAAAATTATATTCTAATTATTGGAAATAGAATTTAGTTTTATAGAGATTTATTAATAACATCAAATGCATGCATTCTTTATAATCATGAACCAGTAATAAATGTCATCGATAAGCAAATGTTATTCAATATTTATAAGAAACTCATAAATCTTTCTGGAATTTATATAGTTACTTAATAAGTAATAATTTCTCAGCAATACATGTCTCTTATCTCCGATAAAAGATGAATGATAAATATAATAATGCTTATCCAAAACTTTTATCACAGTTTTGATTTTGCCAAAAGCTTGCACATTGTGTATTAAGCAACTAGTTTTATGAAAAGATATATACAATATCGACCTAGAACTAAAAATCCAATGATTCTAAGTGAAAACTTAGTACCATGGTATTCGAACTACATTCCTTCAGTCTACCCGTTTATTCCACTAAGCTAAATCTGACACGTAAACTTTTTTTAAAACTTTTGGTATATGATCCTTCCCTGCCCGGACTTAATTTAGCTAATTTCTAATTCCATAGGGGTTTTACTAATATAAATATACTCTATTGACAAAACCAAAACATATCCTCTATTTCAAATTCGCAAAAATTCTTCTACACCGCTATTTATTTTTAAAATCAACATTTTTTTGAAATTTTCGAAAATCCAACTTAAAATTGAATGCGTTTTTCAAGATCTCAAAACCCAGCAGACAGATTCGAAAAAAATATCAGCCATTTGTTTTAGAATCATCTAATGACCATATCCCCAAAATTAGAAGCAAATCGGAATTGGGAATCTTAGTTTTACTACGTTTAAATGGATACAGAATTGAATAAAGTATTCAATCAAAGCCAAGAGCTGTAAATGACCTTTTATAACTTGTTTAACAATGCTCTTTATTTCATGCAGTTAGATTTTATCTGAAAAGAATTTCGATTAGAAATTTATGTGCAGTCGGATTATTTTTGTTAATATTTGAATAGAAACCATCATTGCTAATGTAAATCTATTAATAATATTGGTATTCGGTATCGAAAATTTTTTTCCAATTTTAAATTCAAAATTTTTTGAAAAAAGGGAAGTCTTAATCATGTAATTTTATAAAAATCTTGGTTGTAGAAAATTGACCTTATTCAAAACGTCCTTTTTTGTAAAGTTATCAAAAATATTCGTTATTTGAACTTTTGAAAAAAATTCAAGAAAAAAATTTTTTTTATAGAAAATTATATGGATCCTCGAGAATCAATGAGTAGTGACATTCGAGTGATCTGTAAGCTAGGTGAAGGCTCTTTTGCCGAAGTGTTCAAAGTTAAGAACCCAAAAACACAGCAGTTATTTGCAGTTAAAAGATTAAAGAAACGATACCGGGCAATAGACGAAGTGAACAAACTACCTGAAGTCTTGTATCTTCGTGCACTTCAAGGACATCCAAACATCATCAAATTATACGAGGTAATTTTCGATAATCAATCAGGCTTCGTCGCATTGAGATTCGAATTAATGGAAGTAAACCTTTACGAACTTGTTAGAGATAACCAAAAGCCTTATGACGAAAAGACTGCCTTATTACTCATATATCAGCTCCTTAAATCTTTAGCTTTTATGCATTCAAAGAATTTATTCCATCGTGATGTCAAGCCAGAAAATTGCATGGTGAACAAGTCCACCTTGGAACTCAAGCTTTGCGACTTTGGATCAACTAGACAAACCTCAACATCAGGTCCATATACAGAATACGTTAGCACTCGTTGGTACCGTGCCCCAGAATGTATTCTCACAAGTGGCTCATACGGTCCAGAAGTCGACATTTGGGCTGTTGGCTGCATGTTGTACGAACTTGTCACATCCAGACCTTTATTCCCAGGCAAGCACGAAATTGATCAGATTGCTCGTATCCACAATGTCGTAGGGACTCCTTCCCGCGACGTCCTTGCAAAATTTAGACAAAATCCAAATACTCAAATTTCCTTCTCTTTCCCGCAACGCGTTCCACAAGATCTACATAAGCTCCTCCCTGTAATGAGTTCGGGCTTCATTGACCTTTTGTCTCGTCTCCTTGTTTATAACCCAAGTGACAGAATTACAGCTCAAGACGCCTTAGAACATCCAGTTTTCGAGTCACTCCGTGCTGCAGAGTCTCGCTGGGTTGCAAGCGGATGCCACGTTCCTTTCTCTGTCTTTGCGGAACAATTCGGAAATATGATGAACGCTCCACCATCAAGTGGAATGGGTTCCTTTGTCTTGGATTCAGGTGCCCAGAAGCACCATCATGACGACGAGCCATTAGTCATTCATTCTCATAATCAACCTGTTGTTCCATCCGTAAATAACTCAAACAACCATCTAAAGCAACCACTACAAGGTCCTCTTATACTTCCATCCATCGCTAAGCCGAAACCTCAACTTGGTCCGATCGGATTTAATTCGAAAGAGGCACAAGCGAAGGCAGCACAAAGAATCAGAGAATACAACCAGAAGAAACTCCAGAACCAGAAAGAAAAGAAGCAGGTTTGGCCTTCTTTCCAATTTGGACCTCCAAATATTACAAAACCAAGTTACAATGGAATGTCTGGATTCCAGAAGCCGAAACCAGAACTCATCCAGCCAAGATTACCGAAATTGGCTCCTTATATCAAATAATTTTTTTCTTTTTCTTGTTTGTTGGTTTAATTTTTCCGTGTTTTTGTTGTTTATATTTTGTTATTAAAATATTTCATTTGTTAAATGCAGAATAATGTATTTATTCATTTCATAAATAATCAAATTTTAAATTACTAGTTCTCGTCATCAAGATATATAATTTCTGTTAATTATTCAGGTTGTATATAGCTTATTATTCATTATTATTTTTAATATTTTTATTCATTGATATATAAACATAAAAAAATAGAGAATGATATGAAATCATTTGATTTGCATTGAGCTGTGCATAATTTATTAATAGGACAATTAATCTCAAAGCTTTTCTCGCTGAATGAGTTTTGAAGGAATATGTTTTTGACTGATGATGGACATGAGATAGTGCCGCATTTGTGAAGAGATGGGCAGTCTTCGAATGAGTTAGAATTGATGCTTCGAGGGCTTGGTGGGTTGAAGAAGAGGAATTTGAGGTTGATACAGCCTTTGAATGACTGATAACCGATCTCTTCGATCTGGTTGCCGTTGAATAAGACACGTGTAAGCTTTGTCGCACCCATGAATGCATAGCTGCCGATTGTGCGCATGCTGATAGGAATGATGAATGTGTTGATGTTAGAGCTTGGAAGGAAGAAGATGATCTTTGTCTCATACCAGTCTGTAAGTGCACCACTAGAGAATCGGAAGTGACCTTCACCTGGATCGAGTGTGATGTTATGGAGGTCTGGACAGTTGCTGAAACTTCCGCCTTGAACAGTTTCGAGAGATCCATTTATGCCGATGAAGAAGTTTCGAAGACTGACACAGTTAGCGAATGCACCATATCGAATAGTTCTAACACTGCTCGATATGTTGACTGAGACGAGGGATGTACAACTGTCGAATGCATTATCATTGATTGTGACACATCCTTGATTGATATCGACTGACTCAATTGATTCTGATGACTCAAAACAACTTTTAGAAACATCACAAGGTGCTGAAAACTTGGTGACTTTAGTGTTGAAGAAACATTGACTATCAAGGAATGTTGTTGTTAATGGAAGGATTGCAATACTTAAACTTGAACCTTTAAATGCTTCTTCAAAGATCTTTTTAAGATTTGTCTTGTCTAGTCCTATGTCACTAATAGATGTGCAACCATAGAATGATCGTTTGTGAATGATTTCGATCGATGATGGTAAATTGATTGTTCGAAGTTTTGGACAGTTGTTGAAACAGTCTTCTGGAATCTCTGTGATTGACATACCTGTGAATGTGACTATCTCTAAATTAGGACAACTCTTAAAGCATGAAGAACCAAGTGATTTCAATGATGATGGGAGGAGAATAGAAATAAGTTGTGATGCTATAAATGCTTCTTTTTCAATTGTCATCTCGGAGCTGCTAGAAAATCTGATTGTTTGGATTTTAGATGATGTAAAAACAGACTTTTTCACTAAAGTGCATTCTGAAGGAATTGTAATAGTAATTTGATCATTCTCAAAGTAATCAAATAACGTTTTCTTACCACTAGAGAAAAGCATTCCGTTCTCCATATAAAAATGCTTGTTTTGTGAGCAGTTCAAAACAAGTGTTGATCGAGCATTTTTAAATATTGAACTTCCCATGCTTGTCACACTGGCTGGTAAAACTAAATCGTTCAACATTTTACATCTTGAAAACGCTAGATATCCTATTGATACTAAACTTGATGGAAGTCTGATATTCTTCAAGTTTTTGCATCCATAAAACGCATATTGACCGATTTCAGTTATCACATCATTAACAGTAACATTTTCAAGGCTATAACAATTCGCAAATGTGTTAGCATTAATTCGAGTTATTTTAGAATTGTATGTGAATGATGAGATTGGTGTTTCAGTAAAGCATTGTGTCCCAATTGATTCGACATTTTCATGAATAATAACTTGTGTAACTTGGGTTGAGCGAAAACAATGATCTTTTATATTTAATACAAATGAAGGTACAAAATGGAGTGTATTATTTTTCTCTCCTGTATATAAAATATTACCTTCTGATTTAAAATATGGATTTCTAGGGTCAACATCAAATTTCTGGATAGGTACACCTATGAATGCAGCAGGGACGATAATTTTGAGTTTTGGAGGTATATAAAAATATTTTAATTTTGTTTGGATAAATCCATCTGAATATATATAGGTTAAATTAGAGTTTGATGAAATTGTGACAGATTCTAAATAATAATTAAATACACTTAAATGTATTTTGTGCCATTCGCATATAGTTTCAAGGGAATCTGGTAATGTAACAGATTTTAAGGATTCACAATTATAGAAACAACCGAAACGAAGTGTTTTAATTTTTTGAGGAAAATTAATGTTGTTGAGTTTTCGTGAGTTGGAAAAGAGAGAATTGTTTAAGTATGGAAGTCGATCGCATGCGTGCATGTCGATGGTTTCAAGAGAACTGTATGAGAAAACCCATTTGTCAATCTCAAAAACTTTAGAATTATCTTCGAAAGTAATAGAAATGATAGATGATCGACATTTATCAAATGAACTCTTGCTCGATGAATCACCACCAAGAATAATTTCGACACTAGAAGGAACAACAAAATGTTGTAAATTTGAAGGAGTACTGATGATTACTTTTCTTGATGATGAATCATACTCGACACCATTTGTTGTATCTTCATATTGTAATAAAAACAGAAACACTGTTTAAGAACCTTCATTGCCTAAAAATTATTTGTCAAAAATGAATTCATATTATTGAAAAAGAACATATTTGAATCCAAATTATACTGATGATTATGTTATTTAAATAAGCTTATAATGATTTTTATGAGGTTTTCAAATTTTCAGAGAAAGTAATCAGACTTAAAAATTCAACTTATAATTTTCAGTCTTGTATTGAGTAAACTTTATTAGCAGGACGTTTGCTGTAACATCTTTTCTCACAACTACGGGAATAAGTTTTGCATTGAAGATGTGACTTTTAAAGAATTATATTCAAAACAATAATCAAGGTCGATGATTTTTTGAGAAAAAACATTAACTATATTAGAAGCATCCAGAATTATTAAGGATGAAGTTACAACTTTCTGAAATTTTCTCAATTTTTTGAGATCCTTAAGGTGAAAAGTTATAATTATTGGTCGGTAAAAAGTTACCACAAAACGCTACATATTACCTGATGTGGCTGTTATACTTTTTGTTATTAAGGGTGCCCTATAACGATAATGTAAACATCACAAAATTAACCTTATTAGAACTCGAATGAATGATTCTAGTTCTCAATATAATAGCCTTAAAAGTGCTTTTCTGAGGGTGGTCTATCGTCTATAGGGCACCTTTAAAATAAAGACATATTCTGATGTTGATAAGATATCAGATAGTGGTAAGTGCACATTTAATAACTCAATTGGATTAAATATCAAATAGATTCCTCCATTATCTAGTCCTATATATGTTTTTAATGTAGTAAAGATTGTACCATGGGGTGTTGAACATCTAGACTTGAAAGTATGCAAGTTTATCTATAGAATCAAATATAGTCACGAAAAAAAGGTGTAAACCGGGCAAAAAGGTGTAAACCTTAAATCTATATGGCTAAAAGTAGGAAAGATATTGTCCCCATATGTGTGCGATCTGGGAGGAATGATTAGTTCAAAAATTCGAAATAGATTTAATAATGAGATATAAGCTATTATATGATAACATATATAAATAATAACATAAATAGTTTCCTTATATTATTATAGCAATTGAGTGATTGAGTTCATTTATGCATATATCATAAAATACTCTTATGCATATATTATACATAGTTCAGAAATGTTGATATGTAATTAAGAATATATCTATATGAATTTCATTAACATATCAAATATCGATAATAGAAACTGTTTGGAAATAGTTTATTCATATTCAAATATTTAAAAATACGACAAAATTTATTAATCAAACTTCGTTAAACAAGCATTAAAATATATTAGATAAGATACAATAAGGTGGAGTTTGATAATAATAAATCAAAAGTAGTATTCCATTAATGGATACAAATATAAATATCAATATGGAAAAAGAAAAGTTTATTGTAAGTACATGAGAATAAAAACAGAAAATGATAAGAAATTCATTGGACGACATTGGATTGAGCAGACTTTGTTGACAGGACATGTGACAGAAAAACTCTTCTCGCTGAATGAGTTTTGAAGGAATATGTTTTTGACTGATGTTGGGCATGAGATAGTGCCGCATTTGTGAAGAGATGGGCAGTCTTCGAATGAGTTAGAATTGATGCTTCGAGGGCTTGGTGGGTTGAAGAAGAGGAATTTGAGGTTGATACAGCCTTTGAATGACTGATAACCGATCTCTTCGATCTGGTTGCCGTTGAACAAGACACGTGTAAGCTTTGTCGCACCCATGAATGCATAGCTGCCGATTGTGCGCATGCTGATAGGAATGATGAATGTGTTGATGTTAGAGCTTGGAAGGAAGAAGATGATCTTTGTCTCATACCAGTCTGTAAGTGCACCACTAGAGAATCGGAAGTGATCTTCACCTGGATCGAGTGTGATGTTATGGAGGTCTGGACAGTTGCTGAAACTTCCGCCTTGAACAGTTTTGAGAGATCCATTTATGCCGATGAAGAAGTTTCGAAGACTGATGCAGTTTGCAAAAGCACCATATCGAATAGTTCTAACACTGCTCGATATGTTGACTGAGACGAGGGATGTACAACTGTCGAATGCATTATCATTGATTGTGACACATCCTTGATTGATATCGACTGACTCAATTGATTCTGATGACTCAAAACAACTTTTAGAAACATCACAAGGTGCTGAAAACTTGGTGACTTTAGTGTTGAAGAAACATTGACTATCAAGGAATGTTGTTGTTAATGGAAGGATTGCAATACTTAAACTTGAACCTTTAAATGCTTCTTCGAGAATCTGTTTAAGATTTGTCTTGTCTAGTCCTATGTCACTAATAGATGTGCAACCATAGAATGATCGTTTGTGAATGATTTCGATCGATGATGGTAAATTGATTGTTCGAAGTTTTGGACAGTTGTTGAAACAGTCTTCTGGAATCTCTGTGATTGACATACCTGTGAACGTGACTATCTCTAAATTAGGGCAACTCTTAAAGCATGAAGAACCAAGTGATTTCAATGATGATGGGAAAGAAACTGTTTGAATTTTAGATTCTGAGAATACTGAAGAAAATATTTTCATCTCTGAACTGCCTGAAAATTTAATGTCTTGAATGTTGGATCCTTTAAAGACATAGTTTGAGATAGAATTGCATTCTGGAGGTACTATAATTGATTTTTGTCCATAATCAAAGTATTCTAATAATATTTTCTTTCCACTCTTGTAAAACAGACCATTTTCCAAGAAATAATTACTATTATTGGAACAATCAAGAATAAATGTCGATCTAACACCTCTAAATATTGAACTTCCCATGCTAGTTACACCACTTGGTAAAATTAAGTCATTTAGCTGATTACAATCTGAAAATACTTCTGATCCAATAGTAGTCAAGCTTGAAGGTAGTCTGATATTTTTTAATGAAATGCAGCCAGAAAAAACATTACTGTCTATAAATGTTATATTGTCATTAATTGTAGCATTTATAAGACTTCTGCATTAGTTAAACGTTCTTTCTTCAATGCGGGATATCTTAGAATTGTACACAAACGATGTGATTTGAATTCCTTCAAATGCCAATCTTTGAATTGCTTCAACATTTGAATGTAATGTTATCTGTGAGATATAAGAATTTCTGAAACAATTCTCTCCTATCTGAATCACAAAAGTTGGTATTGTAAAAGAGCCTGTTAATGCAGGTGAAACAAAATGGAGAGTTATGTTGTTCGTCCCACTGAACAATATTTTTCCATCTGATCTAAAATATGGATTGTGTGGGTCAACTTCAAATGTTTCGATTGGAACACCTGTGAATGCTGATGAAATAATTGTTTGTAGCTTTGGTGGAATATAAAAATATTTGAGTTTTGTTTGATAAAAAGCATCGGACAAAATAGTTGTTAAATTGGACTGTGATGTGATTGTAACAGATTCTAAATAATCATTAAATACTCGTCCATGGGTACTACTCCAATCATATATTGTTTCAAGTGAATCAGGTAATGTAACAGATTTTAAGGATTCACAATTATAGAAACAACCATATCGGAGTTCTTTGATTTTTTGAGGAAAATTAATGTTGTTGAGTTTTCGTGAGTTGGAAAAGAGAGAATTGTTTAAGTATGGAAGTCGATCGCATGCGTGCATGTCGATGGTTTCAAGAGAACTGTATGAGAAAACCCATTTGTCAATCTCAAAAACTTTAGAATTATCTTCGAAAGTAATAGAAATGATAGATGATCGACATTTATCAAATGAACTCTTGCTCGATGAATCACCACCAAGAATAATTTCGACACTAGAAGGAACAACAAAATGTTGTAAATTTGAAGGAGTACTGATGATTACTTTTCTTGATGATGAATCATACTCGACACCATTTGTTGTATCTTCATATTGTAATAAAAACAGAAACACTATTTAAGTGCTTATAATGGTCCATTCAAAATTGTCAAAAAAAATCGAATGTTTTGACACTTTTTACGGGCTTATAAATTAGCAAAAAATATCAAGCAGAGATAAAGATATATTAAATAATATGCAACATGGTGAAGTTGCAAAATTATTAATCGAATATAGCATTCTTTTAATTTATATAATTGTAAACTAAATCTTTTAAAATGGAGTTAGAATAGTTTGGTGTAAGTACATGAAAATAAAAACAGAAAATGATAAGAAATTCATTGGACGACATTGGATTGAGCAGACTTTGTTGACAGGACATGTGACCGAGAAACTCTTCTCGCTGAATGAGTTTTGAAGGAATATGTTTTTGACTGATGTTGGGCATGAGATAGTACCGCATTTGTGAAGTGATGGACAGTCTTCGAATGAGTTAGAATTGATGCTTCGAAGACTTGGTGAGTTGAAGAAGAGGAATTCCAGGTTGATGCAGCCTTTGAATGATTGATAACCGATCTCTTCGATCTGGTTGCCGTTGAACAAGACACGTGTAAGCTTTGTCGCACCCATGAATGCATAGCTGCCGATTGTGCGCATGCTGATAGGAATGATGAATGTGTTGATGTTAGAGCTTGGAAGGAAGAAGATGATCTTTGTCTCATACCAGTCTGTAAGTGCACCACTAGAGAATCGGAAGTGACCTTCACCTGGATCGAGTGTGATGTTATGGAGGTCTGGACAGTTGCTGAAACTTCCGCCTTGAACAGTTTCGAGAGATCCATTTCTGCCGATGAAGAAGTTTCGAAGACTGACACAGTTAGCGAATGCACCATATCGAATAGTTCTAACACTGCTAGATATGTTGACTGAGACGAGAGATGTACAACTGTCGAATGCATTATCATTGATAGTAACACATCCTTGTCTAATATCAACTGACTCAATTGATTCTGATGATAGGAAACAACTTTTCGGAATATCACAAGGTGCTGAAAACTTGGTGACTTTAGTGTTGAAGAAACATTGACTATCAAGGAATGTTGTTGATGATGGAAGGATTGCAATACTTAAACTTGAACCTTTAAATGTTTCTTCGAGGATCTGTTTAAGATTTGTCTTGTCTAGTCCTATGTCACTAATTGATGTGCATCCATAAAATGCATACTTGTTGATTATTTGAATTGATGTTGGCAAAGTTATCGTTTTGAGTTTTGGGCAGTTCCAAAAGCATTCAACTGGAATCTCAGTGATCATTGTGCCAGTGAATGTGATTGTAGTCAACTCTAAGCAGTTCTTGAAGCATCCTGTTCCGAGGGACTTCAATGATGCTGGAAATGAAACTGTTCGAACTGAGGATTCTAAGAAAACTTCTTTTCCAATTGTCATCTCAGAACTACCTGAAAATTGGATGTTTTGGATAGATGAAGATTTAAAAACTGAATCGGAAACAGTAGTACATTCAGAAGGTATAGTTACTGATGTTTGTACATTTTCGAAGTACTCCAATAATATTTGCTTGCCACTTACATAAAACAAGCCATTATCCATGAAAAAGTTATTATTCTTAGAACAATCCAGAACAAATGTTGATCGAACACCTTTGAATATTGAACTTCCCATTGTTGTCACACCTGAGGGCAATATCATGTCATTTAACTGTTGGCAGTTAGAAAAAGCTGATGCTCCAATTGTTGTTAGACTGGGAGGAAGTTTGATATCTTTCAACGATATGCAATCAGAAAAAGCTTGATTCCCAATATATGTTATCAAATCATTAACTGTGACATTTTCTAGCAGACGACAACTAGCAAAAGTTCGTTCTTCAATACGTGTTATCTTTGAATTATACTCAAATGATGTGATTCGTGTTGACACAAAAGCAAGTGCTCCAATTGTTTCTATATTTGGATGGACAATTATTTTGGAAACTTGCGTGCTTCTAAAGCAGTTATTATTGATATGGATTACAAATGATGGAATAGTGTATGATCCTGACATTATGGAGGAGACCAAATGTAGTGTGTTGTTGTTACTTCCAGCGTAAATAACTTTACCTTCTGATCTAAAATTTGGATTTCTAGAATTAACGTCAAATCTCTCAATTGGAACACCAGAAAAGGCTGAAGGTACAATTAATTGGACTTTTTGAGGAATAAAAAAATATTTTAATTTTGTATTAAAAAATACATCATCGTATATTTTTGTAAGATTAGAATTTGATGTTATTGTCACTGATTCAAGATAATTATTAAAAACTCGAATATGAGTATCAGACCATTCATAAATTGTTTCTAAGGAATCGGGAAATACAACTGATTTCAGTAATTCTGTATTATAGAAACAACCATGTCGTAGTTCTTTGATATTTGGTGGAAAATTAATATTATTAAGTTTTCGAGAGTTGGAAAAAAGAGAACTATTTAAGTACGGAAGGTTATTACATGTGTGCATGTCAATGGTTTGAAGAGAACTATATGAGAAAACCCATTCATCGATCTCGTATACTTTAGAATTATCTTCAAATGATATTGAAATAATGGATGAACGGCAGCCACTGAAAGAACTTTTATAGGTGCTATCACCACCACGAATGATTTCAACACTTGAAGGTATAACGAGATTTTTAAGATTTGATGGAGTACTGATAATGACCTTTCTTGACTCGGAGTCATATTCAACACCATTTGTTGTATCCTCATACTGTAAAAAGAATAAAAACACTAGTTAGACACTGACAAAAGTAAAAACATTAATGTCAAAAAATATTGTTTAGAATTTTTTTTTATAAAAATTTGTTTTCCTCCATTTTAAATAACGGAATAAAAATAAGACAAAATATTTTGAATTGATAATTTGTAATGTTTTCAAATTTTCAGATCACCTCAACTCAAAATTTTAAATCTAGATTTAGGATTAATGAGTTTTATAGTTTAAAATAGATCTTAGTAGGGGAAATGATCCAATTGGCAGTTTAATTCATTAAAAATGGAGTTAAAACTATATTTATTTTGAAAAATTTAAAAAGTTATGCTTTTTGAGGATACGGTGAGGAAAATATATAATTTCATAAGGCAGGGTACTAACTATATTAGTTTTAAGTTGAAAAATCGATACGACAAATTTTTTAACGGTCAGAAAAAGAAAGAGAGTTTTGGCTCTTATTATACTATATTGTTAGCCTAGTGTTATAGATATTTAATTTTAATTTTTTACAGTACAAGGAAATATATATACAGTAAAAGATGTGATAAAACAGAGTTGCTTTCAGAGGAAGTGTAATGTGTTATCCAGTGTTTTTAATTAAATTCATTTCGTAAATGTTATTTTGCTTATTCGAAGAAAATGACTAAATATAGTGGCAACTTTGAAGGGGAGACACTAAAAATAGGTTTATTTTATTGGAGGTGAATATATTTCTGATCATGTCTGCATACCAAACTCATGTCCTTTAATGTTTTCAATTTACTTTTTGATTATCCAAAAGACTTTGAGTGTTGGCACTTTTTTGGAAACTGTCTCTGTCCAAAAATTTGACGTTGTTTGAAAAAGCTTTTTTGAAAAATCGAGAAAAAAAGAAAATTCTTGTTGACATTGTATTGGTTTAGAATTGTATATGATTAAGTAATATCCGATAAAAGAGTTGGATTTTCATCATGCAAATTTTAAAAAAAGTGAATTTGTTGATATTCATGAAGTATTAAGACTGGTATACAACATTATCATTTAAAAGTTTGAATTATAAAAAGTCCTATGAATTTTACTTTTTCAGAGAGTAACCTTCTTTTTCTGAATTTTGAGCGACCGCTTTCATTTCGCTAGATGAAGCATATCAAATGCGTTGTTGTCGGTGATGGTGCAGTCGGTAAGACTTGCCTTCTTATCTCATTCACTACAAATGCTTTCCCGGGTGAATATATCCCAACAGTTTTCGATAACTACTCTGCAAACGTTATGGCTGAAGGACATCCTCCAGTCAACCTCCAGCTTTGGGATACAGCTGGCCAGGAAGACTACAAGAAGCTTCGCCCACTTTCTTACCCTCAAACAGATGTTTTCCTCCTCTGTTTCTCTTTAGTTTATCCAGCTTCTCTCGAGAACATCGAGACCATGTGGATCAAAGAAATCAAGGAATACTGCCCAGACAAGCCATACATCCTTGTCGGTCTTAAGTCCGATCTTCGTGATGAATTCGATCAGCGCGCAGATGAACTCCGCGCTAAGGGTTACGAGCCAATCCCACGCGCTAAGGGTGAGGAAATGGCAAAGAAGATCAATGCCTGCTCCTACATAGAATGCTCTGCCCTTAAATCATACAACCTCACTGAAGTTTTCGATGAAGCCGTCAAGTACGCTCTCGAACCCCCAGCTCAGCAGACCCAGACTAAAGAAAAGACAGGTGGTGGCTGCTGCGAACTTATTTAAATTTTTTGCATATATGGTACCAGAGTTAAAATAAAACATGTTGAATGCTGTGACAAACAACTTTATAATCCGACTCGGTGTAATAATAAAAGGGAATTAGGCTATACTCATTATTTTTCATAAAATTCTAAACGTACTTTTATAAAACGATGGATATTGAGCATTCCGTGCTTGACAATGGTTTCAAATATGGTTATCAGGTAACTCAGACTGATAAGCAAGTAACTCTGACCTTTAATTTCATTGATCCTGTTCATGTTGACCAATTTACAATAATGTATGACTCAAACAAGCATAATATTATAGTAAAGAGGAGGAATAAAGATGTACTCTTACAAGGCCACTTATATGATGCAGACGATTCAGTAATCGAGCACTCTGTAGTTGGCCGATCATTGATATTAAAGATCAATAAGCAACACTACGACCCTTGGCCTGTTGTTATTAACTCAGACCTTGATGGTGACATTGATGGAAAATCCGCTTTCTTACTTTGCCTTCTCGAAGATGCACAATCAAACTTTGCCAAAGCTTATGAAATGCTAGAAAAAGCAGTCGAAATGGGTTATATACCAGCTATACTATATCAAGCTTCCGTTTTGTGCAATCCTGAGAACCCATACACGGTCACAAACATAGATAAAAGTCTCGAACTTTATGGAAGCGTTTTCAAGAAGACATCAGATGCTACTGTCGGATTGGACTATGCTAGACTTCTCTTAAAGCACGAGAGATCAGAGGAAGCTGAAAATATTCTCCTTCAGATTGAAGATAGGAATTTGGATGCTAAATATGAGCTTGCCTGCCTCTATATGGATAAGCTTGGAAAGCCAGAAGTAGCATATCAGCGGTTCAATGAACTTAATCATAAGAATTATCGCGAAGCTATGGTAAAGCTCGCATACATGCTCGAAAATGGCATTGGAACAGAAGTTGATCGTGTTGCAGCTGATATGATGCGTAGGTCATACCAAAATCTTCCAACTAATGTTGACTTATCAGTTCAACTTTCGCCGAAGAAGGCTAATCTTCAAAGGTCAACAGAAACACTCGAGATTTCTCCAGTTGCCAAGGTCGCACCTGAAATTAGTAATGATATTATTGCTCACGAAATTGAACGACAGCCAATCCAAAAAGTTGTCAGTAGTTCAATGTTTACAGAGGTAATGCCAAAAGAACCTGTTAAGGAGAAGGTCAATACCGCTATTGGTGGTGCCTTTGAGCATGAAAGAATATCTAATTCTCCAAGAAAAGAAATTAGTCAAGGTTCGCACTTTGATGTTGATGAACAAAGGCAACTCCTCGATATTGCTCAAGCTCATAACTACGGTGAACCTAAGCCAACAGATTGGAAATTCATTGGAACAATGGTTGCAATTGGCGTTGGTGCCGGCTTGGCTACACATTGGCTTATCAAGCTTATCACAAAAGTAGCAAAGAAGAAAGAATAATTTTCATAGTGTTTATTTCTGATTTTATTACTCGATGCTTAGGCTATTGATTAAATGAAATATTTGCTGATTCTGTATTTAAATACCTTTATTTCCTTAGTCATATGATGATGAAAAAAAATATAACATAATAAATATCTTTACAAAGCATCGAAACATACAAATTTATAAATATTATACAATAACAAATCTATTGGTTCTGTGTAAGCAGAGATTCAGAGCAAACTGAACGGCCGTCATCGTCAAAACTAGATTCTGGCATTTGTTTAAGCGAAATGAATGGAAGGAACCAACAGATGCAACACGATTTTGAACCGCAGACTGATTCAAAGTTTTTACAAGCAGATCTGCCAGGTGTAGGTGATTCTTTTTTCTTCCATCTTTCTATTAATGTTAGATTATGAGCCAAGTTGTTCATTGCGACAATGAAGAGTCTGAAAGCAAACACAAACAATATAATTGCGAATAAAAGAAAGATGAAACCTGGTATCGATAAGAAATCGAATTTCTTTTGCTTGATAGCTGTAGTAATGATGTCTTTTATCCAGAAATACTTGAATCCTATAAGCTCTAAACAATATAATGAAGCCCAGCCTGTTAAAAGAAGGAAAAAGCGATGGTTCTTCAATCCAATCCATGACTGTGTCCAATAACAAAAATGATCTGCACGTAAAACATATCTCCTTGCATCAACACTAAATGAAGCTCTGGCAGGTCTTTCATGAGTCTTACCGAACTCTACTTGTTCTTGGTAAACGGCAATGGAAGACATCATTGTCTCCCAATCATATTCATCTTGGCGTGTTATGCACCAATTATATGGCAAATAGCCTGGACCATAGATAATAATCGAAAAATAAGATATAATAACGAATAAGAATGTTACTGAAAGGGCGGAATAGACGCCGTAGTTCCAATATTTGTTAGGGAATTGATGGGCAGATTTTAATATCGGAGCAGTATCGAGAATGAATAAAACAAATGATGAAGTAAGTAAAAGTAATACTAGAGATGGTATTTTTAAGCTTACTCTCCAATGTTCGCAAATTGAGAATTTACCAACTGGAAAGTACGCAACGCGGCAACAACAAAAACTTCTATCGATCCAATCTGTTCTAACGTTTCCTGCGTATTCCACATCTTGTGGTAAAAGCTGTGCATTCTGAATTAATGGTCTGTTGTCAATCATGATTTTTACAAGAAAATTTTATTTACTGAAAAGAACTGTCAAAAGGGTAATTTGGAAATCATGTCTAATTCAGAATAAAATTAAATTTTTAAGATATATTTGCAGATCCACAAAAATGCCAATAAAATTTAAAAGAAATAAACCTTTAAACAATGAAGGTCGCAATCATAGACTTGCTTCATGCTATATATACACGTCTTCTAGTTGATTTATGAAGATAATCAACTTTCATCGAGAGCGTTAAATATCTATCTTATATTGATGCACTTAAAGCTTGTTATGAATCAAATATCAAGAGAGGATAACTGGAAAAAGAATTACAGGACCTGAAATTGTTAATAAAGAATATGACCAACAAAGTATTTCAAAACTGATTTGTTAAATACGGATATTTCAAATGTATAGTAAATGTTATATGTATATTTATAGATTTAATTATTAATTACAAAATATTATTGAATAAAATTGATAATTGGCCATATACTTATTTAGATTTAGAAATATTAAGTCTATCAAAAACTATTTGTAATAGTTAGAAGTTATAAATCGTGTGGCTATCTTAATTGAAAACGTTCGCAATATCATCTCAAACTCTTATGCCTGCTTATATGCTTCCTTACTATATGGACAATTCTAATAACCGATTCGAAATGCAAAAAAAGGAAAAGTGATTTTATAAATAGCCAGGCGGAAAAACAGTTTTTTTTAGATTTTAATAGACAGAAAAGAATGTCTCTCGCATTCGATGAACGTGGAAACCCATTTATTGTTATTCGCGACCAGGGTACTAAGGAGCGCGTAAAAGGAATTGAAGCTCTTCGTGCCAATATCCAAGCAGCCACAGCGATTACTTCAGTTCTCAAGACATCACTCGGCCCACGTGGTTTAGATAAGATGATTGTCTCACCACATGGTCAAATCAATGTTACAAACGATGGTGCAACAATTATGGAAGATATGGAAGTCGAGCACCAAGTTGCAAAGCTTCTTGTCGACCTTTCGAAGTCCATGGATAACGAAATCGGTGATGGTACAACATCTGTCGTTGTTCTCACTGGTTGCTTATTAGAATCAGCTCTTGGCCTTCTTGATCGTGGTCTTCATCCACTTCGTATTGCTGAAGGCTTCGACCGCGCTTGTGACGTTGCTGTCAAGCGTATCGAAGAGATTGCTGAGACATTAGATTTCACACCAGAAAATCACCACAATCTTGATGAAGTTTGCGCAACAACACTCAACTCAAAGATCGTCAACCGCTACCGTGACCAGCTCGCCAAGATGGCCGTAGATGCCGTTCTTCGTGTTGCTGATCTTGAACGCAAGGATGTTAACTTAGAGCGTATCAAAACAGTCTGCAAGGTCGGTGGCCGTCTCGAGGACACACAGCTTCTCAACGGTCTCGTCATCGACAAGACATGGTCTCATTCCCAGATGCCACGTGATGTAGAGAACGCCAAGGTTGCAGTCCTTACATGCCCATTCGAACCACCGAAACCAAAGACAAAGTACGGAGTTACAATCAAGTCAGCCGAAGAATATGAAGAACTTCATAAGGCAGAACAGCAGTACTTCCTTGATCAGATCGATCGCCTTAAGAAGGCTGGCGCTCGGGTTGTCATGTGCCAGTGGGGCTTCGATGATGAAGCAAATCATCTTCTTTTCCAGAATAATCTTCCAGCCGTTCGCTGGGTTCTTGGCGGCGATGTTGAGAAACTTGCTATTACAACAGGCGCTAGAATTGTTCAGCGTTTCGAGGACCTCGCTCCAGAGAAACTCGGTACAGCCAAATTATGCAAGGAACTTAGCTTCGGAACATCATTAGAGCACATGCTTCTCATAGAAGGTGTCGCTGATGTTCCATGCGTTACATTCCTTATCCGCGGCGGTAACAAGATGATGCTCGATGAAGCAGAACGTTCCCTCCACGATGCTCTTTGCGTTGCTCGCAATCTTATCCGCGATAACCGCATTGTTTTCGGTGGTGGCTCATCAGAAATCGCCGCTGCCATCGCTGTTAGAAATGCTGCTAACTCTAACAACACAATTCACCAATACGCAATGAAGGCATTTGCAGACGCACTCGAGGGAATCCCACAGGCACTCGCAGGAAACTCTGGCCTCAACCCAATCGAAACTGTCGAGAACGTTAAGAGACAACAGCTCGAAACTGGTGTAACTTCTCTCGGCATTGACTGCGTATTCGCTGGAACTAACGATATGAAGGTTCAGAAGGTCGTTGAGACAATGCGCGGTAAGTGCTCACAGTTCCGTCTTGCTACACAGATTGCTAAGATGGTCCTTAAGATAGACGATGTTATTGGCGATATTCCGATCTAAAAAAAACAAATAAATGATTTGAGAATAAAAGTTTGAATATTATCATAATATATACTTTAACTAGAAATTGTATTTTATCCTTCTTCTATACTTTAACCTGAAAGAAATTCAAAATTTCAAATTTCATAAATTTTATCTTTTAGCTTAAATGCAATAAATTATGGGGTTGTATTATTGTCGTCTGGCGGTTTTAGACGACAATGCGAATCTCAGGATTGGTGTGCTTTTTAACTAAATTATTTATATGGTTTAAATAAGCAATATTTATATAAATATTTCATATAGTTATTAAGGATATATAACATATTTTTACAAATAATATATTATGAATATCTTCAAAACATATTTTTAACCTATAAAATTATGCGGACATATTGTAAATAAGCTATATATTCAAATACAATTCTTCACATAGCAAGAAATAGCTTTATTATTCTGAAATAAATATCGCATTTTATCAATTTGTTGTTCTTTATGATTTGATCTTCTCATGCATTAATATAGCATATGACCTATATGTTCTTTATAGAATTATAGGTAAAATTTGGTATATGCACCCTTTAAAATGTGTATTTATAGCACAAATTCAATTATTTTTCATGATATCAATAGTTGCGTTTTCCTAACCAATAATTCTTATTTATTTATGTTTAAACTAATTGGCAATATAAATGGAAATATGTTATATAATATTATCTTAGTTAAATAGATTTTAATATAATATTACCTTAGAAAATGATATATAACTTTGCTCATGAACATCATTTTTGTATACCATTAATTGAGTTATTCCAACGCATAAGGCAAGAATCAATTAATTTTAATTAGCTAAATAATTAATAATAGTGATTCTATGAATGGTAAAAATGGTTGTGTCGCGTATTTTGGTGGTAAATATTCATAATAATAATTTAATTTATTTATTTTAAAATTTTATTAATTCTAATCTCTATATTGCTCTAAATATCAATAATAGCTTATTAAAGGCATTATAATATACAAATGCAAACACAATTAAACAATATCTCGTAATTCCCCTTTTTAAGATATGTATCCAAGTTTCTATCGTTGTTTCTTGAATATATATATATCAAAGATATGAATAGCGCTGGTTTTGTGATTGCATAAACAACTTATATATCAATATACTCAGTATAAGTGCATATATACATGGTATAATTTGGTTGTCCACCGAATGTATGCTCATATGGTGGATTACTTGCACTTTTTTTCTTTGATGCAAATGTGTCAGATACAATTCCTGATTTGCTCATACAGGTGCAGGGTCCTAGTGATAGACCCTGCAAATACATGAGCAAATCAGGAAAAACTTGCAATTGATCTGAAGAATGTGAATCTAGCCTTATATTTCAGAAAATGATTTTATATTTGCAAGGAATGAGCATCATCCTATGCAAAGGGAAACTCATTTTAGAAAAATTTCTTTTTTTTGGAAATGATTATTCTCAAATTCTATCTAAAACTCTCAATTAATAATCATATTCTCATTTAAACCTAGGGCTGTACAAAATCGAGAAAAACATTGCCGTGCGGTAATATAGGGTCAAAACTATTGATGTGGCGGTAAAATCACGGTAATTCACGGAAAGCTATATGCGAAAATTTGAAATTATACAAAATCGAGCGAAACACTTTTAAATAGGTTGTTTCGTATTTAAAATACTATTCCCAGATTTATTGTCGCAGAATATTTCCAAATTTTTGCCGATTTACAAAAAATGATTTACAAAGCATATTTTTAATCTAAAAAATTCCTAAAAAAAGGAACCGGTGTGCGGAAACCTCGGTAAATTACCGCGGTTCCCGTTGGGACTGCCATATTTAAACCATATATAACATTACTTTATAAATCTAGATTTTTCCAAATTCTTAATTTTCATATGAAATTTATAATTTTTTATTTTAAATTCAGAATTTTGAATTTTTTTTGGAAATTTTTATTTAATTTTATGTTTATTTTATTATATTCTTTATATATAACAATTTTTTTCAAGTTTATTTTTTCAATATATACGATAATTATTAATTCAATTTTTAAACAAATGTTTTGATGGGACGAGCTTAAAGATCATAGGCTCATCCCATCAAAACATTCACTTAAAAACTCTGGCCTTCATCGAGGCCAGAGTTCACAATTCATATCCTCGAAGCCATGTTCCTCAACGGTCGTCCTCATTAGGCACGATCCGAGAGGAACTTGGCTCTGAATGAAACTCACAAGCTCTGGCTTCAGGAAAGGCCAGAGCTTCGCAAAGCATCCTCGGGGCCGGTTTCCTCAAAGGCCGCCCTGATTCGGGCGGTCGGAGAGGATTCCAGTCCCGAGAGAACGTCCCTACGAAGCTCTGGCCTTATCAGAGGCAAGAGCCTGCAAGATCAATCCTCAGGGCCGAGTTTTTCCATCTTCGTCATCATGGTAGATGATCTCGTGAGAACTCGGCCCTGAAAGACTTCATATTACAGGTCCTGGCCTCATGAGAGACCAGAACTTCGCAAATAATGCTCAGAGCCGGCTTTCTCAAATGCCGCCATGATCTATGGCGGCAGGTGAGGAATCTGGCCCTAAAAACATATTATTACGAAGCTCTGGCCACAATGGAGGTCAGAGCCTGCAAGATCAATCCTCAGGATCGAGGTTGAGGGAGATCGTCCGCATCATTGACGATCTCCTATCATCTCGATCCTGAAAGACTTAAAAATGCAGGATCTGACCTCTACAGATGCTACAACCTCGCTTACAGTTCTCAGAGCCAGCTTTCTCAAATGCTGCCATGATCTATGGCGGCAGGAGAGGAATCTGGCCCTGAGAACGGACTATTACGAAGTTTTGGCCACAGTAGGGACCAGTTCCTGAAAAAATACTCCCTTAACAATAAATTAAGATTTATTTTATCCAAGAAAGCCTTGAAGGAAGTCCAAACCATGAGAATGGGCTTCCTTCCAGGCTTACTGGTACTACTGGAGCGATTTTTGCTTCCATTGCAGCTCCTGAAATATATACTATAAATTATATTAAAAACATTGAGAATTTTGATTTCTATTTCATATGTCCAGCCTATAAAAGCATAGTAATGAATATTCCTGGCTCAAATCAGTTGAAAATGCAATTTTGTGCTGAGATTTCCAAAATTGGTTATAAAACTAGACTATTTTAATGAAGAAAACCAATAATAGGATCTCAAGTAGTAATATTCATTATGTGTTGTATAAAATAATTAATTCAAATATATAAATTAAAAATGAAACTATTTATATTCATTTTATTAAATTATCTATTGTTCACAGTAAAATCTAACTATTTCACATTTCAATAACCTGATACTATTGCTCAAACTTTAATAATTGCAATAATAAAGTTTTGGAATATATTCTCTATATTCATTCTGTGAGATACACAAATAAACACATTAGAAGTAGTATAGAAACATATATTACAATTATAACACAATGTCAAACACATCTCTTACCATTTAATAAAATTAGATAAAGAATCTCCAAAAATTAAAATATGTGTTTTTGCATTTATTTCTATATTTTATGCATTACTATAGGTATTACGATATGAACCAATGAATTTTATCTGTTATATGTCAAAAACAACTTTAATCTAATGTGATCAAGTTGCATGATATACAACCATACATCCACTGCATATCCACATGATTCTATATATAATAGAGCATGTTCCTATCTAAATTAAAATGTTAGAAATGAATTGTACGAATTTTAAAACAAAAATTATTATTGTCGTCTGACGACAATAATAATTTTGTCACTTTTTCTAGACGACAATAAAACATCCTCATAAATTATAGTACTCTTCTTATACAAATACTTAGCAAAAGTTGTTTGTATTCAAATGGAGAATTATAAGTTACCTGCATGGTGTCTATATATACTTCTTGAAATAACGCCCTATAAATTGAGTTATAAATAGTAATCTTTGATATTGGTAGAATACATCTTCGATGTTTTTGAATTTTTGATTAATATTCGGTGTATTAGCGTTTTTCATGTATTGTATTTCAATGACGCTACTTTTAAAATCTGATTTCAAGATCTATGTGAATGAAACTGTCACTTTTTATTTCCAAATGATTGAAGATCATGATAAGGAAAATAAGTTGGAATTACAAGATGTCACTCCAGAAGAATATAAACAAGATGAAAAGGAAGAAAATGAAAATTCTCCTCGAAAAATGATTAACTTTATGTTTGGAACAGTTTTCTCATTTATTGTTGGTATATATGCGGGCTTAAAATCAAGAGAAATCTTTGAATGTGCAGTATATTGCGCAATGTTTGCATCAGAAGCTATTTTATGCGAAACAGTTTCGAAAAATGTTCTAAAATACAGTTTTAAAACAGCATTGCATCGCTTTGCCTTACTCTTTACAATAACTTCTTTATGCAGTATAGTAAGTGGTGTATTAAAACGAATTTTTGGTCCAAAATATTAGATTTCATATCAAAAAAACTTATAATGTTCAATATGTATGGATTAATTAATACTTTTGTTTGTATACTTATAAAAATTTATCGTTTGGTAATCATTTTTTAGTTTTTATTCAAATATTTTTATCTTTTCTGAATTAGCGCTCAATCAATAGAATACTATAGTCATTCGTTAGATTGAGTGCTATTGCTGAAATATGGAAATAAAATAGGGCGAATTGAATGAAAACTTACAAGAAATCAACTAGTTAATGCTCAAAATTCTTAAATTTACAAACAATTAAAGATGGATGTGTTAGTTTTAGATAAATCAATGTTGGTTGTAGATAAATTGCAGATAAAGAATGAATTGTCACTTTTTTGTTAAATAATGTTTTTAGTTCTTTTATTTTTTAAGTCATGCAAGAAAATTTATGATGATTTCGAGTTCGAAAGATGCAGAGTTTCCCAAGATGGAACATCATGGGAAGTTGAAGCCGATATTCAGTCACTTGGAATTTATTTACATGCAAAATCAAAATCATCATTAAAAGTCATCTCAAACTATTCAAATGAGTCTGAGATTAAGCCAGGAGAAGCATATTTCTTCGATGAAAATGCTACAGCAAAGTGTACAGGAAATGACTGTGACATTTCTTTCTGGTTTACAAATGTTACAGTGCCTAGTGGATCAATTATCGCAGATTCAACTGGAACTTCATTCTCTTTTGACAAAGATGGCCTGGAAGAAAAATATTTTTCATTTTTTGATTTTGGAGAGAACTCAAGGATCCTTGTTCAAGATTTGATGCACCCTAGACAAAAGGCATTGCATTTTTGGACCACAATGACTAATACGTCAAATAATACTTTTTTAGATACAATTTTAACGAATGATACATATCCATTTAACTTTACAAGGCCTGCAATGATCCAGATATCTGAAGCCCCATACAATCATGTCAAATTCACCATAATTGCCGGATCATCCATCAAAAACTCGCCAGAATTCGCTCAAAACAAGCAAGTAGTGTATTGGAAGAATCTTGATTACTCTAAAAATGATACATATGCCATGCCATCTGTTCAATTCAACGCTGATATTGTGAAATACGCAATGAATGGTTTAACTGCATTTGGCTTCCTTTGTTCTATACTACAAACCATAATTATGCCAATAATTAAGAAGACAAAGAAGACACAGCCAGTCAGCGAACAAAATGCGTCATTACTTGAAGATAATTAGAATTGTTAGTTATTATATTAATGTTTTACTGTCTTAAATTAATATGTTTCGTTATTTCTCAATTTTTTATAATTTTTTTATATGATTTTTTTCATTTATAAATTATTTGCATAATGGTGACTATTTTCCATTACATAGATGATAACGTCAGAAAAATTGTTGCATGCTAAGTTCGGTCAACGATAGGAATTGAGAGGAAATTAATCGTCGAGGAAGTACGATTATGTAAAGTAAAAAAATGTTGTGGGATTTTTAATATTGTATATAATTTTATAATAAAATTTTTGTGAGACATTTTAAGAAGCACATATAATTTTTTGAATTTAAAAATTAAAGTAGTGTTGAATGAATTTATTGATTAATTTAATACGGATATTTCTCAAAATTAATCAAAAATAGGTTTTCAGAGAACTTTTGAGATATCTTTTCAAAATGTCTTTTTGAAAATATATAAGTATTATATCAAATTGAAAAAAGGTATTTATCAAAATTCTAAATTCTTAATAAAAAATAACTTTTCAGAGGATTGTGATTTTGAAAGCATGAGTAATAAGTAAAAAATATCTACGATTTTAATGAGGGAATTGTTCCTTATGAGGTATACATTATAACTATATACCTCATAAGGAACAATTCCCTCTTGATAGCTGGGAAACTTTCTCTGAATAACTTATCATTTGGAGAAAGTTCCCCAGCTATCTATTAGGAACTAAAGGCTGTGAGGCACTAATATATAATCAGTGCCTCATAGCCTTTAGTTTCTTATTAAAAACGAGAAAACTTGTTCGAAATGATAAACAATTTCGAACAAGTTTTCTCGTTTTAAGGAGGGAATTGTTCCTTATGAGGTATACATTATAAACTATATACCTCATAAGGAACAATTCCCTCTTGATAGCTGGGAAACTTTCTCTGAATAACTTATCATTTGAACAGAAAAGTGACACTTTACATGGCAAAAAATAGAGCCTTACTTTTGAGATACTTGAGATTGAAACTGAATCTTATGAGGCGGTGATCTTGAATCACTACCTCATAAGGTTCAGTTTCATATAAAATTTGTTGCAATTGTTATTCTTTTGCAATTATTTCTTATAAGATTTTACATCTTTTAGCGGGGAATGTTTGTTATCATGTATATATTATAAATATCTACACGATAACGAACATTCCTCGCTAAATTGCTGAGAAACTTTGAGGAAATGTCGAACAATTTCCTCAAAGTTTCTCAGATTTATATAGATCACTAGAGTCCCCTAGGCACTGATTCTGGTTCAGTACCTAGGAGGCTCTAGTTCTCTAACGAACTGATAAAATGTTTTTAAATTTTTGGATATTGCTACCTGTGAAGCACTGACTTCAAGTCAGTACCTCACAGGTAGCAATTACATTGAAAGATGGGAGAAACTTTGTCCGAATGTTAAACTATTCGGACAAAGTTTCTCCCATTTGTAGTGGAGATGGAAGGCTTTGAGGTATATTGTATTAATATATACCCTAAAGCCTTCCATCTCCACTTGAAAGTGTCCAAACTTTGGGTTAATACTTTGCAATTAACCCAAAGTTTGGACACTTTCTAGAAGGAATTGGAGGGTAAGAGATATACATTCATATGGTATATCTCTTACCCTCCAATTCCTTCTTAAAATGGGAGAAACTTTGTCCGAATGTTAAACTATTCGGACAAAGTTTCTCCCATTTTTTGAAGGAATTGGAGGCTATGAGATACTGATGCAATGTCAGTAACTCATGGCTTCCAATTCCTTCCTAAAACTCATAAAAGTGGACATTACATGCATATAAAATTTGACATGTAAAGTCCACTTTTTGTGAGCGGGGATTTGACTCCGTCAAATCCCCTTTTTCGTTTACGAGAAAGCCAAATTCTCTCAAAAAGTTAAGTAGGACCAATTTTTTATAAAAAAAATCCAATTTCATTATGAATGTTAATTAATTTATATAATTATTGAATAAAAAATTTTCTTTGAGATTATGAAAAGTTCTTTGAAAAGTTATTTTTTCTCATTTTTAAATATTGTATTAGCCTATTTATTTATAATCCAAATTAAATAACTTTAAATTCAATATTTAAAGAATAATTTTGAAGGAATTGAGTTACTTCCCCCGACGATAAAATTGAGAGGTTTACATTTTGACCGAACTTAGCATGCAACAAAATAACCCCGTACTGAAAAAATACCTCCATACTTGGTATCATAACTTTGGTGGTTGTAATGCGGAAGTACAATATTTCATGGACTTTTTGCATTGTTACAAGTTAAACTTGTATATGTAGAGTCCTCTGGAGTTCTTTTAATTTCAATTGAAGGTAGGAAAATTTAATTTTGATAATTTTTGATTAAAACTATAAATAACAATGGATATTTATCAAACACAACAAATAAAACAAAAATAAATCATATTTGGAATGCTGTTATTGGTCCTTCCTCTGGCTGCATCAAAGATGAAAAACTTTGATTGTTAGAGTTAATTGAAGTCTTCATTCTGCACAGTTGTTCTCTTGCAGCAACGAAATACTGGGTTTCGTTCATTTTCTTCAAGAAAGGAAGATCTTCTTTGTCAAATACGGAATAAAACAGATCTGGAAGATACATCGTGCCCTCTGTATTCTTCTCATTAACCTTGGTGATCAATGCAGAGATAACTTGCTTCACAATCGTATCTATGATGAATTCCGAAATAATTCTAAGAATATTTTGAGCAATTCCAACATTCATTTGGCCAGCTTCATATATTGGGGCAAGCATATTCCGAAGGAACTTATGCTTTGGTAATTTAAGCATTGGTTCGTTCGGATACGAAATATGTTTTTTATCAATATCTATAATGACGTAATGCGATGGAATTAGTTTCCTAAATTTGCTATATATGCCGAGAATGGTAGGAACAGGTGAATCCAAGAGAGCTAAAAGATCTTTTGGAAGAATTGAAATAACAGGAGATGTCCAGAAGAAAGGAAGTATTAATTGAGGTAGTACTGTCGTAATTTTGCTGATTGCTTCGATATTTGTGCCAACAACTGCGAAATAATTCTCTAATAACAAAAATGAAAGTAAAGTAATTAAATCATCAAGAGAAATCCAGTCTAAAAGAGTACTTATTCCCCAACAAGCAAACTGTATGTCAATATCTTCTCTCTTTGGCATTCTCCAAAAAATAGGACGAGATCCGCTCATACATAAGCAAATTGTCTCTCCATACATTGGGAGAGAGGCCTGATAAAATGTTTCGAGGCATTCTTTTCGAAATTCAATAGTAGATTCTGGCCAAAAAACGATATCTGCTCCTTTTCCGCTTTTTCTGTAATATGATAGATGTGCTGCGCTGTTTAAGTTGTAAGATGAAATTCTGTATTTTGTTTCTATATCTAAAAGTAAATTAAGTATATGAAATAATAAAGAATGAAAAGGATGATAAGAAACTATACAAAACGCAAACATACATGATGGCATAACCTTTATCGATCTGTAAAAGTGCGCATCGTCTAGTAAATTTTCATTATTTACTGCCGGACGAGAAAAAGCTGATCCTCTGAAGCGAATACAGTATATATATGTTGTACGACCTGCTTCACCTCGAGTGATTACTATTTGCTCACGTTCGGGGTAATCACTTGAAAGTTCGATATCTGCTAAATGATCTGTAGAAATATCAATATTTCTGAAATTTTCACCGTCAACGAATAGAAATTTTGCTAAAGCATTGTGTTCAGTTTGAGAATCTTCCGGGAAATGATACAATACCTTAGGATGTGGATTTACAGCCAAATCTTCAGGGCCTAAAATCATAAATTCCTCAAATAAAGGTGCGTAAGCATGCCAACTTTCCCACTTGTCACCATCTTCTGCTGTAAAATTGAGAAGTTGGTTAGAAATTGACCCTTTTAACATTTTGTTGTCAAATCTGCTAAAAAATTTTTTGCATTGAATTGCATAAACTAATCACAGAAAAATTTCAAGTTATGTATCTTTGATTGTATATTAGGATTTTTTATTTTCAAATTCTGTCCCAAAAAAATTTCAATTGATGTTATCCCCAAGTTAACAATGCAAAAATAAAATATCTTCAACGGACATATTAGATATCACATTAGAAAATTGTAATTTATCCAAATTAAACCTAAAGGTTTACCATTGTTTCTTGTTCACAATAGTTCCTTCTTTTACCTCAAAATCCTATTCGTTTTTAATACTATTGCTTATTCTCAGGGTTTCGTTTTGCTAAAATTGTCACTTTTATAGCATATTTGTTTTTGGATGTTTTGCGAAACCAAAAAAAAAACTATGATATACAATGTGTGTGTAAAGAAAATACTTTATTTACTAGTTAAAAAATCATTTGGTATTGATCAAGTTATTTTTTCTGGATAAGATATTATATGGATAATTGGATAGAAAATACAATTATATAATCTTGTACCTGGTTTAATTAAGCTAATTGTCATCAGAAACTTGTAATTTTTATGAATTTCAGATTTTCTTTTCATTACTGCTTTTCTTAATAGGTCAAGTTCTTATTTACGTTATAAAGTATGATATTTACAAATATCAAGTTATCATGTTTTTTGAGAAATTATGAGAAACAAACAAAAATGAAATTGTCACTTTTATAGCAATGAATAGTGATGTGGGTATAGAAAATGTAAGAGATATGAATGCAAAGCAATCAGTATTTAGGATATTGACCATAGATTTCGAAAAAAAATGCTGCATATTGAGCGAAAACTATGATTATATTATAAGGCTGTCATTTAAAGCATAATGAAACTATTCCCTTTTCATTTTAATCGAATAAGATACCTCTACGTTCCCAACTCTGGAAAACGGTTTTTCACCCTTATGATCAGTTCAGACACTTTGGGAGTCTCCCAAACTTTGATATTTTGCATTATGATAGAGAAACGTGTCTAGTTTAACGCACAGTTGTTTTAAAAGGCAAATGATGATATCACATGAAATTATCAAATTATCAAATTTTGAAGTACCAGTCCAAAGGGTTAATTAGATCCTACACAGATGTGCGATAGTGAAACATATGTGTTCTTGATTTGAGAAGTCCTACTGATAGAGGTATGAATCTCACAGCTTTGTGTAGTGTGTCTGACACTTGTATAGAGTGGAATATGCGCCGACATATATTATATAATAACATGTAGTTGATAATTATGAAAAATAGAATTTGATGCGAATGATATTGAAAGTTGTTTTGTAATTTGATATTTTTCTTATATGTGTTAATATAGTAAATGGCTTGTTTGTTGTGATCGTACTGTGAAAAGAAAGGTATTTTAAATTAAAAAATTGAGATTTTGAGATATCTCTAGAATTAAAATTTATTATGTATTTGACTTTATATAACTATGTGTAAAGGATCTCGATGTCTATATGCTTTAAATTAAATAAAATGAGATAAAAAATTAAAATGGACAAGAGATATATGGAAATGTAATTTGTATTGTGTTGGTTGTTGGCAAAATGATTTTTAATACAGATTTAAGGATTTGGAATGGATTTGAAATTAAATGATTTTAATTCAAGGAGTAATAAGATTTTGAACTGGTTTTTATTTTGTGAATGTAAACTCCTTCCATAGGATATGTATTAGAAAGATCAATGTCAAACTTTTTGAAAGAATTGTTTTTTTGTTGAGTGATTTTCTCATATTTAATAATATATTTAAGTTGGTGTATCTTAAGCCCTTCCAAAAATATGTATTAGAAAGATAAATTTTAAACTTTTTGAAAGAATTGTTTTTTTGTTGAGTGATTTTCTCATATTTAATAATATATTTAAGTTGGCGTATCTTACGCCCTTCCAAAAATATGTATTAGAAAGATGACTTATAATTTCATAAATTATTTTGTCCGACGGTTTGAGCGGTTATCAGAATGGTTGCTTACACAATGCGTCAGCAAAATGTCGGTTGGGTGCCCTTCTTGGCCTCCTGAGTACTCACCAAGATACCCCAGCTCCCGCAAAACACCTCCCTTAGGTGCGCATTACCTGACGGCATTATTTTGCAATTATTTCAAATTTTTTAGATGTCTTTTGTTAAAGTTTGTTAACTAAAGACTTGAAAACAGCTTACCGCTTCAAGCTGCTCTCTTCCCGGTTCCTCTGCCGCAATCTTCTGTTTGATTGTGCGCAAAGCTCTCCTCCTTGTGAACTTTGCCTGACAGATACACCTGGAGACAGCATTCGGACATCTTACCGCTTCAAGCTGCTCTCTTCCCGGTTCCTCTGCCGCAATCTTATGTCTGATTGTGCGCAAAGCTCTCCTCCTTGTGAACCATGGCTGATAGAAAGAACTGAAAGACAGGATAGGAGGAACATGCCGGTTCAAGTTAACTTGCAATATGCTTCTGATTAGTGATTTTAGATGAAAGATTAGCGAAATCGCATTTAATTTGGATAGAAGGATTCAATTTTATGAAGCAGGCTCGTAGAAAATATGAATAGCACAATCTTCTGCAATCAGAATGTGGTTGCAAAACTTTGACCGACAAGAGTGCACAATACACTCTTGTCGGTCTGCATGTCTCATTCGGGAGACATTGTCACTGCATGTCTCCCAGAATGAGACAATCTTCCGCATTCATAACTTGAATGCGGAAGTTTGACCGACAAGAGTGCACAATACACTCTTGTCGATCTAAATGTATCTTACAATCAAAGACACTTTCATACAATCTTTTCGAAGTTAAAAAAAAAATTTAATTATTTCTTTCTTTTGTTTATTAAATCGCCTTACTCACGTACTAATCTCTTTTAGAGACTCTATCGAGCTATCCCCACATATAAACCTGTGACAATAATACATATTTACTCTCTTCATATTCTGATCTCATGACACATTATCGCAAAAACTATAATTATACAACACATCTCATAAAGTCTCATTTTAGCCCTATCTAAGCGTTCAAAACATATTTTCCACACGTAATCTGATTCTTCTGGCTCCGCTGATTCGATTTCTGCTGTCAGATCGTGAAAATATGCATCACATATAGAGATAAATGCAATTGCACAACTTAATATTTTCCTTAAAATTTCTCTTTCAGGTTCATACCTAAATAAGCTCTTTTTTTGAAAATTCAATTTTTTTCCAAAAATGTATGAATTCAAAAGTTCAGATTATATCTAGTCATTTTCCAACATTAATTTTGTGTTTTAGTTTTGAGATATTCATTTTATTATACGTATTATTCAGAAAATTAAAAGAATTTGTGAGGAAACGGAGGAGATAATAAATATGTAAAGATGGATGAATAGACAATTTGAAAAAAAAAGCAATAATTTTGAGTTGTGTTTATCTCTTTATGTGATGCATATTTTCACGATCTGACAGCAGAAATCGAATCAGCGGAGCCAGAAGAATCAGATTACGTGTGGAAAATATGTTTTGAACGCTTAGATAGGGCTAAAATGAGACTTTATGAGATGTGTTGTATAATTATAGTTTTTGCGATAATGTATCATGAGATCAGAATATGAAGAGAGTAAATATGTATTATTGTCACAGGTTTATATGTGGGGATAGCTCGATAGAGTCTCTAAAAGAGATTAGTACGTGAGTAAGGCGATTTAATAAACAAATGAAAGAAATAATTAAATTTTTTTTTAACTTCGAAAAGATTGTATGAAAGTGTCTTTGATTGTAAGATACATTTAGATCGACAAGAGTGTATTGTGCACTCTTGTCGGTCAAACTTCCGCGTTCAAGTTATGAATGCGGAAGATTGTCTCATTCTGGAAGACATGCAGTGACAATGTCTCCCGGAATGAGACATGCAGACCGACAAGAGTGCACAATACACTCTTGTCGGTCAAACTTGCATCAATTATGAATTGCGGAAGATTGTCTCATTCTGGGAGACATGCAGTGACAATGTCTCCCGGAATGAGACATGCAGACCGACAAGAGTGCACAATACACTCTTGTCGGTCAAACTTCCTAATACAAAATTTGATTCCCTTATTATCTTCTTAACAAAACTTAAGATTTCAATAATACATCATGAAAACATTCATTTACTACATTCACACTGTTATTCCTTTCTATAAATTAACTCATTTAATAGAATCTTGTTTTTATATCTTATTATTTTCTCATAATACTTCTAATTCCTCTATTTCCTCTTCCACATAAAATTTAATTTTGTAATGCTATCATATACACTTAATGTTTTCAAATTTTCAGATTTAAATTTAATCTTTATTTTCATCATCATTTATAATCTTGTTCCTATATAAAGTTATAATAAATTATCGTCAGATTCTAATATTTATGATTCTTACTACTCAATTCAATATAATTATGTTAGTCACTCATATTCAGGAGAATAATTTAAAAATCTATAGCTCATATTTTGATAGTTATATATTTAGATGATATATATTGCAATTCCGGTTTCAACACGATCAAATGCCAAACCAAGACAAAATATATATGAATTTTCAAAATATCGATTTACATTAGAATCTATATCTAATTTTATCAATACACAAGTAGGGAATGTTCAATACATCTTTGAGCAACGTGAATAGCACAATTTTATAGGATTATTTGTTGATTATATAAAATATAAGCCAAATCGAATCTGCTGTATAGTACTTTAGTTTATCATTGAATGTTAAATGTGTTCAGATAAATATTTGAGTCAGATATCGCATTTTCTAATTTCAAAATTTATCTCATGAAGTTAGAATTTATTTGATCATACAACATCATGTTAGTCAAACTAGAGTTCAATGGCGATTCTAAAATGGAACAAATGCTTGTTTTATCAAAATGTTAAAATATTAATCTAAAAAACTTAATATCTAACCAAACCATTCTAGAATTATTATATACAGGTATAGGCAATCTAAATGCACACGGAATTCGGAAAATTAAAAAGAATATTTATGAGATTATTAAATCTTATGTAATTCAATGAAAAGTAGATAATATGAATATCTATAGGCTATATATCAACATATGAGTTTTTGGTTTGACCAATACTATACTAATGTGATCAAATTAATCTGATTTCTTAGATTTTCATTTGAAGCATTTGCAGTAGTAGGGGTACCTTTATATATTAACATATTAAAAAATTGCGCTCCGATTCGCAGTTTCTTCATGATTTTGAGATTGCATTAGATTTCGCGATGCAGAAAAAAATCACTTTAGATTCCCGTCAAACTCTAAGTATAAGCATGTCTCTATATGTAGAAACTGTCTGCGCTATTTATTTCCCGGCTCAAAAAACCACGGTGTCTGTGTGAGGAAAATACCCATTTTAGGACCCTGGGTAGGGGGTCATGAAAATTTTCCAAGAGTTGGAAATATATGGTATTATATAGGACCACAAAGTAAGTCTAGGAGTCATATTTATTGTAAAAATAATAACAATGAATTATTACTATCAGAAGATTTAAAGGAATCAGAGATTTATTCATGTAGTCATACAAACTATATTAACATTTTATTAATTGACGGAAGGATCGAACTTTCTGATTTTAAATTTGATGATCCAAAGATATCAAATGAAGGCTATCCTCAGTATGATAATGGAAATTTGAAGCCATTATGGTTACCAAAAACACAAACATCGAATGAAACTTCAGGTACTGATAATCAGAAGAATAGTTCTAGTAATAAAGCTCCAGCTGGTGCAATTTCTGGAATCGTTATTGGTATTATTATTGAAATTGCAATATTTATTATTGCATTTATTGTTATCCGAAAATACAAATCATCAACAACAAATACTGATGTAGGTGAAGAAGTTTAAATTTTCTTATTGAATAAAAATTTACATTTGATTTTTCTATATGAACTTCTATAAAAAATATATTGTCTTACAGAAATCTCCAAATTTAAACCATTTCATATAGTTTGATTGTGCAAAACCTATATTCTTAATATAAAATCACTCCCATTTCACTTTATCAAGAATATTCTATTCAAAAGTTATTGCTCATATTGTAATTCAACTCCGCTGTTTTGCTGATAATATAGAATGATTCAAACATTCAAAATTAGTACTTGAAATTAATTTTAATTTTGAATTATAGGAAGGAAGTTCAATATGGTGTCACCCCCTTTCATTTTTAAAATTTAATTCGGGAGTCTTTTTGGCTCTAAACCAAGTTCAAATTAATTGCTTTTAGAAAACATGTTCATTGTGAGGAAGTTACAAATAGTATTTGGCGTCTTTATTATGAAGGAATTGATCCTCCTTCTTCAGTCATTACAGGTGAAGTTCAACAAGTCACTGCAACAGAAGACAAATGCTTTGCATACATCTGTAAATTTATCAACTTACAAGATAGAGCAGTTAAATTCAAAAATACAAATGATTACTCGATTTTACTTTGCGAAAACGTTTTTTCAAAAGGTCCAGGTACAGTATATATTGAAAATTCTAATAATACTGCCATTATTATTGATAAATTCTGTTCATTTGAAAGTAAATCTACTGTATATGGCCAATTTCTTCATTTCAAAGGAAAAATCAACAGTACAATCCTCCAAGGATCAATTTGTAATGGAGGATATAGTTCAGTATATTGTATGATTTGCCAGCAATATGGTTTTGGATCTCTTTCAAAAACAAACATTTCTAACTGTATTTCAGATCGATGTCCAGGTTTTGGTTATCAATATGTTAAATCAACAGTAAATGTTTCATTTTGTAATTTTGAGAATTTAAAAGCAACTGACGGATTGATTACTCATTTTTATCATTGTCCAGGAAGAATTGACCGATGTAATTATATAAATAATTCTCAAAAGTCAGAATATTATGGAATTGTTTCGACAACTGATAGACTTGATATTTTCGATTCATCTTTCCAAAACAATCCTCAGATTAACAAAGGAAAATTATTTAAAGCAGGTTGGGATGGGCAGATTTATATCCATCGATGTAGTATTGATTCTTATTCATCTATTGGACATGTTGATACATCAGAAAAAGGAGAAGTTTCATTTAAGAATATATTAAAATTCATTGATTTAAGTCCATGTGAAGGAAATCTTGAAATAATATTATTTGTACCAAAGAAAGAAAATAAAATTTGTTCTTCTTTTAAACTTATAAATTTTCTTTTTGGTAAATATCATATTTCTATTTTGTTTATTACTAAACGATAAAAATTAATAATTTTTCATATCTTCTGCATTTTTAAACAAATAACGAGAAAAATATAGAAATAATAATGATATCAATCGATCATAGTCAATGGTAACTTCATGTATAATGTTGTAAACCAAATAGAAATATTGTAAAAATTATTAAATTCTGTTTATAGTAGTCTTGGGAATTAATTCTAAATTAAAGGGATGATTTTGAAAGTCTGGCGTAGTTTGTATTTTAGAGATAAATCCAAAAATATCAATTCTTTCATAGGAGAAAAATATCTTCGGGTGTTAAGTTGTAAACTAATGCAGTGATCTTTTAACACATTATAATAAACTTTAAAATATTAAAAAAAATATTATGTTTTTAATCATACTCATTTTCATATGCACAAAATGATGACATTGGATCAACAATACCTTCATAAACTGTTTGATCGTCAATCATATCAACTTCGAAGTCTTTGCAGAACTTGTTGATCATTTCTGTGCAATCATCCAGATCGGATTTGATTTTATCGATTTCGTCACCGGATTCAAATTCAATCAAAAGTTCGTTCACTGCTCTTCGATGTTGTTTAAGTGCTTTAACAAGACATTCTGAGAACTTAGAAACGTTTTCTTCAAGAAGTTCTGGATACTTTTGTTTGATAAAACTCAAACAGTCACGTGCACAGTTAGGATGTTGCAATGTTGTATAAAGCATTTCTTTGTATCGACAAAGATCTTTTCCGAAAATAACCATTGGTGAATCCTTGAATGCACCAATGGGCATAGAAAGATATGGATCGAAGTCTTTCACAAGTTGATCAAGAGATGTGAATGCTCGGTTCAATGTATTAACACATAATTCTTTAACACGAACTTCCTGGATCTCGATCTTCTTGATAGAAACACCTTGATGATAAAATGGTAATTTTTCTGATGTTTCGATGTAAAGAGTTTTAATAGGATTCTTCAGTTCTTCAGATGATTTCTGTGATTGTTTATTGATAGAAACAACGGATCGGAACTTATCCCATGAATGAGGAGCTTCATCACCTTCGATTTTATCATCCGATGGCTCTAATTGGATCAAACAAATACCATCACCTTTGCATTCCTCATGATGATCGCAATAATCTGTTGGACAAACAATTCCTTCGCGATTCTTCAGTTGTTGAACAAAATGGATTGTTTCCGTCTTCTTGCAGCAGTATATTCGTTGATCTTTCTTGCCGCCTTGTCTTTTTCTACCATGAAGAATGACAATGGAACACTGACACCAACTGTGTTTCCTGTAGAAATACTAGACAAATAATTGGACAATTTAGAACAGATTTCTTTAGACCGGCCGTAATCGCGGTTCTGATAAAGAACACGTAATGCCATTGATGACAAACCGCGCAATGTATAATATAACTGTGCTTCTTCGCATAACCAAACAGATGAATTCAAATATTCAATCAAAAGATTTTCATTAAAATCAGACAACAAAATTTCGGCATCGGCATTCCTGCATCAACTTTAACTTTAGTTTCGACTTGAACTGAAGGAATGAAGAAGAATTCTTGATATGTTCTAGATCGGCCGTAATCATAGACATTGTTTGCCGTTCTGATTGGTTGTGTCGTTGATAAATGGAAACCGGGTGGTTTAGGCAATCGTTCGTTCTTCTTTTTATTTTCGAGTTTTTCATGTTTAGAACGATGTTCAACAACCGTAGCAATTAAACATGTACAATGTAATTGTGAAACAAACGCTGAGATATAATCACCGGATTCGATATTGATACGAACTAATTCACTCAACCACTTTAAGCGCATGTTTGGAAAGTCCATGTTTTCATCAGCCAATGACATTAATTGTTGACAACGAATGGACAATGCTTGTTTTGATGATTTCTGTTTTTCAACAATATCTGCAATGGATAAAGCAGAATCCATTCGATCACTAACTTTCTTTTTAAGTGATTTATTGTCTGGTGTAAGTTCTTTAATTATCAAAATATATTCTTTAAACATAGGAATCATTGAAACTTTGTTTTCTAAAAGAATTGTTGCGTATTCATCAATGAATGAAAGTGTGGAAACATTAACTTGTTCATATCGATTGTAATCTTGTTTGAAACTGTTAATAATCAATGCGGTACTCAATGCACGTGATTTTGCTTGTTTGTACATAATTAATTTAGTAGACATGATGATGAAATTACGTTCTAATGGATATGATTCGAATAATGAATCACAAAGTAAATACAAATACTTGTAGTTATCTGTTGGTTGGTATCGACACAACAAAACTTCAATTAACTGGATGACTTCGTTCATGCAAACACCTAATTCTGATTTGACGTCAAACAAAAATTTGATGTAAATATGTGTCAGCAAATCAAGAAGATTCAAGTTAATTTGTGGACATTCATATGTTGGTTTGATGACATCCAATGTGTCAATGATGATTTTTCCGGTCAATTTAAGGAATGAAATGAAATGACACTTGAATGAGATAGATAATGAATGGAAGAATGATAATAACTGCTTCTGTTCACTGTTCTTGATTAAGAATAAAACAAATGGAATCAATGCAATTTGCATTCGTTTGTTAGACATAAATAATGGGGATTCAAAATGATTAGAACATAAATCAATAAGAGGGAATAAAGCAAATGCGATTCGTTGTCGAATACTATAACAAATCTCATCTAAGTTAGATAACAATCGAGCTAAAAAGCCTGCACAAAGTGCAAATGTGTCGGGATCACGACCGCCAAAACATTGTTGTGTCGACAACAAAAATTGTGATGTAAGTTTAGAATAAGGTGAATACATAGCGTTCGTTGATAATGGTTTCATGTTGTTAGTCATGTTGATCAAGAAGTGCTTAGAAAGAGATAATGGAGATAAGAAAATCCATTGAACTCGTGTAGCAGACATTGGATGTGCAATTATGGGTCTGACCTTAGATATAGTTCGAAGGAATGTGTAAACGAATCGTACGATTTCTTCATTTCCAAGATCTGAAAGATTATGGAAGAAGAAGAGTCCCAATGACTCTGTAATGGAATTGCAATCAATATCCTTAGTCAATAAGAAGCAAATCAAGTCAAGAAGTGAGTTGTTAATTGTAATTAAGTCTTGAGCTGTTGATTGAAGTTTGCCATCGGAGAAAACAATCTGCATAATGTCAAGAATAAGTGGTAAAGATGTTGAAAAGTCTGGAATGATTGTTGTTTCGATCTTTCCTTCAATGATTTCATGACAAAATATAGGGTGTCCAAAGGTGTGTTTAGCACAAACCTGAATACTGCGAATAGAAATAAACAAGTTACATATATATAAAGTTTATTTAAATATAATCACCATTGGATTCAATCACGCGTTCGCAGCGATCGATCCAGGCTTCAAAGACACGCTTTAAATCATCATGAGAAAATTGCTCAAATTGCTCTCTTACAAAATTTTCAAGATCATCTGGACTCGCGAATTCGCGTCCTTCAGCTCTCTTTTTTAGCGTGCCGAATAAATAAAAGTCAGAGGGTGCAATATCAGGTGAATAAATTGGGTTTGGAACAACTTTGACATTGTTTTCCACCAAGTAATTCATTACCTTATGACTTTTGTGAACTCTTGAATTATCAAAATGAATTGCAAACTTTTGTTTTTGTTGTTT